GAGGTTGGTGTGGACGAACAGTATGGCGAGCAGGGGAAAGATGATGGGCAAGGCCACATTCGACACAGCTGATGAATTCAGCAGAAGGCCTGACTCTAAAGTTCGTTTACTGTCCCCGGAGCCACGGTCAGGCGAACATGGCGAGCGAGAGGCGCGTCCCTCCCCTGTGACAGTATCCTGGCCACTTGTTGAACCTGGGCTGCAAGACCTGTCACAAGATTGCCGACAGTACATACGCTACTGTGAGTTCCGTTCACTCCCCCTGATGCGTACTGAACTGACGAGTCAGTCGATGTCGAGCTGTCAAAAGAATGCGTTGTCTACAACAATCCGTCAGCGAACCCCTTCTTGGCACTGATGCCTCTCATGCCTGGTAGTCACGCCTTGTCCCACATCATGGTCTCGATATCAGCCTTCCACTTTACGCATCGGATCGTGATTAATCACATCCAAGCCCCGTCGGACAGCAACAGGTTTCCCACACAGGTTTCGGAGGACTGGTACTCACCAGAAGACCATGACTGGCAAAAGAACCAGCCCAATTACGGCAATTCTCTGAGCACGGCCTTGTCACACAAGCAAAAAGCCCTCGAGTATTTAAAACACGAACTCCAAGTCCACCCCGAGAGAAACAGCGACGCGGTTATTGCAGCAGTCATACTCTTTGTCTGCTTGGATGTTGTCGAGTTTGGAGGTCGAGGGTGGAAACATCATCTGCGCGGTGCTGAAGAAATGATTAGAAGTCGCAAGTCAGCATCAAGGGGAGACTCGGACTCGGCCAGGTGGCTCACATACTTTGACACAGCGTGCACGACGTAGGAGAATGGCCCTGATTGATCATTTCTTCGCTAATATGTGTGGCAGATTTGGGATCATGGGAGCGACACTGGCGCCAGTAAACCTCTCCAGCCGACCACCAGCCTGCCTGGACCCTTCATTTCTACAAACTCTTCGACACTCTGAACACCAAACCTGGGTTGGCTGTCCGGCGGAACTTCTTTACCTGCTATCTGTCATTGATTCCCTACGCTCGGTCCATTACTCAGTCCCCGAACGAGAAGATACGATTGCCAGCCTTTGTAGCTGCCTTGGCGCCTTTTCGCCGTCAACATGGGCCAAGGATTTCCCATATCAACAACATTACGAGTCACGATACCACCTTGCCTGCACCTACAAGGCAGCGATTGAAGTTTATGCTTCTCACATCATCGGAACATCCTCTAAAGACCAATATCTATCTGAATCCGACATCCTCGACACAACACAACGTGGAATAGCCCACATGCTCTCGATACCACCACACGACTTTCATATCAAGAGCTTAGTCTGGCCGGCGTTTGTTCTTGGGGCAGAAACGGAGCGCCCAGATCTAAAACAAGCAGTGAGAGCGACCTTTCGACATATCTGGGTATCATCGTGCTGTTACAATGCAAGAAATGCGGCGAGGATGCTTGATAAGATCTGGGCTCGGGACAGTGATGGAAGCAGGGATAAATCATGGTTGGAGTTTGTTTGGGAGAGAGAAGAAAACTGGCTGTTTCTGTAGGTAGTTAGCGTTGTGAGACATGCAGCTGGCGGCGAAGTGTCACTTGTTGGAGAAAGAAGCCACAAGGTTGACTGACAACACGGGTGTTGGAGACAAGTGCGAGGTTTGTAAGCCAAGCGATAAGACACTCGCAACGGAACAGACAAGATAACAGGGCAAAGCCAAGAACTCTAGCTCTAAATCCTTTCTTAAATCCTTCCGGCAACCACAACTGAACCATCTAGAGCGGCTTTGATTCCGGCATGTGCGGACAACGAGCCAAGCCAATGCCCTGAAGATAACCAAGCGAGGATCCTTACCCAGAAAAGTAGCTATCGCGCAGTTTAAAAATCCATATCGTCACGCTTATCCGTGTCTGGAAGTTTGGCGTCGACGGACCAATCATCGATAATTGCGCCATCACCATGACCAAATGTGGATATTTTACGAGATGCGGGACGTTGAGGAGGGGTTGGAGGGGAACGTGGAGGAGGTGTCATCCACGAGATCCAGATCTTGTCTCTGGGGTTCAAATACCGTCTCCTCGGCTTCACTTGTTGGTTCTGATCACACCATTTCATCTTCATTTTAAGTTTCTGCCCTAGAGGCTCTATTGTTACACCATGTCCAGCCCTCCTCCCCATCCTCTTTGCCCTCTCTCCGGCTCCGAGATTCAGGCTAGTGCACGCCTAGTGCAGGGTGCATGGCCGGCATCGGTGTCTCTGAAATTCAAGGTCATCACCCTCAGCGAACCTCCAAAGCAGCAACTGGGGCCGTATCTGGCAGCTCTTGAAAAGGGATCACCTTCTCCTCTCGACCGTCGAGCTTTTGTTGCGTACTATGTCCGCAAGACTGTAAGATTGCCTAACACTGATTTCTGCACGGTTACTGAGAGTTGTAGGACATTTTTCATGAAGCTGTTGTCAACTTGACAACTGGGACCGTCGAGAGCAATGTTAGGCTCGGTCCCTATCTGCATGGTAATGCGGACTATGATGAGGCCCAGGTGATCGAAAAGGTTGCCCTGGAGGACCCCAAGGTGCTGGCAGAGCTCGAGAAGCTCAAGCTACCCGAGGGCACTGTCGTATGCGCGGATCCTTGGATCTACGGTAAGAGACCTATTCATAAGACGTTTGCACGTACTTACAACCACAGGATCTGATGGTGTCGACGATGACCAGAGAATGTACCAGGTTTTCCTGTACATGCGAGACCCTGCCAACTCTTCAGAGCCTGACTCCAACCACTACGCATTCCCACTACCCATCTCTCCGGTCATTGAATGCACCGAGTACAAGGTGGTTCGGATCGACACTATGCCCACTGGTGCAGACAACACCATCAAGCCCCCTGCTCCGTATCAGCCAGCACCTGCCAACGAGTACATTCCAGAGGCCCAGGAATTGCGAAAGGACCTCAAGCCGCTTCGTGTCTTGCAGCCTGAGGGTGCCAGTTTCACTGTGACACCTGTTGGCGAGACTGGTCATATTTTGGAGTGGCAGAAGTGGAATTTCTTTATCGGTGAGTTGGCACATTCACTCAGAAGATCATCACGAGTACTGACATTGCCAAGGCTTCAACCAGCGTGAGGGCATGGTACTATACAACGTGAAGTACGACGGCCGGCCTCTGTTCTACAGACTATCGCTCTCCGACATGACCGTGCCCTATGCTGATCCACGCCACCCTTTCCATAAAAAGGCAGCCTTTGATCTCGGCGATGTCGGAGCTGGTACCACAGCCAACAACCTCCAACTTGGTTGTGATTGCCTAGGCAGCATCCAGTACCTCAGCGGCGTCATCTGCGACGACAGGGGCGAGCCTTTGCCCAAGGAGAACTGCATCTGCATTCATGAGCAAGATGCCGGTATCGGCTGGAAGCATGTCAACTACCGAACCGGCCGATCTGCTGTTGTCCGGTCCCGTGAGCTCGTTCTTCAGTCCATCATCACAGTCTCCAACTACGAGTACATTCTCATGTTCATCTTCAACCAAGCTGGAGAGTTGACATACGAAGTACGAGCTACAGGAATCTTGTCGACTCAGCCACTTGACCACGAGTTGAACAAGACCGGTGTGTCCTTTGGAACGGTTGTGCACCCTGGTGTGCTTGCTTGCCTTCACCAGCACATCTTCTCCCTGCGTATCGACCCTATGATTGATGGACACACAAATCAGCTAGTCTACTCGGAGACTCACAAGATGCCGCGAGACCCTAACTGGAATGCTCACGGCATCGGTTATGAACTTGTGGAAAAGAAGGTTGAAAAGACGGCAGGACTTGACCTGGACTTTGAGCAAAACCGAACCTTCAAGATCACCAATCCCAACTCGCTGAACCCAGTCAACGGTAAGCCAGTCGGCTACAAGATCATGGCTCCCCCATTCCAGAAGCTCATGAGCGACAACGAGAGCTTCAACTTCCGCCGCGCCGAGTTCGCAGACCACAACATCTACGTCACCACGCACCGCGACCGCGAGCTATTTGCCGGCGGCTGGTACACGAACCAGTCACGCGGTGGCACAGGTGTACGCACCTGGGCAGAAAGGAGCGAGACGCTGACCCCAGAGTCCGACATTGTTCTTTGGGTGCAGTTTGGTATCAACCATGTGCCAAGGATTGAGGACTTTCCCGTCATGCCTGTTGAGATTCTCAAGGTGCATCTGAAGCCTGTCAACTTCTTTACCAAAAACCCCGCGTTGGACGTACCGCCTAGTGAGCAGGGTTTCAACCAGAGCACGCTGATTGAGTCGAAGAAGGCTGCAGAGGGTACAGATGTAGGGTGTGGGTGCGAGTCAACAGTGGCTTCCAAGCTGTAATTTGAATAGATTAGACAGATTCAAGTTCCCTATTTCACAATCTGTAGCGTCACCATACTTCTGTTTCATTGCCTTGTTTCTCACCACGCTATGATGAATTGCTTTATATTACAACGGCTCGACGGGCTGGGCAAAATGAGCACAGCAAACCCCATATTCAGGCCATTCCGGGGTGGGAAACAGAACCCCGTACCGGCCATTCACTCGCCATATTACCAGGAACTTTTAAACTGGTCTGCCAGACTCCGGTCGCTGTCTGACGCCAGATGGGGCTGGCTCTGTTCGTCCTACCGCTGTTGACAATTTAAGCGAGTTTATCCCCTTATACAAAGACAAGGACATTTCAGATGTTGCACAGCATATTATTATGCCAGACCCAAAGACCTCATAATTAAATGACAAGCAGGCGCTCCTGTGTCGAATTATCGAATTACACGTGTTCCCTAGCCCTTCACTCGGCTCACCTATCCTCAAAAGACGCGTGATTGGTGGCGAGAGAATGCCTAGAGGCTGGGAGCCTGGGAGCCTCATGGCGCTCGCAAAATCCATCTATTGGGTACCAGTCCCAAGGCTGAGTTAAGTGCGGCATAAATATTAGGCTGACACGTAGCAACCTCACTTCGATGCTCTTGACGAACCACGGGACCCAGCAAACATGTCTCGATGCACGTTTTGCCGTGCCTTTACCATCAGCGTGGAACGTCATTACCAAGAGTTTCATCCTGACCTTGTGTCCCTCAAGAGAAGCGCCGAAGATGGCTGCGACTTCTGCCTGCTCTGCTGGACGGGCTTTCAACAAGAATGGACAACATCGCAGATAGAATCTGTGCTCAAAGATAAAGCCCCAGAGGGAGTCAGCGAATTTGAACCAAGTATCTGGATTTATGTACATTTCCGAGACTACCATGCCTGACAGACTCAGCCACAGATCAGCGTGTATTGCGGGAGGGTCTCTCCCCTTCCTGGTCAGAGGGAAAGTAGCTTTGGCCTCAACCATATAAACCTTTCTGTCTATGGGTCAGCATCTTCTTTTTTATCAAAAGTGGAAGAAGTACCAAGAACGTTGAACTGATAGATTCTCTAGAGAAGAGGGAACCTTGGCAGGTTCGCGCACGCCTGGGCGAATTTGCACAGCAGAGCATAGACCTGATACTTATATCACCATCACCCAACAATTCCTCCAAGGATGTATAAAGTTCCATCGAGCCTGCGACTTTAAGGGAACGTACAGAATGCCAACTAGGGTCATTGACGTGGGCAATCCCCAAAAAAACGGCTCCCACGACTTATCATCACTAGCCCCAACATGGAAGACAAATACCTCGCCCTATCCTATTGCTGGGCCCTGCGACAGATACATACACCCTCAACGCTAACACTATGGAGGATATGCTGAACGGGATGGATGAGTCTCGTCTGGTGGCTGCACACCGTGACACGCTGAGTCTAGCTCGTTCGCTAGGTATCCAATTCGTTTGGATCGATGCATTATGCATCATCCAAGGCAACAAAGAGGATTGGGAACGTGAATCGAAGCTAATGGCTAGAGTCTATGGCAGCTCGACTCTTACCGTTTCAGCAGGAAGATCGGCAGATGCTCGCAACTCCTTTATTATCAACGACTATAAACAGCCTGCTCCTTGCTGCGAGATACCCTTGGACGAAGGCCAGGGAAATGTTCTTGTAGGTTTGAGAAGGTCTTCGGACTACGGTGTCGTCGAAACCCGCGGATGGTGCCTCCAAGAGAAGAAATGGAGCCGTCGCATAGTCTTCTTTGGCAAGGAACAGCTTTACTTCTTGTGTCGATGTTGCAGCTACTCGGAGGATCGCAACTACGAAGAGGAGAAGCCTTCTTCTCTCCACGCTATCCTGAGCCAGGCCGATAAAGACATGTCGTCGAAAAGAGATCGACTCCTGCAATTCTGGGACGGGGTCTTGATTGACTTCTCCAAGCGCCAACTGTCAAACCCACATGACATCTTCGCAGCCACTGCCTCGATCGCGGAACCAGTATCCAGAGCCATTGGGTCCAGATATTTGGCTGGCCTTTGGGAGTGTGACCTTGTCCGCTGTCTCTTGTGGAGGCCTGGCTACTTAGTGAGCAGTCCCTTCTTCGGATCAGCTACGCGACCACGACCAACCAGGTTCGCACCCGCCCCAGTTATTAGGGCGCCGTCTTGGTCTTGGGCTTCCATTCAAGGCGGTATCTATCCACTGTCGAAGCAAACACTTCAGGGAAAGATAAAACAGTACCAGGGGGAAGATTTCTTCAAGGCGAAGCCGAAGCTACGAAACCCTGATCGCTGGACAACAGATACTCACTGCGATGCCAACATTCTGCACATGCCATCTTGCGAACTACAGCTTGTAGGACGTATTCAAGAAGCCTTTATAATTACGAAAACGCCTGCAGATGATTTCGTCGACACGTTGCGAAGACAGAAGAAGCCGGGTCCAGGGATGCTTCGCCAAAAGACCCTGCTTGGACGCAAGGAGTTGAAAGAAGGTGCCTTCAGTTCAGATCTGGCGCTCTTCGTAGCTCTTGGAGCATTTGACTTGGCCGAGGAGAGTGTTCAAGAGGTATGGTGTTTGCAACTGACAGCTGAGGAGGGGCTCATGCTTCGCAAGGGAGACAATGGAAGGTTTCAGCGCTTAGGACTGTTTCAACTGTACAAGATGGACTGGTTTGGCAATTTAGGCGATTCCGAAGTTGTATTGGTGTAAATGGGGCTCATTACCCAGTATCATGTGTTAGATCATAAACGCATTGCCGCTTCACGAGCCCTCACCTTATTCTTCTTTCGCCATTTCAGCTATTGCCCTTGATGAGATCTGCTGCATATTCTGCCACAGCATACACCGTAGCCTGAGTATGAGCCGCCGGAAGCAGAGGCATCACGCTCGCATCAACCACCCATAGCCCCTCAACACCATACACCCGGAGATTTGTGTCAACCACACCTCCCCATTCTCGCGGCATCATAGCAGCTGTTCCAACAGGATGGTCCAAACTGGGACTAAGGAATGTCTTTCGCATGGCCGTCTGAATCTCAACCTCATCCTGAAGAGTCAGTCCGGGAGATACTTCGACAGGTTCAAGAGAGGCAACGCTCTCTGCGGCCATGAATTGGCGGGCTTTGGTGAGGGCTCGCATCACGATGTGCATGTCAACCGGGTTGGCGGCTGTGTTGAAGTCGATGAGCGGTGAGATGGAAGGGTCCGCGTTGGTGGTGTTGATGAAGATGGTGCCTCGGGATAGAGGCTTCTGAAGAGCAACAGGGACAACGATCGAACCGCTAAAGACGATTTCCAGAATTCCAGCCTCAGGGTTGAGGAATTGCGACTGCAAAACTCGACGCTGCTTGAGGAAACCCTTGACGAGAGAGGGGTTCTCGGCGTAGATGGCAGGCAAGTGCTCCAACGGCTCTTGATCCTCGAGGCTCTTGGCTATGGCCTCAAAGTCCGGATCAAGGTCTTGAAGGGATGAGAAAGAGATATAGTTTCCCCATGCGTGCGAGAAAGGCCCGGTCTTGTTAGTGACATATTCCTCCCACGCGGCGTCATAGAAGTCAGGGTCATTCATAAGATCGCGAGTTGGGACACTCTTGTTGTTGACTAGATGAAACCGGTCAGCCGTAATGACCTCGAGAAAGTGGCAGCGTTCACATACACTCATAAATCATGTTAAAGGTCGGATGGTCCTGGAAGTTAGCCCCGACTCCAGGTGCATCAACAACAACATCGATATCAAGCGAGTCGAGCAGCTTCTTAGGCCCAATGCCACTCAGCTGCAGGATCCGAGGAGTGTTAATGGCTCCTGCAGCGAGGATAACGTTCTTGGATAAGATGCACCTCGATGGTCCCCCGTCTCGGCTAGCAATCTCGACGCCTGTCGTGATGTTGCCGTTGAACTTGATAGGAGCTCCGTAATGTCGGACCAGCAGATGGAGGTTCGGGCGACGACTGGCTGGTTGGTAGTAGGCCGTCTCTGCGCTTGACCGTGTTGCTTCTTTACCACCAGAGTTCTGGGGGATCCAAGCCAGGCCAACGTTCTTTCCATCAGCGCCATCACGTAAGATGTCTGCATCCAGATCTTCTGTCCAAGCTTCCGCTTGCATAGCTGCAAGAGAAATGATTAGCCATCTGAACCAAGATCTTTCCAAGGCAACTTACCTGCCCCTGGCCATTGCCAGGATGGATATCCAACTTTAATTGGGCCGTGTCCATATGACTCGGGAGTCCATGTATAACCATACTTGTCAACGTATTCCTTAGCTGGGGGAGAGAACCTCGATGACTTGCGAAAATACTTGAGCAGAGTCTTCCATCCCCAACCGGGATTTCCTAACTGCTCCCAAGAATCGTAGTCGACTGAAGACCCTCTATCCCAAGCCATACCGTTGATGGTCGAGCTTCCTCCAACCACGCTTCCGAGACGCATCCTGCTGGTGCGACCGTCTAGATGAACCTGAGGGACAGATGTCATGTTGTAAAGCCGAGGTGTTTGATCTAAAGTGGTAAAATAGGGCACCGTAACGTTGATGGTGTTGGCAAAGTCGCCATATTCGACGACCAAGACGGTTTCTGTGATCCATCGTCAGTCTTTGCTGACAACAGCTGCGGGGGAGTGCTCTCACTGCTCTGGTCCTCACTCAGCCTGTTAGCAACCACCAATCCGCTTGTCCCACCACCAACAACAATATAGTCGTATTTATCCAAGACAGACTCCATACTGTGCTGAACATGATGCTCTGGCTTCTTCAGACCCGACGCGGATCCAAAAAGAAGCATCAGCCGGAGCAGCCCCGTCATCGAAAAGAGTGAAGTCATGGTGTCGTGGAGGAGGCGATAGAGTTTAGCTTAGACGGATCGGCCATGGTCTATCACTGCGTCGGCTTTTATGCTTATGAATCTCTCTCGGATCGCCCTGTCTTGGAGGAAAATACCGCCAGACCCCGCACGGAGAGGGGAGTGTTCCAGGTAAGATTGCTCGTGTATGCATCACGGCATCCCGCTGTGAGACATGCAGGTCACATCGGGACAGGGGTTGACCTTGGCAGTATTACATAATTGAGGATTCTATCGAGAGAAGATGTGAGAAATTGTCTCTATAGGGCCCGCTTGAGGTATTTAACGTTGCATATGTGTGATTCAGATGCAAGGAGTGTATGCTAACTACGGATCGGACGACTTGCGTCATGCGGCTCCGTCTTCTTTCATCTGCCCAGTCTGTGAAACATGGATCACATGGTAAGATTGCAAGGTTTTGAGCTCCGCACTGGAGCTCCCTAGGGCATTTGAACTTGACACGGGAGAATAGACCTCGGCTATCGAGCGACATAGTATCGTCCTCCTCGCTGTGTGGTTGTGAATAATACAAACGGCTACGTCTGCAACCACATTTTCTTCTTCATAACCTAGTACCCTCAATTTGAATAGCCATGTAGACCCTGATTGCATGAAAACTCAGCCCGCTTTGATGTCAGCTCAAGTACAATAATCCGAGCAGCTCTAGGAGTAATTTGCCCTGGTGTTTCCCTATTCTAATTGAGGATAACCCTCCCTTTCTTAACACCCGGGTTGATGGGCAAAAGGCCCTATACGGGGAGTATATCCGCAGTGGTTACAGATAGTACAAGAAGACTAATTGCTAGGCATTGCCCCCCTCCGCGCATAGTTTTTCCTACATGGCGTCCGAGCTGAGTGACCTCGCCGTCATTGACGAGGGCCATAATAAGAGCCCTATCGTGGCCATCGGCATTAAAGATACAAGAAACCATAGCAGCGTTGAGGCGGTAGAAGCACATGTATTGCGCTAGTCGCAAATCACTCGCCGGTGACCAGAGGAACTCCAGGGATTCACCGAGCTACAGACCAACTATCACAGCGCGCGTTGAAATCGAGAAGAACTAAACCACCAGCTTTTGGACCCCGTCGGAGGAGCCTGTTCTGATGGATGAGGGCACGTAAAACGTTCCAATTGGCAACAGCAGCCATAATATTATTCTCGAGGGGATGTTTGAGATGTCAAACTTGAAGTGGTGGAAGGGATCTACCTTATCTATTCTTTCCAAGAAAGAGGAAGTACAATTGAAGACGAAACCTATGAGACAGTATTGCCTTCAAAGAATAGAGAGCTGGGACACCCATTCAATTCTACGTGTGAGAGAATGTCCATCATTTTCTACACTGCGCTCATTAACAGGCTCGCCCACTCCAGACCGACTGGGAATGTGGTTAGTGGGATGTCAGCATGGCACCACCTAGGTATTATTCAAGACAAATTCATCGTGACTAAGATTCCACCCTTGATTCACCCGAGCCGACGGCATCGGTAGGATTATCGTCTCCCTCGGGGTCAAACTCCGCAAGAAGGTGGCCCCGCATGCGGACATTGACGGCGCGGATCTCGGCCGTCCGCCGGCGCCCGCGGGTTGCCGGACTACACTTAACAATCAGAGTTGACATGATGAAGACTATAAAAGGTATTTAAACCCTCCAAAGAGCATTATACGAAAATAGCATCACCAATCTTATTATCATCATCTCCCTTCAACACTATCAACATGACTCTTCGCATCACAGTCCTCCCAGCCTCAAGCAAGGCCGGAAAAGAGACTATCCGCAACTTGCTCGCATCGGATTCCAAGCCCTTGATTCACGGTATCTACCGCGATCTTTCCAAGATTCCTGCTGAGTTTTCAAACCATGAACGGTTCGAGGCCACACAGGGCGATGTGGCAAGCGGAATAGGGCTCGACTTTTCTCACTCTGATGCCGTGTTTTATGTCCCACCACCGACCTACGATGGAACCGATCAGGGAGAGTGGGGCGTTAAAACCGCTACTCATGTCAAGGAAGCCCTTGAGAAATCCCCCAACGTTAAGAAGCTGCTCCTGTTCTCTTCCATGGGTGCCCAGTACGACCATGGCATCGTAGGTCCCATTTGATAACACCATCTCTTTGACCAACCAGCTTAACAATATCATAGGGTCTATTGCGCTTGAACCACATTTCGGATAACATTCTCAAGGACTCGGTGCCCGAGGTGGTCATTGTCAAGCCGGGATATTTCCAAGAGAACTGGTCTCATGCCTTTGAGACGACTCAAGCAGAGCCACCCGTCATCTACTCCGTGATTACGCCTCTGGACCACAAGATTCCTATGGTAATATTGCCCTTCACAAAAAATTCTGATAAGTTCAAGCACGCTAATGTTTTATTCTAGGTGAGCATTAGAGATATCGGCCGGGCTTGCGCAGACGCCCTGCTCGCAGCTCCGAAGGACGTCAGCCCTTACTTCTTTGACCTATACGGCCCCAGACACTACAGCGCACTCGACGTCAAGGAAGCGGTCGAGGAAGTCACCGGCAAGAAGGTCAATGTCATTCCTATTGAGAAGGATAATCTTGCAGAGTTCTTCGCTCGGGAGATCCCAACCGCTCATATCGACGACTTTGTGGGGATGACGACTTCTGCCCTCCCTGGTGGCATCATGGCGGGTGATTTCGGCACCAATGAGAGGACTGTCCAAGGAAAGGTTGAGCTGGTCGAGGCTCTGAGGCCCTTGTATACGCAGTAGATATACTGGTTGCATGCGAGGGGATAGAAAGAGCTGCGCCCGTTGGTTTGATAAATTGGTGTCATGTTACGTCTTGAAAACAGGTAGTCTAGATTTTCAGATGACTCTATCCGAGGCGAACCTTTCTCCACATCCGAAGACACTCCTGCAAGTCCATGGAAACCGTGCCCTCTGCAGCCGTTGACGTATCTCTGATCAGAGCAACCAGCAGCGTCGCGTTCGCAAACCCAGGCTTATCATCTTGAACGGCTTGATAGTCCGACTGCCTCATGCCCCCAACATCACCCCAGGCCTTCCACAAGTCCAGCATTCTGCAGATATTAGAAGCAAACTCTCCATTGAGAACCATTCGGTGCAGCATGAAGCCTACAACGCCCTTGAGCGTCAGTGAGGCATCCCAGTGCCCGTTGGCCTTGAGCCACTGGAGAGAGTGCTCGGCAACAAGCTTTGTATCCCATTTGGGACTTTGAAGTGCCTCCATCATACGTTGGTCGCGCCGTTGTTGGTCGGCCCTCATCTTATCACGCACTATTTGTTGTCAGTACGTTCTAGTCGGATAAAAAGCGCACAACACTACACTTACTGTCATGCATCCTCTGCTCCGTCTCCTTGCGCATTCTCTCCCGCACTGCCGCCTCCCGCTGAGCAGGAGCCATTCGCGCCTCCGCAGCCATCGCCGCACGCTGTTCCTGGCTCCTCCTCGCAAACTGGTCAATTGATGCCCCGTAATCATTGTGCTTTGTTGCCCAGTCTGGTGTCTCGGATTCATCAACCATGCCCAAAACTACAAGAACACCGCATGGCACTGTCTCTTTTCTGGCGAAGTAGAGGATCTCGTCTGGTATCTTATAGTTCCAAAGAATAGTCTGACTCGAGGTTCCAAAGGCCGTAGCTGCACTGGCAAACCACACTCCAGCCGATTTTGTGGGATGAATGCGCAAGTGGTCGACATATAAGCTATCGAGGTTGAAGTTGCTTTGGTTGCCGTAATGTGTTTGTTCGGTTAATGCTGTGACGAGGCCAGACATTGCAATCTGACAGGTGATGGCCTTGTTAGATTGAGGCGAGTTTTCTTGGTGGATTGAGTCCAACTCGATCGAGTCCATTCCCTTGTCCGGCTTTTCTGGCTTGGCGAGGCCTTCCTCTGACCCCCGTCGCGATGAACCTGCGGCCTCGGAGCTTCCACCTTGATCGGTACATTCTTGTTTCTGAGGCGGTGCCGGCAGTCTCACCCAGTATGGTGGCAGATTAGAATAATCCCTCGTGATCCATGAGCTCGACCACGCCACGGCCAAGGAAAGGTTACCATCCGAGTCGTTTGACAGCGCGACTGTCAGGGCGTCTTCCCGGCCATCCGGAGACATCATGAGAGAGCACCCTACCGGAGTCCAAAGTCCTGTCGATCGAAGCAATTTCCAGCCATGTGGGTTCGGTACGGCTCCCAGATCCAGCAGATAACATACCAGCTCATCAAAGGCAACCTCGACCTGAGGCTGGCGGACTTGGTCAGCATACTCAACGCGCTGAGTCTTGATTCCAATAGAATGGGTCTTCCAGTTGAAGGTTGTCCAACTACCGCCGGGTATGGAGCTGGGGTGCCTTGAAAGAGTCCAGTACTCGGAGCGGTCCTGGAACCTATCCAGAGGCATGACAGCATATCGAGGTAGCTCAATCTCGATGACACGATTGACAATGTCACTTCTTGTGAGCGCAGTCAAACGACTACGCCGAAGCATGCGCTTTATCCGCGATAGAGAGACAAGAGTCGCGAACGTGTTGTACAGAATTGGGAGCACTTTGGCACGTTAGTCTGGAAGTCTTGGCGTTCATTTATTATGCGAGAAAATGGTACCTCCCAAAACTGCCAACGGCACGCCGATATACGTGATGATATCAGTTGGTGAATGGCCATTGTCGGCCATCTTGGCGACCTCAAATTGAAGCAATACACAGGAAACAAAAAGGGGCTTCAGCGCGTTCGAAGAGCTGAAACGCGAATTGTGGCTAGTCCGGATCTGGGAATGGCTTCAGCCTGCAATGGAGCTAATGCAGCCACGCCTCGATACAACAGTAGTGTTCGGAAACGGCCAATTTTAACTCCGGGTTCTCATTGTTGAATCAACATGTTGAAAGATGACAATTGACCACGGTCCAAGATGAAAGAGTGCTTGTTCATCTTCCAGTAGAGGGGCAGTTTACGGTGCATCGGTGTCGTTCACCAGAATTTGCAGGGGTGCGATGATTGCGGCATTCACGCCCACAAACTACACAACTTATTTCTAGAACACAAGCAACACACAAACTGGAATCTGGTGTTTGAGCAATAGAAGGAAGCCAAACAGTAGAATAGAAACAACTTTCCATTTCCATTCCAAAGCTGAGCTTGAACATTGTCTAGTGCAGGTACTTGCTGTACTCCGTAGCTTTCGACCAGATCCTTCAACCACCCTATAGTCATCCACCTCTGGGCTTGTATCCAATCAACGGCGGCATCAAGAGACTCAGGTCAGGGATCTCTCCTTGACTGCGCGCGGGCTTGGAGCCTGTATACAAATGCCAGCGTGAAAATTGGTGCAGTTGGGGCCAACACATATCACCAAGTTGAGAGCAACGGCTGTTGCACTCCATTCCTGAGCATTGAATTATGTCCGAAGCTCGCTCGCCTGCCATTTGAACAATACTCGTATTAATAAACTGTAAATCGTGGCATATCCCTCAAAGAGTCCCGCCACGGCTCTGCAACAGCCGGGCCACCTCGCGGTGCCCTCTCACCATGGCCCAATAGTATGCGGTCTTGCGACCTTCAACCATTTCGTTGATACGGATGCCCTCCATCCCCAGTAGCATCTCAATAACCTCAATGTGTCCGTTCTTTGCAGCATTAACAAGTGGCACAGTCCTTTCCCTCCGGATTTCTTGGCCGCCTTGGACTTCGGCGTTGGGATCAGCGCCATAGTCAAGAAGGAGCCGGACCATAGCCTGGTTCCCTTGCTCTGCGGCAATCGCGAGCGGTTCCCTCAGTGATATGTTCCCTTGCGTCGCTCTGGGGTTGATATCGGCGCCGTTATCAAGGAGAAGTCTGACAACTGCCTCTTGGCCCCTTTCCACAAAGGACAACAGTAGGGTCCATCCCTTGGGAGTTGCGGCGTTGATGTCGCATCCTGCTGTAATAAGAGCACGCATCGATTCTCCGAGTTTAAAATGTGCCGTGAGATATAACGCTTTGGATTCGGGCCAGTTCAGATATTCGTTTAAAGCTGTGCAACAGGTCTTGGCCTTGGTTTCATTGCTGAGAAATCTCATTACCGAATTTTGGTCGCTGGTGGAGGCTGCTTGAACATGGTGTCCCCAGTGATTGGCAGCATAGTCGTAGAAGCCATATCGCGGGTCGGACTGACGCGTTGGAAGGTCTGGCTCCATGTTCTCGAACAAGAGGTAGTTGAGGCAAGTCTCTGCCAAGTGGTCCTCCGTGTAAATGAGATATTGACTTCCCTCGTCATTGAAGTACTCAGCAACCGTGAAATGTGCTAGTCGAACTATCTTGTCTTGATCGGTCGATGTTGGTTCCATGATGAGAAGTCCGGCCGTGAGTGAAGCAATCAGAGAATCAACGGGGATGGAGTCTTCGTCTAGGTCATCATCTTCGGGATTGAGAGCAAGTGCAATGAGTAGCTCGCTTAAGAGGAGCGGTCGACGCGCCCTAACGACCCAGCTCAATGTTTTTAATGCAAGATTCTTATCTCCTTCTGGTTGCCTGTTGATTCGCTCCATGGCACCCTCATAGAGGCTGTTGATCTTGCTTGGTCTAGGCAAATTATTCAGTGTTCTCCTGAGGTCTCGTATGTTTGTCTGCCTCCCAAGTTGATCCACATGAAGATGCGCGAGTAAGAACCTGTTATTGAGTAAGCGCAGAGCAAGAAGGGTGGTGTTTACGGAGAGGCCAACATTCCTTGAGCTTTCTCTGCCAACGCCTCAACAATCTTATCGGCAAGATCTCTCTGGTTCTCCCGTAGGGCCCTTGAATATCTGAAGTTGTTATCAGAGATGCGGGATCTCACCAAAGTGCGAATATCTGAGGCCAGTGCATGGATGTTGATGGAAACGCATCCATCCAGATGCTCTCGAATGGTATCATTCCCCCTCGAAGTCACGAAGAGTCTCATGCGACCATTCATGCCGTCTTGCTGTTCAACTTGTCGTAGCCGGTCAATGAAGTCCGTATTGAGGGAACCATCATCTTCTTCTCCAACATGTTCGTCGAGACCATCGACGATGACGAAAGTCTGGCTGAAAGAGGTCACAAGTTGCGAAAACAAAGTGGAATACTCATCCAGAGATGGCAAAGTCTCATTGTTTGCATGCTTGTCGTAAAGGTCCTTGACCTCTTTTGGCAAGACCTGCTTTTGTCTCGCGAGCTGTTTGGCGAGACTAGAGAGGAGGTTGCTCGGGGTCTGGTTCAGCCGGTCTTTATAGTCGCAGTATACGAAAGCTATGCCGATTGTAGCATCATCGAACTGCTGCCGCAGATGATCAATGACAACTGAGCTAGGTTCTGTTAGTTCTGAACAGAAAATCTAGGGATGAGTCTGTACCTTATGACTGTCTTTCCGGCTCCGGCTAATCATGTATTAGTACGAACGACTCAAAGCAAGGTGAAGGAACTTCAACATACGCATTCCAGGACACCAAAGTGCCGAAGTTTTTTATTGGACTGGCCGTCCCGCCACTGCGTGAATTCATCCTTATCCAGGAACCACTGTCCTGTATTGGGATGGCGCTTGGTGAGGACAGCTCGGTGTGTGTCCTCAAAGCTCAGGCCGGATAGCCAGGCGAGGACTCCTTTATTCTCTTCGCTCTGGCGCCAGTCTCGCTGCTCCTCTCGTATCGCCTTGACTTCATTGTAGGTCGCAGCTTGAAAGCCGATTGATACCATCTTGTTCAAGATCTCGCATCGGCGGTGAAGATCCTCAACTTTGTCTCGTGTTGCTTTGGCGTTAAATGCTCCTTTGATGCGCTGCCATCCAACTCGATGACCTCTTTCACATTGCCTCAGGGCTTTGAGGAGATCTTCGAGCCCTTTCTTGCACGATGATACCATTTCTACCGTGGTTGTGTTGGGGTCAGCGATGCCTGGATGAGAGAGACTCACTGCTCGACGACCCAGGAAGGCATCGCGAAAGTCATCATGAATGAGGATGTTGATGTGTGTTACCGACAGCACAGCTTTAAGACCCTGGAGTTCGGTGATGAGTGCTCTTGTATCATCAGGTACGTCTTTCCAGTCGCTGCCAAAATCAACGGCGAGCTGAATGAACTGGGCTGCGACGCCAAGAAGGCCAATGATGCTGAATGGATCGGCCATGATGCGGGATGAATGGACGCAGAGTGCTGGAAAACATGAGTTCTACAAGTAACCTGAAGAGCAGCGATTCTTATTTGTGTTTCATAAAGAGCCATCACGAGATACAACATGGGCGTTTGCATTCCGTGGTCCGCCATGGCTTGTTCCGAGGCGTTGAGAAAGTTACCGACAGAACCGAGCAATGCCTCTCTGCTGATGCTGGCCAAGACGCGTTGGAAAAAGAATCGAGGCGCATGTTGCCAAAGGATCTGGAATGATTCTAGCTCCTCGTAGGATACGAACTCCTGCAACAGGGTTGAAAAACCAAACTCCAATCAACTCTAGGATATTTACCAGCTGAAGCCAATATTTCGATAAGAAATGCGACAAGTGGCTTTTCTCATTGGCCTTGGTGCCCTCCATAGCCCAGTCTCGATCAATAGTCTGCCCCGTTGGCTGACGGTCTATTCCCATCAAGGAACGCTATCAAGCCACAATCTTGGCCCAGAAGCAAACACGACACGTTTCACGGCATGGTTGTTGAGGTAGCCTCGGCACTTTTTTGTTGAGGGCTGAAATTCCTTTTCTCACTTGACCTATTTATCTCAAAAACTTGACTTTTTCTGCCGCCTAGTATCGTCTGTGTGGCTGTAGACGACTCAAAAATGGCGTATCACGACCTCACTAAAGCCGTGCGGCTTTCAGGCCCCATCGACACGTCCCTCCCCTACGACGTTTCAACCGTCGCAGGTAAGACCATCCTCATCACGGGCGGCTCACTCGGTCTTGGAGCCAACTTTGCCCGCCATTGGGCTTCTCACGGCGCAAACTTGATGATTGGCGACATCAACGACGAAGCAGGTCACAACCTCATCGCCGAGCTGCGGACAAAGTACCCCAAGGCCAGCCATCACTTCTTCCACTGCGATGTGACGGATTGGGACTCGCAGGTGGCTTTTTTCAAGGCTGCAGCGGCGGCTTCGCCTCATGGAGGGATTGATGTCGTGGTGGCTAATGCTGGCATCGTCGATCCCAAGTCCAATCGCAGGTTTGAGAACCCAGAGGCCATTCCCACCGACCCGGATGCGCCATACAAGCCCAGCACCAAGATTCTCGATGTCAACATCACAGGAGCCATGTACACAGCAAATTTGGCCCTATTCTGGCTGCCTAGAAACGGATCCGACAAGGTCAACTCTGATGAAAAGCCCGAGGCTGATGGACGCGACCGATGCCTGCTTTTCTTGGGCTCTTACGCCGGTGTTTGGCACCTCTGCGGCCAGTCACACTACACAGCCTCAAAGCACGCCATCACTGGTCTATTCCGCGCAATGAGAGGAACTGCTTGGAAGCACGGTGTCCGAGTGACAATGCTGTGCCCCTACTTTGTTAGCGAGTCCAGCATGTTCCCTCTCGGCGCAGAAGCTGCTTTCCTCACTGGAACCGCTGGACCCGCCCAACACGCCGACGTTCTAGATGCCGCGACAAGACTGATTGCCGATGAGTCCATCGTTGGAAGAGCACTGCTCATCGGACCCAAGGTGGCCATCGACGACCCCGATGTGGACGACGCCAAGAAGAACGAGAGGGCTGTTTGGGACTGTTATGCGGAAGACTACACCGACTCGGAGGCTTTTGTATGGCGATGGGTTCGCGCGATGAATGCCGTTGAGAAGAGCCGAGGATGGTTTGGGCTTTTCTGGGATATTTTTGGCGTCATTGTGAGAAGTTCTAAGAAGAAGAGTACATAGGATGTCGAGGGACGACGGGCGAAAAAGGAGCCAAGTATGGGAAATTAAAAGCAGGTGTTATGCAAGCGTTGGGATGGGATGTTTGAACGTCACAGATGATTTGAACAAGGATATGACAGGAAATCCATTTCTTTAGATGAACTTCCATTCGAGAAGCCAGACTCCAACTAGTTCAGATGACAGACGTTGTTGTCCAGCATACAACTCCCCATGCAATGGTGGTCATATCTAGTTTACAACTAAATAGTCCAGTTGATAGTCCAGTTGAGCGTCACAGCGCATTTTCCACTTAAGAAACAAAGCGGAAATCAAGTCGCTTGCTTCCCTGGTCGGTGGATGTCTCAAGATACCGGATCTTTTCCTCCGTCGACATGCTATTCCACTTCTTCTCCTTCTGCTTATTCCTCCAGGTATAATAGACCTTGATGAGTATATAGAGGACAATGTTCAGACAGTTGATGCCAATGAGAACGCGGTTACCACGGCGATACTCGGGTCTGTCGTCTTCTCTGTAGATGTTGGAACCAATGATTGACTGCAACTGGACAGACATGTTGTAGAGCGAGGCCGACAGGGCTCGGGTGCGGACTGAGTTGGAGTTGTGCGAGCACCAGGCTGTCTGGAGGGGGTGGGGGTTTGGATATGAGAGAAGCACCGTCACCAGAGCGTACATGCCCCATTTGTTCATGTCGGCGGGCAATACAGCCAGGGCTATTACACACGGGAGGAACCAAAGCTGGGTGAAGAGTCCGATGAGAGCCCTCTGCCCGATCTTGCCAGAGATGTAGGTGACCAACAGCATCTGGGGTTCAATGTTAGGTAACCGAAGAAAAAGAAGAGGATCCATCGTGGTGGGATCGAAGGAGAGTTACTGACATTGATGGTAGTCCCCAGCTGTGCAGGAATAGTCAACAAGTTCGTACTGAGCGTGTCAAAGCCAATCTGACGCAACGTGAGAGTCAAGTACTGAGCCGGTGGCATAGACGGCAAGACAAATGTCAGACCCAAAAAGTACATCGGCCAGAGGTCAAAATCGCAAAGAGAATCCCAGAACAGCTTAAAGGTAATGGGCTGTCTGTTGTGCATGTCGCCCTTGGACGGGTCGTCGCGAAGGATGCGGTTCACCAGGATCTTTTCCTCACGTTCGTTGAACCAGCCGCCTTTGCGCCATGGCCTCTTTGTCTGGGTTACTGAGGGTACCATCATAAAGATGGAACCAAAGGCAATGACAAGATTGAGCAGGCCCTCGGTGAGGAAGAGCCATCTCCAACCCGAGTAGCCGTGGACACCTCTCAACCTAAGGACACCATAGGCGAGCAACGGAGCAACCACACTACTCAGACGTGTAGCCGTCCAGAGGATAGCCATTCGAATAGGGAGCTCTGTCGCCTTGAAGAAGTATGAGAGGTAGAGCACCAGGTCTGGAATGAAGCCTCCCTGGAGAAGGCCCATCAAGGCACGGCAGGCGAGGAAGGATGAGCGGCCGCTGAGCCAGAACTGGCAGATGGCGACCATGGACCAAGACAGCATCAGGGTAGGGATCCATTTCTCGGGGCCGACTTTCTTGCTGACGAGCTGGGATGGAATTTCGGCAATGAGGAATGTCACTCTGAACAGGGTAACACCAAGATTGTAGTCTGGTGAGGCATCAATGTTAGGATCCAGTCTACGAAGAACAATGGTAAGAATGAAAAAAGAGCGTACCATTGGTATCCAGGTTCAGGTCATCAAGAAAGTTGTCTGCATTGGCTTGTCCCAAGCTGGCCTGATCCATGTTCAAAGCCATGAATGCAACCCAAGCCCAAAATGTAACCCTCAAGTCCAGCTTCTTGACAAGAGGCTACACACACGATATGTTAGCAGTGTGCCAATGAAATCTTTGTCAGTACTTACAGTCTCCTCGCCCCATGTCCAAGTAAACATTGGGTCAAACCTGTGAAGGTTCTCATACTGAGGATGCGGCTGGAAGTGCGGGGCTTGCTGAGGGTCATCAAAGACACTTGGCTGAGTAGCAATGTCCTCAGGGTTCTGCTTCTCAGCACCGCGATTAAACAGACTGAACAGGGTAGTCTGAGTCGTCTCACCCGGGGTCCGGTCGAGCGTGACGATGGCGGCCCTCTCCTTGGCGTCGAGCTCTTCTTTCTCGTCTCTTGGATTTGCCATGATGGATGCTGCAGAGGTAGATGCAGAGTTGAGTTGCAGAATGCACCTGAAAAAGAGGGGATAAAGTCACCTTTATCAGATCGTCGGTGCGAGTTCCGAAAAGAATCGTGTGTGTCACTAGCGCTGTTCATACATGAAGCGAGCTTGGTGATCCCCTCTTGTCAGGGGGGCCTTATTGGTGCTCTTGACCCTAATACGAGGGATACCCTGCGCTAACGGTTTTTCCTATGCTTGGCTCAATCGGCTCTGCAGTTCATGCCTGGAAGAGTTTGCGCCAAGCAGTCGGGCAGGAATCACTGGTGGAGAGTAGAGAATGGAACTCGGCCCATACTGCTTTATGCATAATCGACATAAGCTTGACAGTGGTGTTGAACTGCGGTTCCGACTTGGCGAGCATCAGGAGTCATGGCGCGGATATTGCCAAGAGTCCGGTGAAGAGCTTCTAGAGTCCATTTTCTAGATCCCACATGACCATTAAACACTTCAAGTAACGATCAACAAAGCTTGAGCCATTTAATGCTACCATGTCTCTTCGGTAGCTTAGCCCGAGCTAGTGGATACCGTTACCCTCGATGATAAACTGTTGGCTATGATGTTGGGGGACATGGATGGATGCCGAGAAGGCCCAAAGCCCAGCCTCCACAGACTACGGCAGAGCCAATCTTAAACCGCTTAGCCAAAGAATTCCCCACGAGCCAAGACAAAGTTGTCCACGTGGGGGTGCCATGTCTTGATCTTATCTGATCTTGATTTGTCGATGCCGCGGCATTACTTCCCACTTAGACCCTTAAAAATGGTAAGGCTGGGTTTTTTTAACCGGACTGGTTGACAAAGTTCCATGGCCTTGGCTCTCGTATCATTTAACCTTGAATCCGTTGGGCGATTCTAGACTCGGTTAGGTCCTTTGCCCGGGTGAAGAAACTCGAATTATTACCGCAAGTGGTTTGACCGATATCGGGGCCGACCAGCGCTTTTAGGTATTTTTCCGCTGGCATGTTTCTATATCATTGTCTTTAAGGTTTTTGTTCTGTTGTGCGCGATTTCGCACCATGACTGTCGATCATCGTACGAGCAGCCCCCAACGAATTCTCGTTGCTGGAGGTGGTTTTGCAGGATTGAGTCTTATCGGGAACCTGCTCGACTTGTGTCAAGGACGGAAAGCCCGCTTCGACCTCGACAAGGCTGCCGGTGATGATGATAACGGCAGAAGAGTCGATGTTTCCATCACAATAGTCAATGAGAGAGATGGATACTGTAAGATAGCGAGGCTTCTAGGCGATCTTTGGACTGACCTTGTAAAGTTCATACCATTGGGGCACCACTTGCCATGGTCAGTGAAGAGTACAGCCAAAAAGTATGGACAGAGTACTCAGCCCTGGAGATTCTACAACATCCAAGTGTAAAGTATATGCAAGGCAAACTTGCTTCTGTTTCACCAGAGTCAAAAGAGGCTGTGATCTTGCCATTCAACAGCGAGACTCCGTCCACAGTTGGTTACGATTTCTTTGTTGCGGCCACAGGACTTCATAGAGCTTGGCCGGTTGTTCCCCAAGCTTTGACAAAGTCTGAATTTCTGGCCGATGTGAAGAGGCAAGTGAAGGCTATACAGGATGCCAAAGATGGAGTGGTGGTGATCGGTGGCGGTAAGTTTCGAAGCCTATCATTCTCAAATCTGTGATGCATCTTCTAACATGTTGTCTTCTGGAAAAACAGGCGCCGTAGGAGTTGAGATAGCAGCCGAGATCTTGCATACCCACCCTGATACCAAAGTCTCATTGCTTCATGGTGGACAAACCCTCTTGGCCTCGGAGCCGTTGCCAGCAAACTTGAAGAGTTTGATTCTTCAAGCACTCCGCGATCAAGGCATCAACGTGTTACTCGGGAAGAGAGCCAAAACCGTCAAGTCTCGAAGCGAAGGCAGAAATAAGTATATCGTGGAATTGGCTGATGGTGACGAGATCACGGCAGGCCATGTCGTTTGGGCAACTTCCAACCCGATTCCCTCTACAGAATACCTTCCGTCACGTTGGCTATATGAGAGTGGTTACGTGAGAGTGACCACTACGTGAGTTCTTTTCTCTCATTTCAACAGCCCCCGCTGACTTGTATTAGGCTAAATATCAAGGATGGCGACTCAACTGTGGCACAGCACTTTGCTGTCGGCGATATTGTCTGTTTTGAGGGCATCCGACGCTGCAGTCCCGCAATGCAGATGGGGTATTTTGCCGCTGTCAACATATATGCACAGATGGTACCAGACAAGCCCGACTTGAAACATTTTGAAGGTTTCCCTGAAATGTTTCGATACGCATTCGGTAACGAAGCGGTCCTATGGAGTCCTGGCGAAGAGATTGTCTTTGGAGAAGAGCCTCGACGGGCTGTGTTTGAGGATGACTTGTGCTTGAGAAGTAAGTAAAGAACAGCAGGATTCGATCCCCTCACCGCTTTTGCTGACCTTGTACAAAGAATGCTGGAACTACATGGGCTTGGGTAACGTAAGATGAATACATTTTGCGAGCCAGATGACAAAAAACTTGGCGGCATGACGAAGGATAAGCACTAGCATTCCTGAAGGTTTACCGTGCGACGTGCGTACGTGAGATTTAGTATTTAATGACTTTCTTCGGGTCGTCGGGGCCGTCATTTTGATTCTCCTTTCAACTCAATAAATTTGTCAAAATGCGCTTCATCACTGACAACAAGCCGCGTCAAGATCAGGGCAAGGAGGTGCCGCTCATGGTCATCGGAGCTGGCCTCCCTCGTGCAGCAACTTCATCATTGCAAGCGGCGCTCGAAAAGATCGGCTTTGCACCATGTCTTCACATGGCAGAAATCATTCCTCATGTGGACCGTATGCAGCTTCTTCTAGAGGCGGTTCGCGAAAAGGACACGGAAGTGCGCCACAAAATGCTGCGCAAACTCATCCATGGGCATTACGCCATCTGCGATCTTCCCGTTGTGTTTTTCACCCCCGACCTTATGGACATGTACCCCGACGTCAAGATCGTCTTGAATGGACGACCCGACCCTGATGTTTGGGCACGCAGCGCCGCCGACAGCTTTGGATTCGTCTTTTCACCGTGGTTCAAGTGGACGGGACTTTTATGGACAACCGACAGGATCTGGTACAAACTCAATCAAGAATCGGAGAAATATTGCCAAGAACTTTTCGGCGACGGCGATATCTTTACTGGCAGGTGTTACAGAGAATATTACGACATGGTGAGAGCCGAGGCCAAGAAGCGAGGGAAGGAGGTGCTCGAGTTTAAGGCCGAGGATGGATATGAGCCGCTATGCAAGTTTCTGGGAAAGGATGCCCCGGATGAGCCGTTCCCAAAGTTGAACGAGAAGAAGACTTTTCAGGTTGTCCAGGCTATTCTCATCGCGAGGGGGCTGCTTGCTTGGTCGGCCTTGGGTGTTGGTTGTTGGGGTGCTTGGAAACTGGCCGATCACTTCCTGCGGTGATGTGCGCGGTGTCTTGTATGTATTCCAGGAATGAGTATGCAAAACCAAGCTTTTCAATGTATGCAAGACCGTTTTCGCCATGGATTATCTACTTGAGCCAACAGGATGTGCCAACAACTCTTCATTTAGTTCACTTAGATGAAACTCTGGGTCTGCAAACCCCTGTTAATCCTCGCAGCTGCCTAGAGCAAGCACTAATCAACCAACGCCTGTTGGTCAGAGCTCTGTTGGTTGCATCAAGCCCATAAATAGTTTCTTATTCCCACTTCTCATGGTCAGCAAAACTCTTCTCCTTTTTGTACCTTTGTCCTGGCTCAACATGGCTTCATCGGATCCTACTTCCTTTCTGCATCTCCCCCCAGAGATCCGCAACCTCGTCTACGATCTGGCCTTCAACCCTGATGTCAAAACCAACATTCTCGATCCAGCGCACTCTGGATACACCAGAGATGTCAGCCCTTTGCTCTATGTTCACCCAATTATATCTGCCGATCTCAGACGACGCACCTATGGTGGCGATTTCTCCCTAGTACTCCCGATTCAAGAACCCAGCGAGTGGGTGAAGGGACGAGGACTCGATAGTGAAAAGCTCAAGACATGTCTTGACAAGCTTCCCGATCTGATGAAGAATAAATGCCAGAGGCTCATTGTCGAGGCATCGCAGTCTGATGAAGTAGAAGACGTTGACTACGATTTTTGGGATAGTGAGGATTTCCCCAGTTACCTCGTTCCACTGCTCCTCCAGATCAAAGGAGAAATCCCAACATTGAAGAAGATCACCTTTATCTTTTGGTTTGGAGAATGGAGTGCGCCAGTAGACGTCTGGCAGAGATCGCTTCGACTCCTCTCACGACGATGGAACAACAACACCCAGAGACAAAATGGGAAAGAAAACGCGGACAAGGGCCTCACTTCCAAGTCTTATAGAGCCAAGCCATCGATTGAGATGCAGTTCAACCTATTTGACTATTACGATCAAGACAACGGAGATGGTGGGGCAAATGAATACATGTTGTGGTATTGCTTTGCTGGTCATGAGAGGTCTAGATCCGGGGATGAGGGCGGAACTGATTCGGACCAAGACGACGAGAATGACGACAAGAGCCAGGACAGTGATGAAGCCATCAGTGAAGACGAAAACGAAAACGAGGGCGAGGGCGAGGGCGAGGACGAGGGCGAGGACTACAGCCATTATGATGCGACTGCCAAATCTTTGGGGTTGAAATTCACTTTCAGGGCCATGGATCTGCACTGGGACGACCATATCAATGGTAACTTTGAAGGCAAGGAGTTTGATCCAAACGTCTGGGACGATGGTTACTTCCACATGATGAGCCCTAAGGAACAGGACAGGGCCGCTCACAAGTACTGGCACGTCACTGAGACGTGCAAGCCCCTCTTTATCAAGAAGGTGGGCGGTCCACTATCATGAGTGTGGCGTTTCCGATAGACTGTCTGATCTATATTGAACAGTAAGAACTGGAGCCGTGTTAGTTCGATTTGAGCAACGCAATGCTTTAATAGCTGGCCTGGCCAAGTCCAGAGCAATCATTGTTTTTCAACCGTCATACTTTGCTTACCCCTCATTCACAACCTAGCAAACTGTAGGCGAACCATCAGCAAGGCAAAGGTGGCGGTCGCCCAGCCCCGTCTCTACCTTGTGACCCGTAAATCCTGCCAATATCGTTACACGAAGTTATAATGAAATGTGCAGGCGTGACGTGGTCAGCAGCCGAAGATACCCGAGCTCGTAGCCTAACAGCCCAATTTCGCCCCCATCAAAACACTCTCCAGCTGCTCATCGAAACTCCGACAGTTCAGTTTCCGCATCCATCATCATGTCGGGCCAGAGAGTCACCTCTGTTGATACAGAGGGTGACCTCGGCGAGGATGCCAGAAGCTCCCTCCAGCGATTACCCGAAGGGAGTGTTGAAACGCCAAGCGGCAACTCATTGTCCACTCAAGGGATATTTGCGACTCCGGAAAACGACTCTTTTCACCAATTATACACCTACAGCGACTTGGACTCGACAGCGCAAGATATCAGATTGATCCACGTCTTCCAAGATGAGCACTGTGATCTGATTCAGTGCGAGTTCCTCCCACAGTCAAGCCTTCAGGAAGCCATCGGAAGTTACCACACCCTGTCTTATTGTGCGGGAGACCCGTTAGAGACAGAGACCGTCCTCTTGCAAGGTATCAAGTTCAATGTGTTCGCCAACTTGAAACATGCCCTAGAGAAGACTCTATCAGTCTGGAAGTCCAAGTATCCAGAAGAAGAATGCGTCCTCTGGGTCGATCAAATATGCATCAATCAGCGGAGCGATGCTGAACGATCGCATCAGGTCGGCCTCATGCGGGATATTTACACCAACTCCCGAAGGACATTTATCTCCCTTTCAACCGCTGATTCAAGTGAGACTAGTTCTAACGGCATGGATTGGTTGAAGGAGCTTGCCGAAGCCTATCAACCGTCAGGCGAATTCCCGACTCGGGAAGACCAGCTTCGGGATATCTTGGAAAGGAATATTCCAAATTCCAGTTTTTTGGAAGGCTGGACTTCTTTTTATGACCTTGTCCAGTGCCCTTGGTGGAGACGCGCCTGGATTCACCAAGAGTTCATATGCTCACCCAGCGTCATTTTCATGTACCACGACAGCACTATTTTCTCTGCACATACTTTGTCTCTGTCTTTTCTCCTCTTTCTCCGTCAGACCTTGCAGAGTTCTCAGATAACTGCCTATCTCGACTGCTTGGGGAGAGCACGGCCAGAGGAAACTAGACTGACGAACGGAGATGGAAATCCCCTGAGAGAGGTGCGCGAGAGAAATACTCGGGCGTTAGACTCGCTCAAAGCCATAGAGCTGCTACTAAACGCCAATGAGTCGTGGAAGGGTGACGAAGACCTTAAGAAGGTCTTGGCCAGATCTCGACACTGCAGAAGCTCTGATCCCAGAGATCGCATCTTTGCTTTCCTAGGACTCGCGCACCCTGGATATGGTATCGAAGCCGACTACAGCAAATCCAACACCCTCGATGCTGCCATCACCCATACGGCCAAGAAGATTCTCGGGTTTGACCGACACTTGGAGGTACTGGCATTTTCCGTCAGAGTGGCCAAGACAAGGCCAAACGTCTTACCGTCTTGGGTGCCAGATTGGGCGTCGACTGAGATTCTAGAGCATGGCCACTTCGCACCGCTTCCAGGGCTAGACAAGCAGTTCCAGAACGACGCCGTCGGTTCATTAGTCATTCATACTCCCACTGACGACAGTAATTTCGTCCTACAAGTCCAGGGCCTACAGATAGATACCTTGGATCGAAATTGGCTGACATGGATGGAACGTCTTTCCAACTGGGACTTTGTGACAGCCCAGGGTTACACAGTCAGATGCAGACCTTTTGCGCGAGATGGAGACGAGCTCTGGATACTTATGGGTTCAAAGTGGCCTTTTATTCTTCGGCCATGCGATGGAGGATACATGGTGGTGAGTGAGGCCGGGAATACTATGTGGACAGATGAGGACATCCACTTTGATGAGATTCTTAGCCGGATGAGAAGCGGCTTGGAAATATTACGCGTTATCGATCTTTGTTGAATCGATAGAGACAGGCATTGATAGATCAATTTCAGCTCCTTGACAAGTGACATTTCACTACACACTCATACTTGCCTAAACTGTGGTTTTCATTAAGCAGCAACGAGCCAGGACCCGTGTCTCATTCAGGGCGCAGTGCAACTAAGCCGATTTTGCAACTCGCTCCACCAACAATCCACCACCAAATGGATCACCACACCTCAACAACAGCGTAATTGGTTTAGTGGTAAAATTCTCCGTTGCCATTCGAGCAACGTCGGGGAGCCCTGGGTTCGATTCCCAGATTACGCATTAGCTGCCTTGTATGAGGCGTGGTGATGGTTCCTTTTTGGTGTTGTGAAGTTCAGTGATGGTGTCGTTGAGATGGCGTCGACGTATTTTTGTTTTTGGCCTTGTAAGCACCAATTCTGTCTTGAATGCGGAATTAAATGGAAGAGAACAATCACCTAACGAACTATCAGTCTAGCCTTGTCATGTTTCCTGGTCTTGAATCAAATGTCTATGTCTTCGTTGGCAACTGTCTTCTAGCTGTGAACCTCAACCCAACCAGCACCTGCAGTCGCCTTAACCTCTCACAACTCAAAATGAAGTAAGCCAGAGAGAAATAGCCAAAGGATTGAGTGGTACATTTCCAATCGCGTGTCATTATACCTACTACCGATCAAGGATTCCATTACTAGCGATGCACATCTCAGCTCTGCCTCTATTGTCACCGTTCGATGTATGGCGGGTGCCTCTCTATAGCATAGGCAACAATCTACACAGACCTTTCGAGTCAAAGTCGTGTTCGATAGAATTTACTGGGTTCATGCTTGTTCAGACTGGGAAGTTGGATAAGCTCAAGCCGTTTCATCATTCCGCAACCTCAGCTGCTTTTCGTCTGAGGGTCAAGAAGGACCGAAGTCTCACAACCAGGTAGGCCTGGGGTTCTGTGCGCTTGACTCCACGTGCAATTTGCACAACATCTCCAAAGGCATCTTCAAGTCTTTGATTCTTCCCAGGCCTGTCTACGTCTATGCTTGTCTGATAGTTTCAGGTGCAGCTCAAGCATCAATGAGAAACAGAATCGAGGGAGGTCAGCTACGGTATGGTAGACCATGTATATAAGGGGCCTGCAAGCGAGATGCTGTTGATCATGGCCTCGAGGGAACCTGAATCTCAAGGATGTTTCATGAAACTGTTTATCCGTGGACACAAAGTGAGATGTTGCTCTATCCTTTGGGTAGCGTTTTCTTGCTTCCGAGTGGGGGTTGCTGATGTTGCTTAGATCAAAACATGAGACCAGCTTCCCCAGCTGGTCAGTGTCTTTCAGCTGAGACCATTAAATACAACGTTTACTGATATGAATGCTTCTGTCTCCATACTTTCTATCATACGAGTATTCCCAGATAACAGTATGACAATCTTCAGCTGTGGGCCCTGGCCTCGCTCCCGCTCTCCCCTGACACCCTTTGAAGTGGAAACAGACGTTCAACCGTAAAAGGCGTCATTACTCGATATCCTGGGGTACTCCCCCTCAAAACGTGCGATTCGCGCAAGCGAGGAGCGGAGGCGTTTGGATCTACTTCCCTGTTCCCAGCGTCACGCCACTCATCAAGGCTGGACCCTGTAGATCCTGCGGCCGACGAGTTTGGTGAGCCGGCCCGTGACGCTCGGGTCATTCACTCACGCTCGGGGCAGCCGAACTAGACTCCTTTTTCGGAAGCCTGTTTGGTGGGTTGTTGACGATGACTTTTGTTTGGTAGTGGCGAGACTGTGGATTGTGAAGCCACGATGTTGATCGACAGTTTCTCCATCGGCACATTGCCAATAGACTCGGTATTCTTGGCGGGAGATCTGCCTCTCTCACTGCTAGCGTGTCCGCTAAGATTGCCGGCTTGGTGACTCTGGGCAAACCCCAAAGTCTCGAGATAAGAGCCATCTAACAAGGTCTGCATACGTACACCGTTATCAGCCAAGAGATACTCCTACCCTCAACCATCGGGTTGCATGCGACATGATTACCCTTTGTGGTGTTCATCCAACCTTGAAAAGACGACATTCAATCTGCAAGCACCATCCTTGCTCTGTTAACATGGTCACAGCTCTGTTATCCCACCAGGATTTCAGATTCAGCCTGCGACCGGGGTTAGAGATACGAAAAATGACAATAAGCCCACTGTGGAAACGAAATGGGCACATCAAGGGTTCTTTAAAAGCCGCAATCTGCCCTGTGCAGGACATCACACTGGCCTGACATGTGCATGAACAAAATGACGCGAATGCAAACTGCAGGATAGAATCGTTCAAGAGCGTAAAAGTGCATTCAGGGTCCATTCTAGGATCTATCTATGATACGCGTAATCTAATAAGTGTACCGGAAGAACTTGTTCTCCCTGTCGGTCATGGTTGACCAGACCTCGGGGGACATGTATGAATCCTCCAGGCCCTTGCTGCGGTCATCGCGTCTCTTGTTGGCCCAGACGTAATACATGAATAGAGAGAATGTGGTCACGGCACAGCCAGCCTGTGTTCCCATGACTGCGAGCTTGGCAGGGCGGAAGTCGGGAGCATCCTTGGCTTGGAACGTCTGGGGTCCGATGATGTTTCCGAGAGAGAATGAACCGCTGACGATGGCGGCGGCAAAGGCTCGCTTGGTAGCACCACCGAAGTTGGCAGCAGTCCACTGTTGGTCGTTAGTGGGAGTGAGACCCGCATACTCAGGAGAACTTACGTTGTAGAAGATGGTCAGGGGAGCGACGACGGCGTTGACGAGGTAGATGCCCACGAGGCAACCGGCCTTGTTAGTGGCAGGGAGGAAAGACATCAAGGCACCACCAATGATGCTAGGAAATTGTTAGCAGATTATCAGACATTACTCCAAAGCGACTCACGCAGGGATAATGCAGGCAATGATCCATGCCCAGCGGTGCGACTGCTTCCGGATTCCAAATCCGACACCAAGGGTGAAGAAAATGCTGACGACTCCAGAAGGCATGTTCATGAGAGCGGCCTTCTTGGGGTTATAACCCAAGTTGCGGATCAGGGTGGATGAGTAGGTGGTGACAACACCGCTCGAAACGGACAGCTAAAATCAAATGTCAGCAAGGTGCAGGATCCAAATGCTGACAACAATCTTACCAAGACGACAGACACGAGCATGAGGTAGAGCTGGGGATCACAGAGAGCCTCGACAATCTCCTTGGGACGGAACTTGCGGTTCTCGATACCAGTCTGGTTAACACTAACGTGCTTGAGCAGGGCAACCTTCTCGCCAGGCGTCAACCACCTAGCCTTCATGGGTGTGTCAGGGAGGAGCAAGAAGGTGCAGAGACCGATGAGCACAGTGATGCAACCAAGAGTCACAAACATGATGCGCCAGCCAGCAAGAGAAGCACCAGGACCAATGTGCTGGAAGCCAAACGACACAGCACCTCCAATGATCTGGCCGAGACCCAGACCGAGATACCAGAAGGAGAACCGAGGAGCCTGCTCAGACTTGGTGTACCACTGGCTGCTGATGAGCATCAGGGAAGGACCGATAGTGGCCTCGAAGATACCGAGAAAGACTCGAGATACGAGGAGCGTGGTGTAGTTGTGAGCGGCGGCACCACAGGCGGTAGCAACGCCCCATAGGATGACATTGGCGCCAAGCCACTTGGCAGCGGGAAGAACCTGCAAAAAGTAGACTTGATCTCGTTAATTGCTTGTCTTCTTTGAGGTTACTTGGCACTCACTGTTGGGGACTTCGAAGCACAGCAGTCCGACGAACAGGAATGTGGCGACGTTGGAGAACTCGTTACCCTTGAGACCGAGATCTTTGTTCATTCCCATGACGGCCGAGTACTGCAGAATGCAATGTTAGATTACGCACATGCACGTCTCATCATGGACAGGGGGGTGTGTGTACTGACGTTGAGGATGACCTTGTCGAGGAACTGCATCGTGTAGCAGCAGAACATGAGAGGCACGATATGCCAATCGATCTTGCGCCTCAGGCGGTCGATATCGACGGGCTCACTGTTGGCCGCCACCTCTCGATGGTCGTCGAGAAACTTCCACGCGCCGTCGACATTGCTCGCGCTGCTCTCGGACCCGTGCGACGAGTGGGTGACGTAGACGTCCTTCTGCTGATCCTCCAGGGAAGACATGTTTAACGCGTGGGACAAAGGGGAGTAGACAAAGGAATTTGTAATGTTGAAGCGCATAAAATGAAAGGGAAAGAGATAAACGACCAGCGGTTATTAAGTATATATATCCAGTACAAAAGGAGGAAATGAAGTAGAGAGAGAAAACAAGTCTAAGCCCCGAACGACCCGTAGGCCGAAGAAATAAGAAAAAAGTGGCACAAGCGAGGAAGGAGGGGAAACAGTCCAGGAACAGTTCGATACGAGAGGCAAGCAGAGACGAGCTTGCATTGCAGCAGAGAGAAAAAAACGCCACTCACTTCGACTCGACCTGAAACCCTTGACTCCAGCTCATGCAGATCCATACCCCATGCTACATTGTGTGATTTCCACAACGGGCATCTACTGGTAATCTAGATATTCCTCCGGATTCTCACTGGGGTGATAACGGCCGCCGACAGGATCCCTGGACCGGGGGATTCTCGTCAAACATCCCTGCTGCATGGGACCAGATGCGGTCCGTCTTCTACCTCCCCCTGTAAAGATCTGTTGGTTCTATCCTACCTGGTCCCTGCGCGAGACATGCAAGCCGTTGCATCTTGGGGGTCATGTCTGCAGTACGAGTCTGTTGGTTCTGTCGCGCGGAAAAGGTCCACGGTCACATCATGTATGGCACGGTAACGAATAACGTGGCCAGGTCAAGAGTCTCTGCATGATGCGAGACCGCCTTCGAGAAGGAAAGGGGGTTATTTTTCTTTTTCTGGGTCTCATATCAAGACGGAGGAAACTTAGAGAGAAGAGAGTTCGTCTACCGAAAGGTCATGGGTAGGGGGGTTCAATCTCTCGCCTCATATTGGACCATGGCGAGCTTCAGAGTCGCTCCATTGACAGGTCAGGGTTAATCGACTCCTTAATCCTCTGGAGTAAAGAAGTCAAAAATATGTCTTTGTTAAATTGATGTCCCAAACCAACATGTCTCTCTAAATTACTCGACCACCGTATGCCACCTTCTTCAACTCGACAATGGGCTGGGTTCTGCACGCCACAGAGGAAGCCGAGCGCGTCTCGGAATGGCGCAAGATCATTGCCATCTGCGTCGCTCTGGGGGTGATTGCCAGCGCAGTGGTCATATCGCGTCTGTATATCCGGTACAAGAACCGTGGTCTGGCCAGCGATGACTGGGTGTCGTTCGTTTCCATGGTGTTTTCCATCATCTACTCTGCCATGTGCATTGCGCGTACGTATCTCGATTCCTTTGGGATTGTGGCTTAGACTCTGCTAATGGATATAATTATACAGAGACGAGGTACGGTCTGGGACTTCCTCTTCGTCTTCGTCCGAAGAAGGACCTCGTCACGTATACGCGCATCAACTATGCTGGAAGACCGTTCTACCAGTTGGGCATCAGCTTCTTCAAGATAGCCCTCTTGATCAGCTACCTTCGTCTGCTCAACGGTACAGACCACAGCAGGTACCGGGCTGTCGTGTGGTTCACCATCGTGGCCGTCTTCTTGTCGCACTTTGCCTGTACCCTCGTCCTCATCTTTGCATGCAAGCCGGTAAGTCAGCCACGCCAACAGCCAAGATATGAGGCTCATCGTCACTGCCACAGGTCGCCAAGTCATGGAATCCGTACATGGATGGGTCGTGTCTGGCTCCTGGCCCGTCATTCACGGGCTACGCTGTCGTCACCATCGTCGCTGATATTGTCGTCGCCGTGCTACCTGTCCCCGTCTTGTGGAAGCTGGAGATACGGCTCTCCAAGAAGCTTGGTCTCATTGGTATCTTCGGCCTGGGAATCTTCACCACGGTATGCGGCATCATGCGATACACGCAGATCGATCGCATCACGGACCCAAACGATGGAAATTCGACCATGTTGGTGCTCTGGGGCACCATCGAATTCAACGTCGGCGTAAGCATCACCACAACACATCGCAGTGCTTCTACTGACCATCTCCAGAACATGGTGTCGTCTCTACCATTTCTTGCGCCCATCTTTCTCAGGAAGGCTCGCCAGTATCGCTCCAAGCACTCTGACGAATACAACACACCCAACACAAAGAATCGGAGCCATCACGGCTTCAAGAGCAGCAACGCATACAAGCTCAAAGACATGAGCCACGGACGAAACACGACCGTATTCACGTCCGCGGCGAATAAATCGCGCAGTGGGAGCGAGGAGAACATCCTACAGGGATCCAACGGCATCATGAAATCTGTCACATACACTGTCGAGATGGGGACGAGCGGAGCGGGCAAGGATACCAGCACCAGCAACAGCGTAGGATCAACCTACATGTAGAGATGACAGGTGACAGCTTCTCATTCGGGCAGCGGGCCGGGGTTGCTACCATGTTTTCCTTTTTTTCCTTCCCAAGACATGAGCGTTTCGATTAGATAAATGTACGACGTGTAATTACTGGACTAGCCAGGAATATAGAGGCAGAACCAACAGATAACCGTTGAAGACAAGGATAAAGGCCCTTGCTCCGTGACTTCGACGTTGCATTCCACAACCCTTGAAGGCCACCTCTGCGGGTAGCCCACATTTTACTGAGCACTAGCAAGCACGCAAGCTATTCTTATGTCACCAAGCCGGAGCGAAAAAGTCCGTGTGTTGGTTCCGGGGGAAAAGATGCCTCGCTACCGCAAAGTGGCCTGAGAGTTGACGAGAGTGGTGTGAATCTGCATGTAATCATGTATAGCCACGCGGAGCCCCCTCAAGATCAATGCCTGCGGAGCAGATGGTAAAAACTCGAGTTGTTTCCGATCTATTAATGTCGATCAAACAAAGCTCGCCACGCAAAAACAGCACACCATGGCTTCCTCCTCACCACAGCCCGTGCTCATCATCGGAGCCGGCATCAGTGGCCTGCTCCTCGCCCAGCACCTCCGCCAGCAGGGCATCCCCAGCCGCGTCTTTGAGCGAGACGCTGATCTCGCCACCCGCGGCGCCGGCTGGGGCCTGACGTTGCACTGGTCCCTCCCGGCGCTGAGATCACTGCTGCCCGGCAACCTGGTCGACCGTCTCCCGGAGGCCTATGTTGATCGATCGGCTGTCGCCGAGGGTCTGTCGTCAAGCTTTCCCTTCTTCGACATTAGCACCGGAGAGCTCAAGGCCTCGACTCCCAAGGCCCCCGAGTCGGACCGCATCCGTGTCACTCGGGAGGGGCTGCGGAACATCTTGGCGACGAATATCGAGATTGAGGTATTTACCCACCATCAACTCTGCAGTAGTAGAATAACCTCATTTTGACGCTCTGGTTCCGCATATAGTGGGAGAAACAGCTTGCCATATTGTCATATGGCCCTGACTCTGTTACCGCAACGTTTGAGGATGGCGAATCGGCCACTGGACGGCTTCTCGTCGCCTGCGATGGCGCTCAGTCCATCGCGCGGCATACCCTCTTCCCGGACAACGCGGAAACACATAAAATTCCCGTCCGGATGCTGGGAGTGAAACTCGATCTACTACAGGAGCAGACCAAGTCGCTTCGGGAGCTAGATCCCTTCTTCATGCAGGGTACATCGTCCGCAAATGATTCCTTCGTATACGTTAGCTGTAAGTTCGTGTACCCTCATTCGGTTCTTGTGATTTTGACGAAACAGTGCTTGATACACCGGGTAACCATGGTGACGTCTTCCACCCATACGTCTACCAGATGTGCGTGTCTTGGCCATATCGCGAGGGCTTCCTCGACAATCCAGCACCCACCGAGATCCCGCCCACAGATGATGAAAAGTACAAGCTCATAAGACGTCTCGCCGAGACATGGGCTGAACCTTTCCGTACTCTTGCACTGAGCGTCCCCGAGGACGCGGAACTCAAGCCTCTCGCTCCCCAGGACTTTCCTCCGCCACAAGATCTCCGTACGCCCGGCCGGGCGATTCTAATGGGAGATGCCATCCACGCTATGGCCATGTGTAAGTTTGTCCTACTCATTCTCGCTGTTGTAATGTCTGACGTGCATAGACCGTGGTGAGGGTGCAAACCATGTCATCCTGGATGTCGCCGACTTTGTAGAGAAGGTGTTACCAGCTCTGAAGGAGAGCAAGGGTACCGAAGAATTGAGGTCAGCATTAAACGAGTATGAGGATGCCGTTGTGAAGAGAACACGTCCTGGTGTGTTGGCTTCACGCCAAGCCTGCCTGGACGCACATGAATGGGGACGCATCAACAACACAAGTCCATTGCTCACAAGGAGAGAGCCCCAACTCGCGCTCCCTGAGGGCTATTAAATAGTTTAGACAGTTTAAAGATGATCAGTGCAATTTCACTCTTGACGCCCATTCCGGACATGATCTACTCGCATCAGCCCAGTGTTGGTTCCACGATGTCTGACTGCAGCACGGTCATCAGGGGCCAGGGTTTGGATCCATACACCCTCTTCCGTAACTATGGGTGTAGAGGTATGTCACCGTATGTGACAGGTAATACGGCGTAATTCGTCTAGAAGCGCCGGTAGTTCTACCGGCAGATATGCGGTTGCTCCCGCTTGTTGGTGATATCTAGGTAGGCAACTGCCGGAAGGGTCCCATGACCACCCGCACACCCGCCTGAACCTTGTCCCAGGTCTACTCTCTACAGATGCAACACTACGTTATCATTCTAGCAATTTTACGTCGGGATTATTCGGTAGTCAGTAAAGATCATCGAGCCAAGGGCAGAAACGGTGGTCCGGATTCAAGCTCGGCTTAATACGACACGCTGATATGCATCACACTACCTACGCAACATGAATTTGAATAAAGAGTGGAGATTTCGCCATGCCTCATTAGATTCTGAGACGTACTATGAATCAAATTAGTCCTAAATATCACAATACGCCACCTGTCATGGACGAGAAGGCATGACGTACCACAAACTCCCTTGTGTTGGGGCGTCATGGTGGTTCTCAAGACATCCAAAATAGAATACACACTCCTGTCATTTTTCAAACCTTTAAATGTCATTAAAAAAAATGACACATTAGGTAGTCCGCGGATGAGCAGCTAAGTTGGATATGATGCCGTTTGTGCCGAGGCCTTCCTTGAGGCCTTCCTCAGTAGATCTCGATTTGAATACACACTTTTGGCGGAGCTTCGTATTCTAAGCTCGTATCACAGGGCTTTTAATACTAGGATTAGGAAGATTCACTCTTTGTGGCTCTGATCGTTTCTCGAATTAGTGACGGGAAACCAATCCGGGATTAGTCACGTGTTTTAGGGTGGGATGCTCCAGCTAGAGACTTCACTTACCCTGTAGATTAGAATGTTGATCGTATTTTCAGCACGAAGGACAGGAAGTAGTATGAAATTATCTTAGGAAGAGAAGCAATAAAAGTTTCTCTGTCATTGGCCTTAGTTTCTCTTACAAGCGATAATTGTGAATATGGTTGTTAATTAGCAAGTTGGAATTCCGACCAAAAATGTAAGGTTGGCCAGTGAGCCACCCAAAACATAAGGGACGAATAAGGTCTAAACAGATAAGCATAACTCATGAGGGCTTATCTGCTAACAGAGTAACAACTCCAGTTTTCCAAACCTTAACATCCAATCAAAAGCAAGGCAGTGGGACCAGCTTGTAGCCAATCACAAGCCAGAGGGGAATCGAACCCACCCGTGCGTGGATGGGGTTCTGAATTTGGACGCGTCGTGGGCTCGCGATAGTAACGCGACATTGGACGTAGTGATGCGCTGGGAACTTCATCTCGACATCGCTCGGACACTGATTGCCTGCCCCACAGGGCTTTAATGTCCGTCGGCACTCGTTCGTATCTTCCTCCATCGGATACCAATCACACTCTCCCGCGACCAAGACGCGTTGCGCTGGATCAGGTGCCTTGGTGGACTCCCGAGCCCGGGGGTACAGCACCGGCTCGGAAACATTAGAACCTTACATTAAGATGCGAGGGATTTCGGCGAAAAGCACCGCCAGCTTGGCTATGGACCAGTGTTCACCATGGGGTGAGTAGATGTGCTCCCGCAGCAAGGATGCGGTCGAATGTCGTTGAGTCAACTGGAGTCCATGTTCCGTCCTGAGCATCAGGGGATGTGTTCCTAGAGTGCTCGTGTGGTTGTCGCAACCAGTTGGCGCCCACTCATTTGACTGTTGCACATTCTCCAGGCCCAATTACCTTTTCGTATCCATGTCGCTTGTTGGCTGGTCATTGTACTTCTTTCCAAGAAGACATTCAAAGACCCAAGGCACAAGACAAGTGAGTCAGGATTCCGGTGGTCGCCTCGGAAAGCAAGCCGAGAGATACATCGGATTCCTTGTTGAATTCCTCTCTTGTTGTTGCAAAGTCTTTCACCTTCAGATGCTCTTTCGGCGTGGTGGTGGGGTGTCCTGAGAGGTCTGTAAGGGAAGCCCAGGCAGGACTGTGACTGGGCGACGGCGAGACCGAACCTATGAAGCTGTAAAAAATGAGGTCAAGATATTTTCAAGTGAGATGCATTGCTGATCGGGACTGTTGTCAATGCTGAAGTGTGGTGTTTATGAAAAGGATTCCGATCACCCTTTGCACTCGTCTCTTGTTATGGCTTTCATTATGAGCTCTGACCATGGCTGTCACTGTGAATTGTGACTATCACGATGGCTGTTGATCTTGATCTTCACTGTCACTGTGCTCCAATGCCAAGCTACGCCGGCCAGACTGGCCCATCCCATCCCGGCTGCCTCTCTGCCTCTGTTAGTTCAATAGCCAAAATCATCTGCAATCGCCATCCCCACCTACAATTGAGTGGTCAGGACGTTACAGTGCAGTGTCAGATGAAGAAAGCTATCATTAGGAGTCATGATTCGAAGTAGCTCACTCAAGTGCCTCCTCGGTGGGTGTAGATTATCTGACCTTGGTATCCGAGATATCATCCATCACCTGCCATGCACAGTCTGCATGGTCCACAGCGTGGAATTTTGAGAAGGGGGTGAATCGGTCCAATGGAGCCAAGCAGATCCCAACTGGCTCCAAGAGGCAAATCCCCCACGGCTTTCCTGAAGCTTTCAAGTACCGGATCCGAAGCTCGGCTGAGGGACCCGAGAGTCCGCTTCGGCTTCTGCCACAAAGGCGCTAACAACGTGGAGCAAGCCACATCTGACATGGGTCGGGAGTCTCATTGATGACCATGTGATACTTGACTTCCGAGAGTCTAACAAGGAGGACTTCGAGAATGCCGGTTGTCGTTATCGGATGGCTGGCCGATTCATTGCGGCCCGAGACTATCTCCACGTTTGTTCATGATCAGAAAACGTGGGGAAGTGTTTGGGGACTTGGTCTACAACGACATAAATATCGTATGGTTATCCCTCTCTGATGGAATTGATCCCCAGGACACTACAGAGCTTCTCTTATCAGATCAAACCCCCACGTTTCTTCCCTAAGTCTCCAATTCTCCAATTCTAAAATGCCTGGTCTCATCTCCCACCCTCCCCCTCCACACGTCGTCGGCCCTGCCACAAAGCGGGCTACCCGGCCATCTAAGAAGCTTCCTCAGAGCCTGGTTGAGGGCGCCAAGCTAACCAAGAAGGAGCCATGGGACTCTGAGAAGCATCTTGCCTTCCAGCCCCCTTCCAAGATCCTTAGCATGAAAGAGATCGGTCTTGAGGGCCATGGCATCTCCCCCAATGCCTGCTCCGAGCCTTTCCCTCTCTTTAGCGAGGAGGCTATTAAACAGATGCGTGCCGAGATTTTCAGCGAGACTGTTCTGGGAAAGTGCCAGTACGCTTCCACCTTTAACGCCAACATGGTCCGAGGCATGGGTCACGAGTGAGTTCTCCTTTCCCTGTGTTCACACATCTACTAACTTAACCAGGCTGGCTCCATTTACGTACGATGCCTGGCATTCCCCTGAGACCCTTGCCAAAATTTCCCAGGTCGCAGGTGTCGAGGTCATCCCCGCCTTTGACTTTGACATTGCCAACATCAACATCTCCGTCAGCGACGACAAGAACGCCGAGATCTCCATCGGCGAGAACAAGCTCCGTGACGGTGCTGACAACGATAACTTGTCCTCTGTCGCTTGGCACTACGACAGCTTCCCCTTTGTATGCGTTGTCATGATGTCCGATTGCACTGGCATGGTTGGTGGCGAGACTGCTGTGCGTAAGCCCAACGGTGAGGTCATCAAGGTCCGCGGACCTAGCACTGTATGTTCATTCCGAGACTTGGAAAAAACTCCAGCTAATGCATGATAGGGTACTGCCGTTATCCTTCAGGGCCGATATATCGAGCACCAGGCTCTCAAGGCCCTCGGCGGCCGCGAGCGTATCACTATGGTCACCGCCCTCCGTCCCAAGTCCCCTTTCATCCGCGATGAGAGTGTTCTCACTGGCGTTCGCGGCATCAGCAACCTCGATGAACTCTACCACCAGTACACCGAGTACCGCCTTGAGATCCTCGAGGAGCGACTTCGCGCCAAATCCAAGGAGGAGCGTAAGCTGGCGCTTGCCAAGAAGAAGTACGACATTCCCGCTATGCGACACTTTTTGGAGGAACAGCGTGCCTTTATCGACTCGATGCTCACTGAGATTGTCGAGGTTGAAGATGATTGAATGATGGATGAAAATAATGAAGAATAGAGTTAAAAGCATTTGCGGTGATGGTTGTACATGGAATTCATGGGTTTTTGAGTTTCTTGTACTTAGTAGCGAAGCACAAGCGATGTCTAGTATCTTGCGAAAAGCTTTGATTGTTGATATTAATTATTTGACCAATAGATGCGCTGTTGTATCAGATGATCGTGGTCTATACTGAGAAGAAACGTCTTTGTTTAACCCTGAGATTGGTGTTGAGAAAGGCCCGCACTGGACTAGGTAGGACTGGCCCGTCCTATGACGGCGTATCATGAAAAGACAATTGAATAGCTCATGAATTCATACCGGTATCTACAGTCTAGAGTGGTTCTATCAAAAAGTCAAAGCTCACTTCCTCAGTCTTGACCAAAAGATCATCCCTCACACCAGGACCACATGCTGCGGTTCCCACACCAGCGACCTTGGCATCCAATCTGAAAAGAGTGGCATCCTCCTCGTAGAGGTTATGTGGGTGCTTGGCCTTCTGGATAGTGTCATCTCTGTGACGTGACACGACGAAATTAAAGTGTGATTGCTCGCCAGTTCCCAGGCGAGTTGCCTTCAACCCGATGCTGGGAGACTTGGCGTCTCTGAGGGTTAGCCATCTGGCTTCCATTCTGTTTCCGTTCTCTTGAGGGACATCATAATGAACGTGTAGGTCTGAAACGGACTCAACGCCCCAGATGCCCACCCGCTGGGATAGCTTCTTATCAGGATAGCTCTCTCCTGGACCAAGACCAAACCAGTTTACATGCTCCAGACCCTTGTTGCCGTAGACATTCAGGCCAATTCGAGGAACATGCTCTGGGAAGGACCCAGTAGGCGCAAGACGGACCACGTTGATGCCGAGTGCGCCTGTGACGTGAACTGTGTACTCGATTTCGCTGTTCCAGCCCCAGTCGAGTACCGGTGGAGAGATAAATGTGTGCGCCTTGATCACGGTCTTCTTTGAGTCAGATGAGTCCACCTTGAAAGAGCGTAGTTGTGATGTAAGGGCATCGACACCGAATCGCTTCCAATATGGCAGGGAAATAGGGACGTCGTTATCGGTTTTAGGGCGCCAGAACGAGGGGCTGATGGCGACACCAGTTGTGGGGTCTGCCTCTAACAAGGTGTGGCCATTTGCTGTCCAGGTCTTGAGAGCACCACGAGCCCGATCGAATGTGAAGTTGAAGCCAGTTCCAGCAACGGAAACGGTTGGTCCTTCTTGAGACACAGACAGCTGAGAGGTAAGGGCGTTGGTTGTAGCGAAGGCGTTGGTGCTGGGGCCTTGGAGTTGATGCTGGAACCATGCGATTTGGTGGCCGGCGGGGGCCCAGGAGGTCGCCTGCTTGAGGGTCAAGGTCACTGTTAAGTAGACTTCGTTCTGGCTACCGTATCGCTTGGCATCGAGAGGAAGGGGGATGGATGTCTTCTCCCCGGCAGCGATAGATGGGAGCTCTAGAGAGCCTGCTTGAAGCAAGGTAGATCTGCATCATGGTTAGTTGAGCTTCAAGAATAGTACCTATTGAGAACAACTTACGTCTCTCCTAGGGCTTCCACCTGGAAAGTCGCACCAAGGTGGCTTAAGTCGGCAAAGTCATGCCAGTTCTCGACGATCAAGTTGCTACCCTCAAGAGAGAACCCAACAGGCTGGATGACCTTTTTGTACTCGGTCAAACCTGGAGTTGGGTCGTGGGTGCTACTGACCAAACCATCCATGACAAAAGTGCCATCATTGGGCTCGTCACCAAAGTCACCACCATAGGCGTAGAAGCCCTGGCCATCCTCTTCCTTCCATAGACCGTGGTTGGCCCATTCCCAGATGAAACCACCTTGAAGACGTGGGTACTCGCGGAAAGCCTGTTCATAGTCCTCGAGCCAACCTGGGCCGTTACCCATGGCGTGGCCATACTCGCACAGAACGATGGGCTTGTCGAACTTTCCGTCCTTGACGCCCTCCTCCTTGCAAGATTGGATGAGCTTTTCGACGCTGGGGTACATGTAACTGTACATATGTGTTGTGACAGCCTGCTCGTCTCCTTCGTAGTGGACAAGTCGACCTGGATCAACCTTTGTGGCATATTCGAACATGGCCTTGTGGTTGTCTCCATAGAAAGCTTCGTTGCCGAGACTCCAAATGATGATACTGGCGTGATTCTTGTCGCGGTTGATGACGGCCTGGATACGGTCGAGGTAGGCATCCTTCCACTTGGGGTTGTTGGAAGTGAACTGTGCAGCTTGAGGGAAGGCCAGCTTCTTTCTCTCTCCGTAATCCATCTCTTCGGGAATGTCGAGAGGACGAGCAACGGCATCGTAGAAACCGTGGCACTCGAGGTCAGCCTCTCCCATTACCCACAGGCCAAGTTCATCGCACAGATCGAGGATTCTGGGATCGTGAGGCTGGTGAGCGCATCGGAGAGCGTTGATGTTGTGCGTCTTCATCAACAAAAGATCCCTCTTGGCGAATTCGAGGGGAACAGAGCGACCGAGTAGTGGGTGGTGTTCGTGACGGTTGACTCCCCTCAAGCGGATGCGTTTTCCGTTGACAGTCATCAGACCGTTGATCAGTTCAACCTTTCGGAAGCCAATGCGTTGTTGCACCTTGTGAGAGATCTTTGAGTCGGCGGACTTGAGAACGATTTCAGTCTGGTAAAGGTATGGCGTCTCGGCTGTCCATTTGCTAGGCTTGTCGACCTTGAGGCTGAGCTCGGCTTTCTTGGTTTCATGGTTGACAGGGACCTCAGTCTTGCCAATCACGGCGCCACCGTTCTTGTCGAGCTCGGAAAGCGTGAGCTCAATGGTGCCAGCGCTCCCGGTGAACACGTCGACAGTCGCGCTGAGGGTAGCATTCTCATAAGCAGCATCGAGGTCTGTTCGAAGAAAGAAGTCTTCGACTCTGGATGCGGGGAAAGAGATGAGACGGACGTCTCTGAAGATACCTTGGGACTGTCAGTTTCTGTCAATTGTTGAGAGGTGTGTTGCTCACCTGATAGCCACCATTGATCTTGATCTTCAATGTAGGTAGCATCAGACCACTGATAGACCCTGACAAACAGCTCATTTTCTCCATGTCGGTTGACAAATGAAGAAATGTCAAACTCTGAAGGGTTCCTCGAGCCCTGAGCATAGCCGACTAGGGCGCCATTGACCCACACATGGTACGCGCTATCAACGCCCTCAAAGCGAAGTCTCAGCTGAGAATCCGCGCCCCAAGCAGGAGGAACATTGAACTTTCGACGATAACTTCCAGTGGGGTTCTCAGTAGGAACATAGGGAGGGCACACGGGGATGGGGTACTGGACGTTGGTGTACCAAGGCTTGCCGTGCCCTTGCAGCTGCCAATGACCCGGCACTTGGATCCCTCCCCAAGCGAGGCCCTTTGTCGCGGTCGGCTCCGGAGCCTCGAGCGGTGTGGAGGCCAGGTGAAAGTCCCAAGTGCCATTGAGAAGTAACGAGGTGTCGGGGATATGATATGATCGGGTGGGGAGGCAATTTCTCCTAAAGACGGCCTCGTTGATGTAATCGGGACGAGACTCGTCCTCCTGGAGGGGGATGCCCTTGGGCTCTAGTCTGACGCTCTCTCCCATGTTTGATGTCTGTCTGGCAATGACTTGAAGTTGCGGATTGGTAGCGAGGAGGCTCGTTGAGCTTTTATCCTGTGTTGCAAAGCACAGCCCCTCTGACACTGTGTCCCCTCAAGATAGGCATCCGTCGTTTCCCACTTCATGATGCGTGTAACATGCTACAAATCAACAGGTGACCGGGACTGGCTGAGGAGGAAGAGTAAACTCCACCGGCCCGCATGACAACATGGCTTGACTTTGATGATCTTTTCCATCCCCTCACCGACTCCGACACACACGCGAGCCAATCACGTTGGCGAGTGCTACCCCAGGTTTGGCACTCGGGGATACCGGAGCCGGATGGAGCACCACCACCTTTACCACGAGAGGACGGCACACTCGTGACTTGAAGAGCCGATTGTGGCTTGATTATCCCGGAAGTTAGATCACGGGAAACCTCAGTTCATCCGACTGCTCATTGCCGTCAGCCGTTTAAAGTTTGGTCCTCTCCCGTTACCCCAGGTTTCGCCCCGGGGGTACCGGAGCCGGCCCAGGATGCCCCCTGTATCGGAGGGTCGCAGGGAATAATAGCCTAATGATCAGGAGGTGTCGCCGATTCGGCCCTGCTGAACTAAACCAGACAAAGTCAGAACACCCTTCAGGGCACGCGCAAATCCGGGGACGACGTTGGGCGGGCAGTCTAGGCCGTCTGGGGCCAAGGTTCCGCTTCCATGGAATTGGGGGGGCAGGAGAGTCTTGTTCAACATATATAAAAAGAGTCGACGAGATCGAGTGCGACGCTGTCACCAAGTCTCTTCTTCAACTCCTCTGCATGCCTTTTGCAAACAATGGCTTCTAAATCTCTTGAAAAGACCAAGGTGGAGCATGGGGATGACATCCACGATATTGACGTGGTTGCTCAGCTTGCCCATGATGTTGAGAACCAGGACCTTTCGCCGTGGACACCTCGCATGCTCCGGCTTTACTTGGTTCTTGGCTGTGCCTATCTCTGCGGATGTCTGGTACGTTGAAAGACTGAATTAATGGTAGACATTGAGTAGCTAACATTTCTGCTTGAATAGAATGGTATGTCAATTCGCGACACCACAACCAGAAACCCCTCAAGCTAGGAATTGGCATTCTAACGTGTTTCCCATAGGCTATGATGGATCGCTCATGGGTGGTCTGAACGGAATGGTGTCTTATCAGAATTACTTCGGAATGTAAGTGAGCCCATCAATGGTGTAAGCGCCTGGCTAATGCGGCGTAGGTCTATGGAGGGCTCAACCACCGGCATCATCTTTGCTATGTACAACATCGGCTCTGTCGCTGCCGTCTTCTTTACAGGCCCTGTGAACGACTACTTTGGTAGACGCTGGGGCATGTTTACAGGTGCTGCCGTCGTCATTATCGGCACAATCGTGCAGGCGACTTCGTCAGGCCGTGGCCAGTTCCTCGGTGGACGGTTCGTTCTGGGCTTTGGCGTCAGCTTCTGCTGTGTCTCTGCTCCCTGCTACGTCAGTGAGATGGCTCATCCCAAGTGGCGAGGCACCTTGACGGGCCTGTACAACTGTACTTGGTACATCGGCAGCATCATCGCCAGTTGGGTCGTTTACGGATGCAGCTACATCGACACCAACGCGGCCTGGCGCATTCCCATCTGGTGCCAGATGATCACCTCTGGCATTGTTGTTATTGGCGTCTTTTTCTTGCCCGAGTCGCCTCGCTGGCTCATGGCTCAGGATAAGCACAATGAGGCTATCCAGGTGCTTGCTGCCTATCACGGCGAGGGAGATGAGAACCACCCCATGGTTCAGCTTCAAATGAAGGAGATGATGTCGCAGATTTCGGCCGAAGCGACCGACAAGAAGTGGTGGGACTACAGTGGACTCTGGAAGACGCATAGTGCGCGACGCAGACTCATCTGTGTTCTCGGTATGGCAGTCTTTGGTCAGATCAGCGGAAACAGCTTGAGGTGAGTACTCCTCTGGCCTTGAAAGAAAACGCACTGACTTGGTATCAGCTCGTATTATATGCCCGTCATGCTTAAGAACGCCGGCATCCACCAGCAGCACAAGGTTCTGGCTCTGAACGGAATCAACCCAGTTCTTTGCTTCTTTGGCGCCATTCTCGGAGCCCGACTTACAGACGTCATTGGACGACGCCCTCTCCTGCTGTACTCGATCGTCTTTTGCTCATGCTGCTTCGCCATCATCACGGGCACCAGCAAGCTCTCTCTTGACGAGCCCGATAACAAGAACGCCGCCAACGGAACCGTCGCCATGATCTTCATCTTTGGCATCGTCTTCTCCTTCGGTTGGACGCCCCTTCAGTCTGCCTACATTGCCGAGTGCTTGTCCACCGACATCCGCGCCAAGGGAACTGCCATTGGCAACTTTGCCAGCTCCCTCGCTTCGGCGGTCATCCAGTACAGCAGCGGTCCTGCTTTCCAGCACATCAAGTACTACTTCTACCTGGTCTTTGTGTTCTGGGATCTCTTTGAGGCTGTTTTCATCTACTTCTTGTTCCCCGAGACCAAGGATCGTACTCTGGAGGAGTTGTCTGAGGTGTTTGAGGCGCCGAACCCTGTCCACAAGAGTTTGGAGAAGAGGGATGCTACGACTGTCATGAATACGCTCAATCTTACTGGAGATGGCAAGCTGGAGGCTTAGACAACTACCTGGTAGAGCTGATTGAGTGGCAACTTGTAGGGCTGAGAGTAATGCGGAGGGTTGGCATAGGTAGCTGAGTTGTTGATTGTCAATATGAAGTCTGAAGCATGATTAAAAGTAACAAACCTGCAATTGTTCCAACGTGAACGAGTAAACCTCAACTCAATCGAGTTTACAAGGGCTCAATTCTCTCGTTCAATTCTCATTGCCATTGTTCAGTGAATGGCGTATGCGAGCTGCGACTTGGTTGCGGTTCAGATGAAGATTTGGACGGAAGGGAGTATTCTGCAATGGCATTACTTGACTCAAGCAACTACCATGTGTCTTCACGGGACGCGTAAGAACCATGTAAAACTTGAGAAAATTATGGAGTAGAAGGCGGCTGCAAATGTGGACAGTAGCACAGGGGGGACAATGACTGAGTGGCCGCCCAACATGAGACCACTCACTCATGTGTTAGCTACCAGTTACTACCAACACAAGTCATTTCTGCTCGTCTAGCACCTCACGAATGCCCTCTCACGACACAGGAAACAGAAACGAAATTCCCCTCCGTCGCATGACCGTCAAACTTTGTCAACTCCCTCGGCTCAGAGGAAATACGAAGCCGAGCAACCAATCGCCTCTCCCGCTACAGACTGGGGTAACGAAGCTGGGGTCGTTTTCACTGCCGCTCCAATCTCGACGCTCAATTGACGCCGGTCCGAGCATCCCCGGTCTTCTCCTCATTGTCGATCCACTCACGTCCTTCACATGACCTTTCCTGTTATTATGCGCGTTGCTCCCCCGCGTTTTCTCATTCGGCCCGTGGCGGAGCGAAAGCGGATTTCTTGTTTGACGCGATGGAGCAAGTTGACGACGGATTGAACGACTCTGGCAACTGGCCTGCAAGGAAGAGGCTTCGGACTTCGCATGCGGTATGTTTGAGGTTTGTAGTGTCCATGTGCCGAGCTGATGCGACACAGTGTGATGGGTGTCGGACCCGTAAAACAAGGTCCCTGATCCCAACCCTCCATCCGAGACTCCCGTTATCAACGTATCTCTGACCCGGTTGATAGATGCGATGGAGGCCATCCTTGTGCCACGTGTGCCGCTGCGAATCAAGACTGCGCATATGGGTCTGAGGCCAACTCGTAAGCATTGGATAGATACCGTTCATGTCGCTGTGTAGTAATAATGGCACCTTAGGAGAAGCAAGACCGATGTAATCCTGGAGAGCGTTCTTCGAGTGGAGAGATCCCTCCACGAGCTCAAGTCTAATATCGTGAGTCGAGCTCCTGTTGTCAGCGCGTGCATCCTCTGACCCACGTTGCTCCTAGTCGTCGATCAGTCCTCAAGTTGCCAGTCAGCCCCAGTCTCAAGCTTCGCCGCATGATCGTCGCACCAATTCTTTCTGTGGCTCAACACCAGATGCAAGCTTGAGACGGAGGAGCTTTGCCATCCATACGCCTACAAGTCAGGACTACCGTGAGGATGGCAACAACTTTGAGAACGCCGTCTTGGATTCGATGCACACTTCTACAACAGAGTCTGTCCTGCAATGGCCACACTTTGACGTCTTTCCACAACTACGGAGCGACGGAATGTCGATATTCCACCTTGAGCAGTCTCGCACTCCGTGGGTGGTGACATCGAACCCGATATATCCATATGTTGATGCCGATGCTATCGACTCAATGCTCGACTCATTCGAGCACAATGTGAACTTTTGGTATCCTACAATGTCACAGAGTCAGCTGCAGGCGATAAGATCGACAATGGAGAATGGGGTGCCAGCCGAGGACACCGTCCACTGCTGTCTCTGCTTGCTGACGCTAGCGTTGGGATGTGCAAGCCAGTCCGTCGCTGGCCTACGATTTGTTACCGAGTCTGAAGATGCAGAGAAAGAAAGGAGACTTCGAAAGCGGAAGATGGGCGACGTATACTTTCAACTAGCTTTGAAGAAGATACACGTCGCCCATCTTCAGGTTGACTCGGAGACGACGCAATGTCTATTCTTTGCTGCGTGAGTTGAATTCCATGAACCTTTAGCTCGAGACTGATCTTTTACAGTCTCTACTTTGCCTCGCTCGTTCGGCCTCTTCAAGCTTGGGAGTATCTGAGCGCCACGGCAACGAGATGCATGCTTCTCTTGTCATATCCCTCAGATAAACCAGACGTTGAGAATGAAGAGCGGATTAGAAGAATATTCTGGTCTTGTTATATCCTTGAAAGGTACTACCGAGACAACAGGAATGCAGGCCTTGACTAACACTATACGCAGCGACTATATGGCCGAGTTATCAGCTTGCCCACCTTCTGGAATTGCCAGGGTCGAATCTTCTGTCCAGCTTCCCAGTGTCTACCACACACACACCTCAGACAAAGAAGAAGAGGAATCGTCGCTCTATTTTCTCGCTTGTATCAGCATGAGGCGTCTGCTCAACCGAGTACATCAGCTATTGTACGCACGAGACTCGGGTGCCGCATTCGACCAATCTCGATTTCCAAGGATTGTAGCGGAGCTCCAACGTCAACTAGACGATTGGCGCGACGTATTACCAGCATCCTTTTACTTCAGCATCGATACGGAGGAGACTGCCACTGAAGCTGGGGGGTTTCTTCGACAGCGTTACTTGACATGCAGAGGAGTCATCTACCGACCGTATTTGATGTGGATGCTGAGTGATAGCCACGTGGGTGCGAATGACAGTGGTCTCGCTATCCCGGAGGCTTTGTCCAATTCTAAGGCGTGTTTGGATGCCTGCTTGCTACATGCACTCAACCTGCGAGGCTTTTCACAGACAGTCATGATTGACACCTGGATATGTTCACTGTCGTAAGTGCCTTCTAATCGCCACCTCTCTCCCCATGTTAGAACAGTGAATACTGATCAAGCTAGTATGTCGGGTGCAATGCTCATACTTCTCGCTGCTTGTCAGGTGCCTGCTTTGAAGGATCTCATCAGCCATCGCGTCACTCGTGTGGGCGATCATCTCCAGCAGCTGTTCCACCACTGGCGTAGCATTTTTTTCGGAGCAGATTCGCCGAGCGTTGAGCGAAGTTTAGGGCTGATTGAGAAAGCGGATGGGTATATCAAGGAATCATGTTAACTCTTGATGTTTTTATAACCCTGCTAACACTATGGAGAGCATATACTAGCATGGTTAGCGAGGGTTGATACTGTTCAGAGTTCGGACTCATGAAGCACACGTTCCATGTCTGGAGGAGGAGGGACAAGTGATTGTAAATTAGCCTTATTGTATTCCTTCTAATTTGTCTCATCGCTGGAGTGTATGAGCTCTGGGATCCGAAGTGACACTGATCGAATCGAGTCAAGAGGCCAACTGGTTAAGGGGGTCCTTTTCATTAACGGACTGTAATCATTCGTTCTGTGCCTACCCTAGAAGAATCTGTGATTGAGCTCACGATTCTAGAAATACTCATAGCGCCGCAGAGAAACTTCCTGGGCTATTCTGGAAATGCTGATACTAAGCTAAAAAAGATAATGTTTCGATATCGTCGTGTTAGTCGTGGGACAATGGCCGCCGCTTGCATTGAGTGCCGGAACACCGTAGTCTAGCGCACAAACAAACCCCTAGAGGTTCTTTGAAGGCCGCTTTAAGAGAGAGTTGCGGCTTCAATTTACCAACTCACCTGCGGATTATTGGTTGTGGCCTGGTCTAGGTAGTCCTTGAACCAGATGTCTCTACTGTATCTCAATGACGACAATGACATCATCACTTTGGAATCCACATTCCTGCATCATGACTATCGACGTGGGACAACCTTTCCAGTGAATCCTCTCTTCTGGACCCCAACATGTTTAGTGGACGCTTACAAAGAAAGATCCGACTCAGGTGTCGCACCTTATCTCACAGCGCATTCGAGTCTCACAGCCTTTCTCTACGCAAACACTACTGTATCACTGGTCGCATCTTTTATCAACCAAGATGAGCTGGATGGACAGCTGGAGCAGGCCTTCCAAGACCCAAGCGACGCCTGCACCCTACTACCTACTTCCCGGCGGCGAGGCGACGCCATACTGCCACTCATGCGGGAGGGTGATTAGCAACCGACGGACAACGGCCAAGGCCAAGGCCAACGACACGCCTGTCAAGTACTGTTCGAGTCGGTGCAGGACGAACAAGCCAGGGAAACTAGACCGTGAACTCGAGACGGCGTTTGTGCAGTTTCTGTCCGCGGAGGACAGTGTCCAAGCGGAAGTGAGAGGAATGACCAAAGGACAAGGGGCAGTTCGATCGAAGAAGAAAGGCAAACAGGGCAAAGGCGATGATCGAATTTTGGTACCTTGCAGCGCCGTCGAGGACCATGTTTTCGGGACTCATCAATTATCGATGGAAGAGTCTGAGCCTGAGAGCGAAGACGTAACGGCGGATACACCAACCGCTCTACCACCAGGACGTTTAGAGGTGGCATCTTTTGGAGAAGACATGGACCTTGAAGGAAATCTCGCCGAAGACATGAGCATCGACGGTCATGTACTCGCACGTCTGGCAGTCCGAAGCGGAACACGTATTCGACCACCACAGTCGGTGTCCGAGGTCAATGGGAGCGTTGGTGGCGAAAAAGGGCGCGCAGAGAGGATCCAAGAGACAAATGTCATGGCCGAGAAACGAAAAGAAGGCCAGAAAAAAGCAAAGCAAAAGGAAATGACAAAGTGCGCGGCACGAAGAGGCGTTGTCTTTGGGTTCCTCGTCGGTGAAGAGAGAAGACTCTGTGAAGCTGTTATGGCGGGAAAGGTCGTGGAAGCGAGCTTTGCCAAGGGAGATTGGAGCATCAGATGGAGAGAATGACCTGCGCCAAGCGGGACAAAATCCCCTGACGAGGTAAAGGGCGCGGTAACTGGTGGCTTAGAAACGGCGTGTCGATAGTCATGCAGGTCATGAATGAGGCTGATTCAAAAGAAGAAGGTCCTTATCTTTGACACAGCCGCCGCAGCCGCAATGATCTACTAAGAATGAGTCTAGAAGGCAATCAGAAAATGACCGAGTTTGAGAGTAACGAGCATGGCGTGCTTCATGTGCCAACGACTCAGGCAAGCCTCGGCTGTAAATACCTCATCAGCTCTATCGAATTCATGCATGCGACCCCTGACCCAGCTCGAAAATCCGGACGTATTCCGCAGAGCAAGAGATCGCTAATAAGAAAGCGCGGCTCCGACGTAGATAGCGGAGGGACTCGTCGTAGGATGGAACTAACACGTGTAACGATCGATCGGACTGGTTCGTCTCATGTTCATTGACTGGAAGGAATGAAGGAATTGTGATCGGAAGCGGCCGCTGAAGGAAGCAGTCGTGAACCAACACTTGAAAGCTTTGGGCTGAGGCTAAGAAAAAGGCGTTGCTAGCCGACCAGGGGTTGAGGAAAAAAGTGGTGACATTTGGAGAACTCGGTCCTTTCTAGACAAGGATTAGGGCCTCTAATCATGTCAGGGCTTTGGCTGTCAGCCGATTGATGGCCTTTGACGTTGCAGAGCCCCAGCTGTCAACTTTGAAGCCCGACGATCCAGATGGGCACTGCAGAGATTCGTGATGGAGCAGTTTTTCTTTTCTGGTGGGTTAGAGTCCACTCATGATGGTATGGGGCCCCAGAATCTGGGGTTTGACGGTTAGAATCTGGGGGATACACAGCTAGAAGGAAACGATTTGTAAAAGAAATGTCTGAAGACCTCGTAATGGGATGCCATCTGAGGTTCTAGTATGTAATGGCTTGCTCGATCGGGCAGGTCAACGCAAGTCCGTCAACGCCTCATCACGCCAGGGTAGGGCCAACAATAGCATGGTTATCTGTTGGTCCGGATTTGCACATCAGGTACCCGGAAGGATCCTCGAACCAGGCACTCGGGTGTTGGCTGATGATGCCCCCCTGGTCTCGCCTGTGGAAGAACGCCAGGATTCAAAGCCTTCATTTCGATTATCAGTGGTCCAGGAAATATCGAAACGTCGTTCCGCGGTGGCTTGCCTCGTCAGACGAACGCTACGGATCGCCACCCGAGATTCACGGCATCCACTCGAGCCCCTGGTCCTCGCGCCACCTTTTCAGCTGAGATGCTGCACCACACTGCATGATCCGCAAGCCGGTACCTGCTGTCCTGGGCCGAGAACATGAACGCTCCCGTCGGCTTCGAGAACAAGACCGGCTCCTAATTACCACCCCTAACCGCCGCCCCCAAAATCAGGATATTTGGCGTTTGAGGCTTCGAGGCGTTTATCGACAATCTGATTGTCCAAGGCTAAGGACGACGGACGCGTATGGCGGCAGCCTCAATATGACTGTATGGAGGGGTCGAGAGGCTACGCTAACCTCTGCCCTGTGGGGAGTTTTTCGGACCGAACTGTCTCTCTGTCATTATCTCTCTTGAAGATTTCAGCTTAATCTTTATCTCCGGAAGATCATGTCTTAAAACAAAACCTGATAACGGGGAACGTCCGCTTAATAAAAAAGACACTTGGACCTTGCCTTGGGGGACCCTCTTCTGTTATCGGACGGGGACGCCGGATACCTTCTACACAGGGCTTAGCTGGCCCCCAAGCGAAACAGACGTTAGCCCGTGATTTAATGCCCTTGGCCAATAGACTACCTCAGAGCGATCAGCGAGTCAGTCGACGTTCTCGAATCCCCAGCATCAACCAATGATGCCCTCAACGAGGGGCCCTGGGAGCCTCCATCAGCTACTGCGTAGGCTTGTTCCCCGGATTTTTAGCAAATGGCGCATTGTATCAGTGAAAGGGGCCTTCTAGACCCTCCCCCACGGATGCACCAAGCTGGGGGTGAAGACGACTGACAGGTTTTGCCCAGGGGTTGGTGGTCGACGTTGTCCCTGCGTTCAAATGCAGATCATCCCCGTCATCCAGAGAAAGCGCCGTGCCTCGAAGGAGTTCATTGCGATCACCGTTTTCTATGTCACGTCAAGTTTCATGAGCACCAACCTTACGGGGTCGTCTTTGTCGTCGCCATGGCTGGATACCAACTCAACACTTATCTGGCTGTCAGCATCACATGGGTCGCTGCCTTTTTTGCGCTGATTGCAAGAGTGTTTGCACGACGCATGACAAAGATCCATTGGTGGTGGGATGACTACCTTTGCGTGGGAGCCTTTGTGAGTTGCGTCGTCACTTGTTTTGTATTGACAGAGGCTAATGGACTCTAGGTGTTTTGCTGCTTCTACTGCGTCGTCTTGATAACATGTAAGGCCTCTCTCTCGTAAGGAGTGGGCGCACTTAAATGCTAATGGTTCTTAGGGACGGTTAAGTGGTACATGGGACAAACACTTGAGCCATGGCTGAGCGAGGAGAAGAGGGAAGACATTCTTCTTCACTCAAGATTCATGCAGTTCCTCGTCTCGCTCAGCTATAGCTACGCCATCGGCCTGTCTAAGCTGTCGATTCTTCTTTTCTACTGGCGCATCTTTAAACAATCCGCCATCCGAATCCCTATCCAGATCATGCTTGGAATCACAGGCATCTGGCTTGTCCTCCGTACTTTCATGGTCATCTTCCACTGCGTCCCGGTGCAAGCATACTGGGACCATTCCATCGAGGGTGCCACCTGCAATATCAACGACACGCAGTTCTTCTTTGGCACTTGTCTGACTCATTTCGTGATGGATATCGTCATCTTGGCTCTTCCCGTTATCGAGGTCTTCAAGCTGCGTCTTCGACTGGGGCAGAAGTTTGCCATTACAGCTCTCTTCCTTCTTGGTTTCATGTGAGTCTCTTGTATCATGTTGAGGAACGAGACCCTAACGAATGAAGTGTCTGCCTTGCTTCCATGTTTGTTATCATTGAATCGATCCGATACGACACAAACACGACACAAATGCCGCGAGATATGGCCCTTAACGACATCTGGGGCTGCGTCGAGATTAATATCGCCATCGTCTCCGGTAACTAGCCCCGAGCTAATACTTCACCCATGAACCATGCTAAACTTCGCGTCTTAGGTTGCTTTCCTTTACTCCGACCCATCTTCCGCCGTATTCTACCCTCGTCCTTCCTCAGCTCTACCGGCAGCAGCCATCCCATCAGCCGATCCACACACGCCATCCGCCTCACAACCCTCAACAGAACAAACAAAGAAAAAGAGATTGACGAGTCGAGTTCCACACACAACCTCGCAGACCCAGAGCAAGGGCTTGCAGGCACGTCAGATTTCGAGACGGTCGATAACAAGGAGGGCATCCAGACCGTGATAACAAGTCAGATGCAGGGCTCCCGTCTATCCCGAGACCACGGCGATGCGGGCATCTATGTCCGAAGCGACATGGTGGTGGTGGAGGAACATACATATGCGATGAAACGATAAAAGGATGGTTGCGAGAGCCGTCTCGGATACTACGTTTTTTCTAATCAGTGACTTTTTAATTATTGACTTTTTATTAACTGTCAGATTCAGGCAGATCGTTCCCAAATACACTAGGCGTAATAGGGGAGGAGGTATTTCAGGGCTCACAGGTGAGTAATTGACTTTACATAGTAGCTGTAGTATTTCTCGTAGTATCCTTGCCACCCCCAGCACGGCGCGGCCTATCTGCTTAAAGAGAGCGCGTGCCGTGTCTTTAGATAGTTGCGTATGATGTTGACTCAGTGACTTGCTTTTCAAAGGTGGTTGTATCATTTCCTCCTACTTCGTTTACTACTTCTTCTTAAAAGCCATCAAGCCTAGCCAATCTGAAAATGCCGCCGGCCTTGTTCATCCCTTTTCAACTCCTTCGCGACAGTCCCATCAACACATCGCACCACTCGACCATCCCCAGGAGGCAGAATCACATGTAACATCTTCCAAGGCGCCTTGAAACCAGACTCCTCATGCCTGACAAACTTGACCTTGACCTCTGCGTTGTCAGCCGCATAAGAAAGCTCATACTTGGATATCCTGTTCTTCGCCATAGCCGAGACGCCATCGTCCTCATACCACGCGTTGTCGTACCACTTATCCCCAAGGCCATCCTTTGGTGGAAAGATCTCGACGGCTCGGTAGTCGTCTAGCGGTAGTTGGGCAGGGTTCGTCGTTTCACCTGGTGATAGGACTTGGACGTCTTTTCCAATCTGGATAGCTGAGCCGACTTTTGCGAGGACAGGGATTCCGGCACCATGCCACTCGGCATCCAATGTAACCCACTGGCCGACTGAAAGGTGTTGATAAGGGGCGTTGAGGTTGATGAATCCGCCGTCGTTAGCAGAGGCCTTGGGGAGGTATACTTGTGCTTTGGAAGCACCGGGTTCAAAGACACCACCGATCAGAAGAGAATCACCGAGCCAATACTGCGTCTCGCCATCCATAATCTTCTCAGTCCAAACCTCTGGATCGGCTTCATAGCCCCAACCAGTCCAGCGCTGTGGCGGGATTGCATGCTGATGACTTTCCAACATGAGAGAGTACAGATACGGCATCAAGGCATAGCGGCGCTTGATAGTCTTCCGAACCAGGTGCGTGATCTCGGGATACATCCAAGGTTCAATGACGTCGCCGACTTGGTTGTCGTTGCCAGTTTTGAAACAGTTGATGGCGAAGCGAGGTGAGTAGATGCCCTGTTGAACCCAACGGACGAGGAGTTCAGGGGATGGCTGGGGTCCCTCGAACCCCCCAATATCGTGGCCATAGCATTGCATGAGAGACATGCCTGCATTTAAAGACAAGGCATTGGCGCCCTTCATGCTTGACCAACTGGTGACGTTGTCACCACTCCAGGAACTACACGCGTATCGTATGGTTCCAGCTGTGGCGCTGCGTGTGAGAACGAATGGCCTCGCGTCTGGATCCGCGTCGACCAAGGCATCGTGAGAAGACTTGCCATGAAGTTCAGTCTGGAGACTTCGACCCCATAGTCCAATTTCTGGGCGATATTTTGCGGCTTCTGGAACAGTGAGAGATGGCTCGTTGAGAGCGCATCTCCACTCATCGTCGCCGATGACATATTCATTGTTATCGTTCCACATGCAGTCGATGCCCTCCTCGCGTAGCTTCTTGATTCCCTCGTACCACCACTTGAAGCCAGCCGCTGAAGTAAAGTCGATGTGGCCACCAAGACCGCTTTCACCTCCTCCGGCGCTCCATAGCCTAGCAATGGCGCTCTGGTTGGTATGCGGGTCTGTGAACAAGGCACCGGCATCCTTCAGCTTCTGGTACTCGGGATGGTTCTCGAGAACGTAGGGTTTGACATTGGCAATGAGTCTCATTCCCAGTTTGTGGTATTCTTCGATGAAGGCCTTGGGATCCGGAAAGCGGTGGTGATTCCAGGTGAAGACGTTTCGAGTCTTAGGAGGATGCTCGGAGACAGTGTATCCAGAAGACATCTGATAAGCGGAGCAAGGGATGTCGTTCTCCTTCATCTTTCTTGCAAGCTCCAGAAGCGCCTCGGATGCTGGAGGGTCGTCAAGCATGGAATACTTCATGCCTCCAGAAAGGTATCCAAAAGCCCAGCGAGGAACCAGCAAGGGATACCCGGCAAGCCTTGCATATGTAGTGACGATGTCTTTGAGAGTCTTCCCAACAATCATGTACTCCTCCAAGCCTCCATAGTCTTGACGAAGGACCTTGTAGTGACCCCACATGCCGTCCATCTCGGATCCGATTGAGTACTCGCCTCTGGCATGACTGGTAGAGAAAAGTGCAACACAGCCCCGAGGAGTAGCATTGATGAGAAGCGGGATGTTCTTGTAAAGCGGGTCTGTCTTGTAGTTGTCGTAGCCAAAGCTGTCAGTGGCAGAGAGTTGGAATCTCCGCCCAGAGAGATTCATGGGAGCGGCCTTTTCGCCAAGGCCGACGTGAAGAGTACCGCGATGATATCGCGAATAATGCCCTACTCCTCCGCCATTGACAATATAGGCTCGGTGAGGCAGATCTTGGTGAAGGGGGGCCTCATCTGAGCCCCCGAGAGACACGCTGACGAGAGGGCATGAATCACTCCAGTCCACTCTGGCGCTGATTTCTCCGATGCGAACTTCCTTGCTCGCTTCCACCGCTTGGACGTTTATCTCAGTATCCGACAAGTCCTTGGTGGGTGTTGGGATGCTAGGATGAGGTGGCAGAGGGTGACTGTCACTGATGTATGTTGTTCGAAAGACATTGGGGAGAATAGCTTCGAAAGAAAAGTTGAACGGGAGTTCTGGGTCTTGAGACTTGAGGTGCACAGAAGGACTTGTCTCATTGTCCTCGTGTAGAACGGGACGCAGAGTCCAAGAGGAGGGGACGCGTTCGTGCTGAGGCATATTTGCGATGCTACCTTGATTTGAGGGGTAAGTATCTGCCGCATCACACCTGGATGCCCCCCTGCTTAAGTAGCATTTGCACTTCTACATCAACCTCTAGGATAATCAGTTCTCTCCTCACTGCCGAGCGGCCATTGAATCTTCGTCTGCATAAACGTGTATGAGGGATTGGCTGTATGGCAGTGAGCCCCGCAGAGTGTGGAGTTGATGGCGTCGATTGCAGCCAAATCTGAGATGTAGCGTGAGGGGAACGTTCCATTGATGGTAAGATAACCCGGCTTGTTTGACGCTTTATAGAGTAGGGGAGATATATCTTGAGCCGGTTCAAGTAATAGCGTGTCGTGATGAGTCAAGATACCAGAGTAAGATCCGTTAAATAGTCGTATCTATAGAGAGAAATAAGAATACAGCGTCTATAAGACTGCGTGTATTTCTACTTGCGAAATGAAAAGGCCTCAACCTCTCTCCACCACCCACGATCATACCTCCAAAGATTCAACCCGTTGACCGTTCCTCGACTATCTTCAAAGCTATCCTGCAGCTCGTCCAGGCACTCGAGTACCCTTGACTTGTCATCTTCCTTGTTCATGATGGTGTAATGCCCCCTCCATCTTTCCTGCTGATCCTGTCGACTGAGGAAAGGCTCCCATTTGTCTCTCAGCTCGGATCGCAACTTTGCCGACTTCTTCTGTCCTTCTGAGATTCTGATTCCAACTCCCTTGCCGATCTCATATATGCCTTCTTTCTTGACCGTGATGTCGAATTTTGTGGTGTATTGTGATATCTCTGCAATGTCTTGCTTCAACTGGTGCAGCTTGGTGCCAGGTAGAGCGTGAAAAAGCGTGACATGGGCCTCTACCTTCAACAGTCGTGAGGGAAACCACTGTCTTCGTAACGCCGTCATTGCCTCGTGGTGAGCGTCATCGGTCCAGATTGTCAAGACATAGTGATCTCCCTCGTCTGTTGTAGTGTTGGGCCTGTGGTTTTCGTGACGTTCATGTTGAGGGTTGCTTTCGTGTTGGATGTTGGCTCTAGAGCTCAAAGTTGACATTTGCTGTCTCGGCGATGGCTGCATTGATGCGGTATCTTTCGGGCCTGTCATTACTTTGGCAAAGGTTCGAAGAGATGGGAAAGAGGGTCGAAAATGTAACATGCTGACGGGAACAATCGTGATGGTTGCCAGTTGGGTTTTGATGCCGAGCCTGAGAAACCCGCTTTTTACGCGTACGAGTCCTGACGTCAACGATTCGGGTGGCCAAGCCAGAAGCAGACAATGGCTGGAAATCCAGGAGCAAATAATTTCGACTAAAACTGAGCATCTACGGCAGATATTACACAATCTACCTGTACATTTCACCCGCTTCCTTTCGTGTGAGTAAACCACGAGGGGACTCAGGAGAATGCCTTATGCATTGCAATTCCTACCCAGTAGACCACTAAGACACCTCAACTGGATACATTCTGTTTCGGCCGAACAAATCCGGCACTTCCAAAAATCCCCTCAAATACCCGATCAGTCGAGAAGATACATCGTTGCTGACCTGGCACTACCTAGAGGCGGCTGCTAGAGCCTTGAGAAGGTTTATCCTCTCCTCCATAGCACGCCGAAGGTCGGTTTCTGTCCAATTTGACGAAACGACAACCTCGTCACCGGGCTCAAGTAAAACGGTTGGATTTGGGCCTACAACATCTGTGAGGGCCTTGTGAAAGGTGTCCCTATCGGCAGGTTTGATGTTACTGAACCTGACAATGTAGGGGGGCCCCTCGATCGTTCCGGGCATGGTGCTAGGCGGTGGAAAAGATTGGTAAGGAAGGCGAGTGTCGAGATGAATTGAAAGCTGATATTGTGCGAGGGAAAGTGTTGTTACTGGGCTTTCTAGGTAGAAGCAAAGAGCCGGCGGTGACCTGGCTTATATATCTGGCCATACTTGTCTGTTGTTGGCATTAATACCATTGGTAGTGATTTATTGTTAATACTATCACTGAATCCGTTTGTAGCGGAACCGTTGTCAAAACTGAATAAGAGATTATGGCAGAGGGGGGATGAGCCCATGAGTGAAGCACATTACATGAAGTGACTGTGATGGGTTCGCAATAGGGTTTTCATGTTCACTGTCTTGAGGAAGCATAGCAATGGTGAACGACGGAGTACACTTGGACTCACTGTATCCCCAATTTAATTGCATAGATGAAGAAAGCAATTGAATGTGTGCCCGTTGGAGTTTCTGCCTAGTGCATGGCTAATACCTATGAACTACCCATATTACACATAATTGTTGACCAAGCGAGCCGGGCACTCCCAAAGCTACCCTGAGATTCTTTGATCAAATCTTCGGAGACAGGACTTTGCCCTGTCCTCTCCTTCCTGGGTGGAGCGGATGTTGAAGGAGAACTACTTGAGCTTCTCCGTCAGAGAGCGCTTGAGCTCCTCAGATTCCTTGTACGAGGTGATGATGTATTTGTTGTCAACCACGTAGAAACTCCACCACGCCCCGATACCCAAGACATCTCCCAATGCCTTCGTGAGACGAGCGTCGTTTCCGACCACAGTCGTGCTGAGATAGACTGTGTGGACAGGGGCGGGCATTTTGATAGATAGTAGCAAGAATTGGTGAAAAGTCGAGTATTGCGATAAGTTGATGATTAATCTGATGCCAGAGAAAGTTGTGTTGCGTGTAGAAGGAAAGAACGGAGACGTCTTGTCTTGCGGTTTTATATCCGTTCATTCTAGATCATCTCTGGTCACTGACACCCGCTGGCAACGATTGATGGCTTGAAGATTGTCCCTGAATCGGTTTATAGCCGGGTACAGCTGTGAAGATGTGTCATTACAAAGAAGAAGATGAGGCTTGAATAAGGCAGGTTCCTTAAGGCAGCTGATTATCGGTACTTAATAGGTTGCTATTATTAGTCTATCTAATATTTCCCACGGAAGTCAGGGGCTAGTGTAGTTTATGCATACATTTAGGCATGCATGGACTTGGACTAAATATTTCTCTTTTCCCCTGACTACACTTTTCAACCCTCACATTTACTGTATTTTTGACATACAGGTTTTACGCTTTGCCTATAAACACAAACCGTGAATACTTTGTGCTCTACAAATCTACTTTTTTGACAACTTGCACCCATTGACTAGTGCACACTTACCAAGTAAGAGAAGATCAAGACCGCCACACATCATCGCAAACCTGAACGTGGCCACATAGTAGCGTGACTTCTTCACTGTCTTCTACACCTTTTGCCCCTTGCCGGTGCTCACTATTAAGGGTGATGTCAGGGATGTGAAACTAATTTGACCAATAATATTATCTGTTCCTCTTACATACGTAGTAGCCCCTGACAGTTTCTGAGCTATCAGGTATAGTAGGTGGATTTCTCGGCATTTCATGTGTTACTTTAAGCCGGGCTGGGATATTTGCTGATCGGGAGGCTCATGACAACACCCTTGGGAGAAATGAGCTCAACAGTAACCCCTTTCTTTTCATGCTCATCCATGGCATCCTTGGCCTCTTCAAAGGTCTTGTAGGCGTAGACAAGATGGCGTGTTTGATCAACATTCAGATGTGTAACACACCACACAGGGAGCCCACCGGATCCTCGTATGTTCCGAAAGAGTTCGGCCTGATCTTTAACTTTGGCTGTCTCGATGGTGAAAACTTTGAAAGGCGTTGGGATCGTCATTTTGCGAAATAGTCAAAAGCGGAATTGCGAAGTTGATATGGTGTAAAGAGGTTGCTATTACCTGAAGAAAGGAAGAGATGGGAGGGTTGGGCTTGGGGCTTATATACATATCGATGATCAGTCTTCAGCTAGTCACTAATGCTCGTTGCTCATGATACATTGCTTGAATAGTGTCGCTGAATTAGTTCGTGGCCTGGTGTAGCCTTGAAGACGTGAGTAGCGGCTTGCGAAATGAGATAAACTTCTGAATCATGCAAGTTCCCTTTAGTGACTATCAGCCTGGTAATCCAAACAAGTCAAAAGTCTGTATTCACTCACTGCCTGGAGAAAGCACGAAAACATGGTTGATCACAACGATGCATCCGATAGGTTCATCTGTCACAATATCATTGAACACATTTACCAGCACATCACGGCATGGTAACCCACTACCGTGACACCCCGTACCCTAGCGAGGTAAGGTCATAGCTGAAACATTGTAGTGAGATGCTATGCCGCATTGGCTTGAAGGTGTGGTCTTCGCTCAGACTCCATTAGACGAGATCGGACACAGGCATGATTTGACACCCTGATTTTGCATGGAGAGAGTCAAGCAAAGGTTGGTTAATTAATAACATACACCCTGCAAGTCCAAAACGCCTTATGAGCTATCTATTATGATCTAAATGAGTCTAAAGACTCCATGGCCAACCCAACAGTGTCCAGCTAGTCTTCCCAATACAGACATGCGTCTACACTTTCTGCTCCTCAGGACGGGTGGAAGATACGTAGGAAGTGGGCTAATGATATGGACGTGGTCTTTGGTTTCGGTTATGTAGGCTTCGAATTGGCGGAGTCGGCTTCTTCCTCAGCAAGGCGCTTGAGAATGGAGGCCTTGAGCTCCTTTGGATTCCTGTTTGAATAAATGATGTACTCGCGGTCCCTCTCACAAGTCTCCACGCACCAACTTTACTTGCCCAGGAGAGAATTTATCGTGTTCGAGAGGCTCCGTTCAGATGGAACCGAGGTGAAAGGGAGCATGAAAGCTGTAGTGTTGGACTTTAAAATTGAGGCATGCATCTTGCTAGCCGGAAGGACTGATCGGTGAAGAAATCAGCTGCCAAGATGTGTTGTCGAGTTGAGAGGTTAATGTTTGGTAAGAGATGACGTTGTTTCTTGTCGAGAGCATGACCTAACGCGCCATTGACGTGATATATAGGCATCCATGATTGAGTCTTTAGGTCACTGGTTGTCGCTAAGTCGATGTGTTGCAATTCCATGTGAAGCAGGTTGTGACTCAAGGTTACGTAGTAATTTGCCCCTGAATAGAAGACAAGTTGCTCGAAGTGATTCAGTTTTTAGAGCACCAAACGAGGGTTTTCTTTACTCGCTGTCTAGAGTAGGTTCGGTAATCACAGCTAAAGCGTCATCGAAAAAGGCTGCTTCAGACTTAAACTCTGTTCGACTTCCCCCACGGGCTAGATTCTGGCATTAATTCACACCCTGGGGGTGAAGAAGGCAGCGAACTAATCCCTCGGGTAGAGAAAAGTTAGCAACGTGAAACAAAGGGAAAAAGAAAGCGTTCTGATATTTATTAGTACAATAGCAACCATAGAAGGCCTCTCGAGTCTTCACTTTAATCGTGGTGCCTACGGAGAATACTATGTTTTGCTGCTGCAGCTTACTGCCCATTTCAAGGACTCATATAGAACCATAATTCCACACTCCATGTTCGTATGCACAGAATGTCAAGTAAATATCACGGGCTTATAATTTCTATCTAGTGGATCGCTAAGACGTCTGGACTAGATACACATCCCATTATAAGCCAAATGAATCCAGGACTACCTCATGAGCCCGGCGCAGTCATGTCAAGATCGATAATTATCCATCGGAACCACCTACTTCTTAGAGGGTGGCTGAGGAGTAGGAGGCGGCGGCGGCGGGAGAGGCGAAGGCAGAGGTGAGCTTTCCCGTCTTGTCCGTGGCTGAGCCTGCGGTGTCTGGCGCCTGGTTCGCTTTTTGCGCCTGTTTTCCTTTGGCTGAGAATGACACTCGGCTTCTTTCTCAGCCATGAACGGGCGGACACCCGCTTTGATCTCCTCTGGATCCCCCGTCGTGATGATTTCCCAGCTGTTGCGCTTGCTGACATAGGTGACCCGGTATTGCAACACCTTGGTTTTTAGGTAGTCTTCGATGCATGATTTGCATGAAATCTCGCTCGCGGATATTTCAAACGTTACGGTTTTGGGCCCGAAGATTCTGCTGCTCATCTTGCTGGATGGTGGATACAGGTCGGTAGTCGAAAAGGCGAGTCTTGAGATGTATTGAGAAGTTGATGTAATGTGAGCGGAAGTGTTGTTGTTTGTGCAGAATGCGAGAGAGAGGAGGCAACGACGTGCTTTATATCCTCATACAGCTTTGAACTTGCTGCTCACTGACGCTTTGGTGATGACGCGTTGGTATCCAGCTTGGAGTAGGGTGTCACTCCTAAGAGCTCAGTAGTAAGTTATTCCTAGGGCAGGGATGGTCCATTGATTGGAAGCCAAGTTATTTAAGGTGAATCTTGGTTTAGGAATCCCTAGAGGGTTCTCTTGACTTCTTGCAGTAGGTAGGCACGGGTGAATCGGAATTGGAGCATCATCGCCACTGTCACTAAAAGGTTCACGCTCAAAAGACAGGTGCTAGCTAATTTCGTACTTCAAGGAGGAAGATGGAATCTTGCATTAAGCATGCGAATAAGGTTGATGTTATTCACACCCCGTTCGACTTTATCCTATTGAATCACTGGGGCCTTTATTCTCACATACTAAGATGTCTAGTTTCAAGTGAAGGCTTCCTATCAGTGAAATTTCCCCGATGAAGCATTATTATGTCTTGACTAGACACAAAGTCTCGTATAGATAAGCCAGATGAGTCTAACACCGTCATAGCTACCCCCGTCAGGCTCTGGCTAGCTGTCTTAGGATGGGCAACAATACATCCATCCCTTCTCCTTCTCGAGGGGTTTGGAAGTTGAAGGGGAAATGAGTGAGCCAGGATTGGATGTCACTGTACCCCGTGCCTCGGGCAACGGCCTTAGACAGACGTCAACTGCAGCAAAACGCTTTTGGAGAGAGGACCTGAGCTTTTTGGGGTTCTTTGTCGTATAAACGGTGAATTCTTCGTCTCGTTTTGAGTACGAGCAATTATCGCCGAGAACACCACCTGAAAGTTGCAGTGCCCAAATTACATAGAAATTGGACAGGTCAGATGGCGCCTCTTCCAACACAAACTTGAAAGAAGCAGCCTCAGGTCGTTCGGACAAGGGGACTTCCATGCTGCTAGACGACAAAACGCATTGAAAAAGAATGAAAATATTGAGATGAGTCGTGGAGTTGATCCAATGTGAGAGGGAATGCTGGCTTGTAGAGAGAATGGCATGAGGAGGTTTCGCCTCGTGATCTAGGTCCATATATGTATTCATGCCTGGATCTTTGGTTGGTTACTGACACTCTCTGTCGGATGCATTGTTCTTCCATTTGGGGCCGGATGTGGCTCTGAAGAGGCGCATAGCAACTTGCCACCGAATTGAAGACAAGTTACTTGAAGTGAATCTCGATGATGGGCCGTCCAAAGGGGTTCTCTTTACCTGTGCCTTAATCACAAGTCCATCACCCTGGGTCAAGGGCGTATTTTCCCGCCAGACTCTACGACACTCGTCCCCAAGAGACAGATATCGGCAGAATGTCAAACATACGAACAGCTGTACCAACACCAGACTCGTCTCATGGTTGCATTAGCAGCTGACACACTCCTTATGCCCGAAAGCGGGAGGTGCATTAATCTGCCGTGTCTCACCGCCCAACGTCACCGAAACCCGATAAGCCACGATGCTAAGGGCGCGCCGAACTCGCACCAGGACATCACACACACCATCATCAGCCTATCTCCCGCCAATAGATAATGGCCGACAACCAACAGTCTTCGGGATCAGCTCCCGAGGCTTCCTTCGCTCCTTTCCAAAAACTGCCTCCGGAGCTGAGATATCGCATCTGGAACGATGCGCTGGCCGTCACCGCCCAAGAGCGTCTGATACGCCTTAACATCCATGACCGGCGTTATAAGACGCATCACTCGTGTATCGCCGTTCACAACCGTTTCTGCGGGCAACATACTCCATGCAAAACGTACATCAACGGACAACCGAGTCGCATCTCGAATTGCATGATCAACGGGTACTTTGCCTATGATCGGGATGATTCCAATGGCCCTGAAGACCCAAAGAGGAGGGCAAATCTCAAGAATATCGGACTGTCCTGTCGTGAAGCTCGGTCGATGGTTGTTTCGAGATATCCTGAGACCGTGAGGGTTTATCGCGGCAGCTATCTTCAAGGCGAGGGCACACGCCATATTCGATGCGACCCAGCAAGCGATGTTCTCGTCATCACCAAGATGCCGGTGCATAATTCACACCCGCATCCCTCCCCAGGTGGCAATCCTTTAGTGATTATGGAGGAACGTTCCCTTTCGATGAGATACCCGCGGGACTCCAGGCTCTTTGCTGAGTTTCGCCGCATGCTCTCGAGTTTCCAACACGTCGCATTCCTTCACCAAGGACATCGCCGAAGATCATTCCCCTTAGATCTTGCGAGGTCAGAAGATTTCATCAGTCTTCTATTCTACTTTGAGTCATTAAAGTCTCTGTACCTCTGGCCGGATCCTGATCTTTGGCCCGACGTGTACGAGAACGTGGTGGAGGTGGAGACCATTGAAGATCTCCGTATCTTGGACTATGAACCTCGATGGGACATAGAAAACACGGCGGAGGACATCATGAACAAGTATAAAGCGCGAGCCGAGACCCAAAATGCTCATTTCGTTGAGGGCGAGGAGCACTGGATCCCGAAACCAAAGCCCCTCGAGAAGATTGGGTGTTATGCCGCGGCAGCTTGGTTACCGAGACGGATTACAGAGGACCAGCTGGAGACGGGGACTATGCCGGGTATGCCATTGGAGGCTGATGACGATCCTAACGACCCTGCGACGTACGACTTTTCCACGACAACATACTAGATAATATAAGGACCTATGGCGTTATGCGGCGTTAAAACTGTTATGATGGCAAGATTGAATGAAAGATTTATTACATGTTATTGACGACGACATCCTGGGAAATATTATATGAGTCGAAAGAGAAATGTGGCTCTCTACAGTCCAAGGCTGACCCAGGGCAACTTTTCCTTAGCTATTTGCGTGTCTGTACCGCGTCCAGTGAAGCATTTACCCCCGGAAGCATTTCCTGTTCTCCCCTCCAAGTAGCTCGCCTCGTCGTGGTGACCAGATGTGGACTCTCGTCGATCTTCTTCCTTCTGACCCAAGACCAAAAGAAAACGCCCTGGTATATGACGTTTGACTGTTCGTCTTCCTCGGACGCATCTGTACTGATATAGACGTTTCCAAGAAAGGCCGAGGCGATAACACACTAAATGTTGTCAGTAAACACCCAAGAAACGAATCAGCTGTTCGGAAAACCCACTAGAACCATGAAGGGGAATATGGCAACAAAGGCCAGCACGATGCCTTTCTTCGCTCGCTGTCGAAGGTCCTCCATCTCTTGCTCGCCAAGATCAGAGGACTCCGTAAAGTCGTAGCCTGCCGAGTCTCCAAGGTCGCCCACGCCAGCCACGTTGTTCAACACGGTTGTCATAATAGTTAGGCCCAGTGTGCCTCCGAATGGATCCGAGACTTCCATAAGGGAGATGACAGCTGCGATCCTCTTGGGAAAGTATGCCATGCCGTGGAGTGGAACTGGCATCAATCGAATGCCTATGCCGACACCTGTCAGCACCATCATGCCGTAGACAGTTGGATCGTGCTCCTTCCACAAGGCCCATGCCAGTACACCAAGGCCGATAGCTTCGATGACAGCTCCGAGCATGATTGGATGCCAGGTCTGACGGGGAGAGTAGTTGCACATGAGGATGGCAATGAAGACGCCAGCTAGTACTGTCAGTAATTGGCGTGGAGTAAGGGGTTCAAGGATGTTGAATCTGGACTCACTTCCTAGCCCTGGAACAACGAATAACAACTGCCGTCCTGCCTCACTCGGAAGCAACTGCTTAACCATGGTGAAGTATAGAGTGCAAAAATAGAGCACAGAGTACATGGCCATACCAGAAGCAAACGAGGTATAAAATAGCAAGCCAATGTCCCGATTCCTGAGAACTTCCCACGGAATCATCGCCTGTTGTTGTGGGAATTTCTTCTCCAGTATTTGACCTGGAGTCATGTAATATTGCCACAGCACAAATGCACCAATAATGAGACCTCCAAATACCAGGGGCACAATGATCGCCGGACTGTCCCAGGCATATGTTGACCCTGCCCAAGTGAATGCGAGAATGAGTAAACCGAATCCGAAAAGAGACAATACTTGACCTCCAACGTCAATTGTCTTGAGACGCTGCTTGAAGGTCGTTCGACGGCCAGTCTCTGTCGTCTCCTCGAGCTGTGGGATAGGTTGAGGTCCAAGTAGCTCCTTACGTAGAACGATGAATGTAATTATGCAGCCAGCAACTCCGATCGGCAGCGTGATTCCGAAGCACCATCGCCAGTTGGTGTTGGTCAAGTAACCTATACGCTCAGATCAGACACATTTCTTCCATAGACTGTGACTCCGTACCTCCAATAACAGGCCCGACCGAGTAGGAGCTGCCTGCCACCATGGAAAAGATGGACCAGTTCTTTGCATCCTCTTGTAGTGATACTTTGTCGGCCACAATAGCCCGAACGACTACGTTAATACCAGCACAGCCTATGCCTTGAAGTGCTCTTCCGAAGAGAAGCATTGGAAATGCGTTGGTCGGAGCGCCTGTACACAGAGCACCACCGACGATGGCGATAATCATGCAAGCTTGGATAGATGCATGTCGGCCGAAAATGTCGGCCATTTGACCCCAGAAAGGAATGAAAGCAGCCGCTGTCAAGTTGAAGGATGAGATGATCCAGTTGAGCTGAGACAGTTGATCAAAGTCGTCGGCAATCCACGGCAATGCGCTGGCGATAATTGTGACGTCGAGGGCCGAAATAGCAAACGGTAGAAATAGTCCTAGAATAATCTTCCATCTGTACTTGAGCTGCTCTCGCCTTTCTGTCTTGCAGGACTGGCAAAACTCGGCCGTTTCGTTACCATGGCGGCATTTTCGAGCTTCGTCTGACATTATGGCTGAAACCGGGGGTGCTGAAAGTCTGGCGCTGTTCCTTTCAAACCTGTGGGAGTGGCATTGGGATAGCCAGACGGCAGAGTGGTCATGACCTTTCCAAAGGACCTGCGTGAAGTCAAGTATCGTGATGTCGCGGATTCTTGTGCCCCATCCTAGAAATGATCATGCCGTCGGACGAAAACAAATAGTTATCTAGGCAGACGTAAATTAACAATAGCTAAGGCCCTTCCGGCATATTTGGTGGTGGCAATGCTCCCAGACAATCAGAAGCTTACAGCTACAACTATTGGCTGACACACATATGCCAAGTGACCAAGACCTAGGCACAGAGGATGTGGTTGGCCCCTCGTACACATCGTATCAGTCGCCAAGTTCTGGGGCGGATGGTTAAGGCCCGAGCTGACAGCCCTACTGCAACATGAGTAAAAGGCCAAGACGGCTGATGCTAAGGGATGAGGCCTCCGTATTTCGGATTCGACCCGTATCAACTTTCTGTAACAGCCACCTTATGCAATTTCCAACATCATCTCACTTCCTCTTTGTTTCTCGTGCCTATTTTGAGCTCATGAGCTTCTTCCAGCACTCGGCTCAACATGATCAATTAGACCTGCCTACAGGTTCATCTGATACTTGGGATGCGTTCTTAGCTTCTCTCCGTACTTCATCGTCAGCCAGATCATGGGCATCACCCCCAACGCGATTCCAGCAAGCAACGTGTTTCCCCAACCCTGATCAAGCTTCTGATACATCTTGGGTCCTGCCAACGGTAAAAGAGCACCGCCCATGCTTCTAAACACCGTCGTCGCAGCCGTCGCACTAGCTGCATGAGCTGGGTACGCATCGACCAGATACGATGCGACAGGAATGAAGACGGTGATGACTCCCACTCCGACGAAGAAGGTTCCGAGCAGAGGGACAAACCAATGTACATAATATTGCGCCGTCCAGCCATAGATGATCAAACCCAGAGGAATCATGGCTGTTCCGGGGATCATGGGAGGAAGTCGATATTCAGGTTTCATCTCTCCTCCCTTCGCCATTCTCTTGACAATCGTATCTGACGCCGTACCAAAGACGGCAACACCCGCAATTTGGCCAACACCGAGTCCGAAGTAAACCAGACCAACGTTTGTGACAATTCCGTAGCGGGTCTCGAAAACTTCTGTTAGGGTAGTGAACAGCAGATAGAGGACACCATACGCAACAGCAGCGAGAAGTGACAGACCCTGAATTAGGGGAGACAGGGCGAGCATCTTGAGTGGCCTCGTGATGTTCATGAAGAAGAACTGAATCGGGGATTGGCTTGGTTCATTATTAAGTTGAACTTCGGGAAGACCAGCCAGTTTTCGTTGCTTCTTGACTTTCCATCTGAGAACAACGGGGGGGTATGTCTCTCTCAATGTCAACAGGCTGATTCCAAAAGCAACGCCAGCCTGTTTTGTGGTGAGCATACATAACTTGGGACAAATCAGTGTAAGTACTAACCATGATGGTAATGAGCCAAAAGTCCCATCTCCATCCTGCTGCTCTTGACAGATAGGCGCCGACCGCCGGTCCCATGCATGGCCCAAACAAGACAGGTAGATTCATCACGGCCATGGCCATCCCGCGCTCCTCTTGCTTGAAGCAGTCTCCAATAGTGCTGGGGCCGACAGTGAAAGCGCATGCACCCACAGTACCAGTCAGAAAGCGAAAGGCAATGAGCATGGACATGCTATTTGCCATTGCACATCCAATGTTCATGACAGCGAAGAGGGCAGTGCATGTGTGATAGACGACCAATCGACCGTAGAGTTCGCTGCATGGGCCAATGAGCAGGGGACCGAATGCGTAGCCTAGGAGATAGATGGACACGGCAAAGGAGCCAAGATCTCGATTTGTCGTCTTCATTTCTTTCATGACATCGTCAATTGCTGGGGCCATCATCGAGGAGGCGAATGGTCTGAGAGATCAATTAGTCTTGGCAGAGAAGCACAGACCGAGGAGAACAAACGTCATGAAGCTCAACATGGAAACAGTCAGAGTGATCCTCCATTTCTTCGTCTGCGGCCAATTGACAGGCTTGTCTGGGTCATCAGGGCCATCCCAATCGATTTCTTCAGACTCGGTGACTTCCGGTGATTCGCCCTCGCTGGAATCTCGGCCTGCCTTTTCAACATCATGCTGAGGGTCCGCTGTCGGGGTATTGTCCTCCGAAATAGAGAGTCTTCGAGACGTAACAACGGTGATTGAGTTTCTAGTATCGGATTTGAACAACATGCTGGGCGATTGACATCTCAATGGCTCTTGAACGATTAAAGATCTAAACAAACAAAGGAAGAAAAAATTCAAGATCAAAAGAGCCCCAATCGCTTGACATCGACCCCCACGAACCCCCATAGCGGAGTCCTGATCCGTAATCAACGAGATAACATTGTTGCTATTGTGGTAATTTGCGGGGATTTGATTGCGCAAAGAGGGTCTGATATCACAACAGGCCCAGGGAATAAGCCGTCATCGGATCCGATATTTCCAGCCGGCAAAGTTGTTTCCGAAGCTATTTGTCATTGCTTTGTTTGTGGATGATGATGTGCTATTATCGAATTATCACGGGGGCTCGCTACATTCAGCCACACGACTGTCAGCCTCGCGTGGTTCGCTTGAGTGCTGCAGAGAAACGATTTGAAGCATCTACATACTATCTAGCACACGGTCTTGCAAGATTTACCATTAAAGTTTGCGGCGAAGATTGCCTTTTAATTGGTTCCATCTCTTAGGTGGGTAGCTCGATAGGTATCTTGTTGATAGGGCAGAAGCAATGTTATGGGCTGAGATGTTCCACCCAGCATAAGTCCTTGACCATTGAGATATAGGTAAAGGTCTTCATGTTTAATTTCTCAAATTAAAAGGTCTTCTGAGAACCAATGGCATTACGGGTGCCGAGTTCTCACCCTATCGGTGTTGGTTCAGACATCAAGGACATAGTCAGTGCGTGTCACCAAGCGCGCGGATTGGCTCTAATTCCTAGGTATTTATTTCCTTACTTACTTACTTACATATATGCAAACAAGTAGTTTTAGCCCTCGTTTGGGTGGGTCTGTTACACTGCGGTGCAGGCATTATCCCGTTAATATGTCACCAGACACCATTTGAATGCACACTGACTGACAGTTCATAGTCTGATTACCGAAAACTATCCAATAAGCGAAATCACGTATCAGTATCGAAAAGCGTAGCTTGGCGTCAAATTTAATCATAATACTGTTCATGCTAAAGGTATCTAAGAATCAGTAACGAGAAACATCAAATGGATGGCCACCTCCCATGACCCATCTCCAACGCCCAGAAACTCTCAACCCTTCACCAAGTTGCAAACCTAGAGTTCAAATCACCCATTACTCATGTCTTCATGGCGCCAATGTCCTTCACCTGCCCGACTCCAACTCCATCTCCTCTGAATTTGCCTTGATAGCCCGCTTCAGCTTACTTGGGTACCGCCAGAAGAACCAAGCCATTGTAAGAGTCATCAATGCCGCATCAAAGACGTATACTCCCCATTCCACGCTCAAGAGGTATCCATCGCTTCCCATGGCGTACTCGGCCACTCGGAAGATGTTACGGACCATAATCATCATGGATGTGACGTAGAGCATGTTGAGGCTCTCTTGCCAGGGGACGTCATAGACCATGCCGCCTCCTGCGACGTGCCTTCGGAATCTTGAGTTGAAGATCACGGCCGTGGCGATAAAGACACCAAAAATGACAATTTGGAAGATGAGGCCGCCGACGATGATGTTCGAGCCGAGGTTGGGATCAATGTCAGAGTTGTTACCAGCCTGGACACGCAGACCGGCACCACTAGCTTGGACGATAAAGCTAAAGACATCGCCAAAGACGAAAATTCGAGTGAGCCATCGGGGTGCAATGATCGAAAACGGTGCTCCCTTGACGGCTCGTACGACTCTGGCGAGGGTCATGTAGAGCGAAGCAGCGAACAAGATAGGAGCCAGGAGCAAAAGAGCCGATTGGAGGACATAAGGAATAAGCTCGCCCGTGTTGTTGTATGCAACAGCTCTGGATGCGTAACCAACGATTTCGACTGAGACAGGTAAGCGTCGTGTCGGGGTGTCGGGATGGTGGAGAACCTACAGATACCTCCCACGACAAAGGGAATGCAGAACCACATGCGGTGGCGGAACATTTTCCAGGCATGTCCAACAGTCAAAATGCCGAATATGACGGCAAAGACAATTGCGGCAGGTAGTGAGGGGAGGTACCGCCATAGCGGGTAGCCATTGTGAGTTTCGAGCTTTGCCATGACGAACGAGGTTGCAAGCGCTTGTTTCGAGTGTCAGATTCGTGAGCGCAGACTTTACTGCAGAGCCAATGAGAGCAATCAACTTCCACCGGTATCAACATCGAAGTAAAGGGGCTGTCGGACTTTATACCACGACCGAAGGTTATCACTTAAGCCTAAACAGATGGCGCGGGGTACGCTGACGCGTATAATTGCGAAAAAGAGCACCATTATCTGGATTTACCGCCAGTTGCATGGAACTAATTCATCGTGGGTGTGCCCAACCGGTGACTTTTGTCGTGGCCTTGGAGGCTGGATACGTCGGCTGGTCGGATACGTGGAGCCGTGTCCGCGTATAGCATCCCTGTATACACGTATAGCCCTACCCTATTTCCGCCATCCAATCATCAACGAGATCAGAAGTTGACGGGAGAAACTCCAACATTCTTTGCGCGTTTGGAGAATGCCATCTATTTGAAGATGACAATTGACCCTTCAGAAGTGCATCAGGGCCCCTGATTGCGCGGCCTACTCGTGATCTGTCGTGGACGACTGTGAAGCTGTGATGTAATTGTAAAGCCTGCAGAACGTGCAATAACTTGTTCCAGCGGCCACTTTTGGGCTCTTTAGGCTTCCAGTGCTGTTTTAAAAGATCCAAAAAGAGCCGCGCGACGTATCTTTCGCAGCGTGGAAATGATAAAAAGCGTTGTGTCTGTCCTCTGCGACGGCATAAGCGCGTCTGGATCTCGCATGGCAGCTGTGACACTGCATCGTTTCACGTCAAGCTCAACCCAGACCCATCAACGGCATTCCAAACGGACATCGCGTTCCAAAAATACCCCATCGATGAAGCGCCGAGAATGACGAGGCCCTAATTCGATCCTAGCCTGTCAGATGTACGAATATGGGGTGGCGGAATGGGCCGAGTGCCATGGCCCACTCAGCCCAGGGGCTCTTCCGCGTACGTATTGTGCAGAGCTGGCTGCACGGCAAATTATACGATAAGCCTTCCCCTAAGTAGGCGCATGTTGGCCCATCGTTATATGAACGGCCCGGTCCCTGGAGTTCTAGATTCGTGCTGTGCCTTACAGATTCACTTCATTCATTAATCTTTTTTGCCGATCTTCCATCCCCGTCTTGGACGCCGTCACTCCTTCACCACCCCACCAATTAACAAACAATTAACTTTCGGACATTCTTTCAACTTTCTTTCACGACTCGATCATATTCAGTGACAATGGCAGGCGAAGAATCAGGATCTGGTGCGAAGCCGGCCTTCACTTTTTACAACTATGATCCGTCGCTTCCGGCCGCCGCTGTCTTTGTCATTCTCTTTGCTCTTTCAACACTCGTACACATTTGGCAGATGTTTAGAAGCCGAACATGGTATTTTATCCCATTTTTGATCGGCTGTCTCTGTAAGTGTTGCACACCGCCCTAAGAGCTTGACCTCCCCCAGGAGCTAACCCAAGGTGATAGTTGAGGCGGCCGGTTACATCGGACGAGCACTCTCCGCAAACGAAGCACCGGATTACACCAAGAACCCCTACATCATGCAATCGATCCTCTTGCTGCTTGGCCCCGCCCTCTACGCCGCATCGATCTACATGGTCTTGGGACGACTGATCGTTCTCCTGGACGCAGGACGGCTTTCTCTCATCCCACCAAAGTGGTTGACAAAGCTCTTTGTCCTTGGAGATGTTCTGTCTTTCTTCGCCCAGAGCGGTGGCGGTGGCATGCTCGCTACAGCCACGGACAAGGATAGCGTCAAGAAGGGTGAGAATATCATCATTGGCGGCTTGATGATCCAGATTTTCTTCTTTGGCTTCTTCATGATCGTCACGCTCGTTTTCCACATGAGGATTCGAAAAAATCCCACGAATCGATCAGCCACCATCACGACGCCTTGGAAGAAGCTGCTCATGGTTCTCTACGCGACGAGTTTGTTCATTCTGGTTCGATCAGCGTTCCGCGTTGCCGAGTATGTCCTCGGAAAGGAGGGCGCTTTGCAATCCAACGAGATTTACATCTATCTGTTCGACGCCACACTCATGGCCTTGGTTTCTATCTTGTTCAACTGGTTTCATCCCAGCAGGGTCATTGACCAGCGGGCTATCATCAAGAGCCCCTTCGACAACGACCAATACCCACTGGAGTCGCAGTCATTTTCTTCTCATGAGAATAACGGTTACCAACGCTACTAAATGTTTCGTTACGAAATTTCGGGCTTGGGGAGTCAGCGAGCATAGCAAGCAAGTTCGATGGGTTGGATAGAAGCGTGGGTAATGGATTTTGACCAGACATTGACTGAAGGGCACGGTATTTGGGCAACTAGACTTTGAAAGACGAATTGGGTATTTCTTTTGTATTGTGGCATCGGCAGTCTTATCTGTAGAATTCATTGGCGTACTTGGTAGTTATCTTCCATTCCATCAAGCCTGTTCATGTTCCTCACAGAGGTTACGTCTTCCTTTCAACCCGTTTGCGTAATACCATGATTGAAACTCAAGTAACATTGATGATAAATCTGCAGATAAAAAATCAATACTCTTCTTCTGGAAGAGGGAATATGAATTGGGTGCTGATTAGGGAGCCACGTGACGCCGACAGGAGAGATTAGCCAGAGGCGACACTGCTGGGGGGGCGCCACGGGTGGTGAGGCAATCGAGCGGGGGACTGTGTTATCTTATCTTATCTCCTTATCTTAGCGCTTTGGCATCGGACAGATTCTAGCCAATTAAAAGTGCCCATTTAGACGACGACGTGGTGCGTGCGTTTAACACCACTCAGTATTGCGCCAAAGCAATCATCGAAGGATGATTCACAACGATCGAATTCATAGTTCTAACATCAAAACAAAATAAAAATATAAGAGAAAGAGAGGACTTTCATAGTACTACACTGGTGCCGAGAGATAGGTGCCTAAAATGCATGCCTTGAATTTATGGCAATTATTTTCAGAGTATAAAGACCTTGAGTCTCGCCCTACCCTTGACCAGCAACACTTTTCATCATTTCACATTTTCTTTTCCTGATTGCACAATAAGTTTGTACTTTTCATCTCTTTACCAAACCATGTCGCAGTCCACGATCAAGCCACAAGTTAACCATGACGTCGCCTTCAGGCATGAGGTTTTGGAGGGCTTCCTGTCTGACCTCCATGATGTTTCCACCACCAAAGACAAACAAGAACTCTTAACTTCTATCCAAAGTTTTGCCTTCCAATTTCTAAAGGATGCCTCCAACAAAGAACTGACTCGACATGGCCAAGTTGATCAAGGTCTTGAAGTCCTCTGGCGCATGTTCATCGAGATGGCCAAGGTCCTGGAAAAGGATGACCCTTTTCACGACAAGCTTGTGCTTCTTCTACTTTGGACAAAGGAATTTGACCAGCTCCACAAGGACTTGCATCCTTCCGACAGTGTCAAGGCTTTTTGGGAGTCATATGGATTTGGCAACAGTCTACAGAAATCGTGGGAGCAGACACTATCGAGTGGCACCTCGTCCCAACTGTGCAACCTTGCCGCTTTCTCTACCAAAGCGTTGTCGGCTGGAGTTTGTCAAGACACTCTAGCATTGACGGCTCTTTGGTACCTGCGCGAGGCTCTCGAGAAGGGCGAAGAGGGGGTAACCGCAAATCTCCTCCCAGCAGCCGTGATGTGGGTGGACCAATGTCGTCACAGGCTTCTCACGTTCTCTATTCTTGATCGTTCGTACGAGGCGCATCCAAGGTCGGACTTGTCTGCTTGTGGAGCACTCACCCGGGCTAAAGGCGTCAACCGATCTGGCGGCTTCAGCATCGAGCGATGGCTTTTCTGGAGAGAGCGCTTTCAGCATCTTTCCCACAGCCAAGACTCTAGTGTCGCCAAAGAAGCCAAGAGAGGCTTTATGACCATGATCAACTGCGGTCGCGATTTGGGTTACGAGGTACCGGGCGAAGCGAGGTTTGCAGAGAGACTTCAGAAGGCTATGTGGGAGGCCCTTGTTGAGAGCGGGAAGGAGAGTCTAGATGGCGATGAGATTGACATCAAGGTCGACTGGGCGGATGAGATAGTTTGAGCGTCGACGAAGGCATACGTTGCTAAGGCTGTCCAGCTGGTTGTTAACTACATTCCCTTCGTCCGATTTTTCTATTGCGACCACTATTTCCGACCATACCACCGGTTCTGGTCATCTCGCCATCATTAAAGTGCATAAACCAGTAGATAGCTAGAACAAATGAATATTTGGTATCACTCAGACTGCTCTTTGGCTGCCTTCCACTCCTTCAGCACTCCTAGTGGCTTCTCGCATCCATGGTCCTTGGCGACGTATTCAGCGTCAGCTCCCTCCATGTTCTTGATACTGGGATCTGCTCCCTTCTCCAACAGCCATCTCACCACCGCCTCCCCATTTGACTTGGACGCTGCATAACATATTGGAGTACCCAAGTGACGAGCGTGGTGCGGTATGTCAGTATCCATGGCGTTCACGTCCAACTTGACTTCCTCAACAAGGAAGCGAAGCATCTCCAACTTTGCCGTTTTCCGTTCCGCTTCCTTGCTTCCTGTTGATACCTCAGCATCCACAGTGCCATCGCCTTCCATCTTTGGGTTTACCCCAAGGGCTGCAGCTGCTCCGGCTGCAAGGTGAAGAGTTCTTCTGCCGAGACGGGCACCCCGTTCCTGGAGATATTTGAACGTGGAGACAGATCCTTGGAGAGCACAAGTCTCTAGTAGAGGCGCTGGTTGGGGAAAAATCTCGTAGTCATACTCTCCACCGTCAACGCGAGCCCCGTGGTGGACAAGCCAAGTGATGATGTCCTGGTCGTGACAGGCCAGATCAACAAGACGTCGACATCTGTCGGTGGGCCCGCGAGGCGCTTGCTGGTTGATGTCCCATCCATGGGCGATGAGCAATTCCACAAGGGGAATAGAAAACTTGGACCAGACTTTGGTAGGGGATAACCATGTCAAAGGTACAGACTCCTGCTCCAGGAGGTGTTTCACCAGATCGAGTTTCCCATCTTCAACACAGGCGGATAGTGCGGAGGCCAGAAATTTCTCGTAAGAAGAGTTCCGTGGGGGGTTTGACTGCGCGATCCGTAGAGCTTCGGCCAGTTGGGAAACGGAGTTGTGTTCAATGGCCTCATCCAAGATATCGCGAGGGTTTGGCGGGCGCTGATATCGGGAAGACATGGTGGGGGCTGGTTGTAATTGTTGGGTGGCTCAGGGAACTAACAGTTGCTATGAGAGAGGGTGTAGGTGAGTGATCTCAGTTCCGCGAGACGAATTTCTTCAATGACAGATGCATTCAACCAAAGCTGAAGCGATGACGACTTGTCGATAGCGGGCGTTCAGAGGAAACAGTGGTGCCTGTCGATCGGATCGGGGAGGATGCACTAACGAGTTAGCGCTGACAGGCCAAGATTACAGGAGAACACAGGGCGTCTGTGAGACGTTGCAGGTTAAGGCTCAAGTCAGTCAGCCTTACGCGTTCACGTCAATCTTGACCAAGGCGCGTAAATCCCTGTGTCTTAATGCTTCAGCCCTAGGAATAAACTTGGGGTCCGAAAGCTCCGAAAACGAAAGAGCCGTTCCAGGGAGTTAGTTATGCAGGATACAGTGCGTCAAAGCCTGAGTTTGTCGCACTGTTTGAGGAGATTGGCGCGCCCGGAAGATGCGTGGATTTGGGCCTTCTCTCAGCATGCTGACCTCTGCCGGGCCAAACCAATGTTCAAGGCGAGCAGAACAACACGCTTAATGCCATTAAGCTTGATTCAAGATTATGTCTCTCAAAAATCTCCTAGCCTTCTATCAGCTCCCGCAGACAGGGGTGTGCCGTGCTCTGTGGGGATGCCCTGCTCAACATGAAACAGGAGGAAGCTAGAATGCAACCCCAAACCCAAGCTGAGATGAAGGATGGTGAGATCAAGAGTCCGATCTGATGCTCAACCAACCCTGATCGTCACTTGTGATTTCCGGCGCTTACGGAACGCCCAGTGCATCATAAGACGGCTGCCGATGGCACACAGACGTGTCGGGATCATCTCTGCAGGATCCTTGAAGTCACAGCTTATCTTTCCCAAGCAAGCTGGTTTTTTCGGGGGTAATTAAACTGTTCCACAGAATCTTCTCCGCAGTTTCGTATGGGCGGCTCATCAATTCATATGGTTGGCCTGTGTCCATCAATCAAGAGGAAACAAGGCTGTGCCTCGAAGGATCCGATAGAGCATAATGTGTTTGGAAAACAATAACGAAAGTCTCGAGACCTAGGGCATGGGTAAACTGAATCCTGCGGAGTAAATGTCCGATAAATACAAACGGTTCGCGTCGAGGCCTGTTGGTTCATCTCTTCTTGGCCAGCCCCATCCATCGAGGAGCAACCAACACATTCCTTTGAGCGCCGGATCTCGCTCTTCACAATGGCTCCCCTGTCACTCATTTTGTTATCGTTCGCTGCCTCGACCCAGGCCAGTCCTCTTTGGGGCTTGGCTAAGCGTCAGGATAACCAGCAGCTCTGCGGCAACCCCGATATCACGCCTGCTGCGAGTCTCGTGGTGCCTGGTGCCCAAGGAGACGTGATTTTCACCCCGTCCCAAGTTGAAGACACTGCTCTCTGGACGATTCCTACGCCAACAACCATCTCAGAGACTGAGACTATCTATCCCTTTGGATATGTCTGGGTTCCCTCTGATCCTACACCCCAAGAGGTCCCTGCTCTGCCTACGGTCGATGTTCCCTACCCTCTGCCCGAGGGTGCTTCAGAGACTCTTTGCAATGTTGAAGCGCCGACCACTACCACACTTCCCCCAGTCATTCCTACCACTTCTGATGGTCCTGTTGAAGACCTGGCCGAACCTCAAACCCCTGTTACCCCAGTGGAGGAGTTGAGCACCATCCCTCCGATCATCCCTTCCTCATCCGAAGCCCCAGTTGAGGATACGCTTGAGCCTACAAATCCTACAACTTTCGTAGAAGAGTCGAGTACCGTCCCACCCTTAGTTCCTACTACAAACACAGAGCCCGTTGAGGTCCCAAATACACCCAGCAGCGCTCCCCCCGAGGAAGAGTCAACTACTGAGATTCCTCCTGTCCTGTCCACGACATTTTCCGAAAATACCGAAGTTGTGAACACACCCGTGTCCACTGAAGAAACTACCTCAACTGAGGATCCTGCGAATGCCGGGACAACAACCACTGAGGGCAGTTCTACCGAGACTACGGAGGAACTGACCGAGACCACAACCACTACTGAAAAGCCTGTGACGAATGAGGAGACCACTACAACTGAAGTTACGAGCACTGAGACAACATCCGAAGAGACTCGGGAGACGACGACCACTTCAGTTGAGGAGTCCACCACTGAAAGCACCACAGCAGGAGAGACTACGGCGGAGACCACAACTGAAGCATCCACAACTGAAACCCACGTTGACGAGACTACCACGACCGACAAGCCAGCTGAGGAGACCATAACAGAGGGAGACGTCACCACTACCGAGGAAAGCCCCGATGAAACTACTACCACTGAGAAGCGCCCTGACGAGACTACTACTGAGGACCAACAACCTGGGGAAACCACTACTGCTGAAGATGAACCCATCACCACCGACAAGCCTAATGTAACCACTGGATTCCCCGAGTTTGATCCCCCAACCACAACGGTTAGCGGCCCCGAGGCCACTGAGGATGCCACTGATGCGGGTCCCATCATCCTTGCTCTCTGGTCTAACCGAGACATGATTAAGGATGAGGAGAAGAAAGAAGAGTACATCAAGAAGACCGAGGAAACTCGAGACGATATTGTCCTTCTCTGGACCAACTTTGATGTCAAGCCCGAGATCCCTGAGGAGTGTGGCAAGACAGCTCTGAAGAAGAGAAGTCTTATCTCGGGTGTTCTTGACCTTCTTGATGATGCTGCTAAGCTGATCGGTTGCGCGACCAAGGTCGTGGAGAACTTGGTTGAGAACGTCAAGCTTCCTGATCCTCCTATTGATGTCATCGAGACTCTCACCGATACTCTTAAGGAGATCTCTGAGAAGCTCGAGGAGGAGAAGGAAGAGGAAGAGAAGGAAACCGATGAGGTTTCCACCACAGATGAGGCCCCTAGCACAACCGAAGAGCCTACCAGCACGACTGAGGAGCCTACAACTACCACTACCAGCTGCGTTGAGACCGGAGTTGAGAGCTGCACTCAGACCGTCTACTTGTCTACTTCGTTCTTCAAAGATGGAGATGCTGACACTTCCACCGTCAAGACCGTCACAACTGAGGACTGCGTTACCATCACCCAATGCGATGCTGAGCCTACCACCGAAGTCACCACTGTAACAACGGCTACTTCAACTAGCGCATCTGACATTGTCTGCGACGTCAACTGCTCCCAATGCAACCCCCAGAAGCGATGGGAGCAGCCAACTCTGACTCCCCAGGAGCGTCGTGACCGACGATGGCTGGTCAAGCGCATGGATAACATGGACCAGCCCAAGTATGACACAGATGAGAAGAAGGATTCGTATATCCGTCGCCAGACGGGTGAAATCTCCGAGAGATTGGACTGGAACACTGTGTCTACTAATGTTGTGTCCGTTGATGCAGCTTGGGAGGATTTCCCCTTTGGTCTGCATGTCGAGGGTCTCATTGGGTATGTCAACTGAAACTGTCTGTTAGCTCGTTAATAACTTGGCTTTAGATGCACTGGAGTGACCATTGCCTCTGATAAGGGTGGATGGCTTGCTCACTTTGTAAGTGAACTCCCCTCAGCATGACGGACGGCAATGTGAAATGAGGAACTGACTGTATGTATAGATGGAACCAGGATTCTTCTACGACGAGAAGAAGCCTGACGACGATTCTGTCAACAATGGCCGCAAGGACCTCTGGGACGAGATGATGAACCAGCTCCGAGACCAACCCGCCGAGGGAAGAACGGTTTCTCCCAAGTTCACGCCCCCATCTCGTCTCGCTGGTGATGATGGTGTCCTCTCGGCTGACTCCAATGTCCAAATCTTTGTCCAAGTGCCTCGAACTCGAGACTCAACCTTTGAGAACCCTACACTTCTGTACCAGAGCCGTGTCGATGAACTTATTGGCTACTTGAACGGCGAAGGTGCTCCTTTTGCTGGCGCCGAGGTCATCATCAAGACTTATGTCAAACCGCCTCCCGAAGATGAGGAGTCTGATGAGGATCGCGAGGCTCGAGAGAAGTCTGCCCGAGGTATCATGTTTATCGAGTATGATGACATGCAGATCAACTGGGAGACCAACGAGATGTCTGATCCTCCTGACCGCATGTGGCGTGTCTGGTCAGAGCGCAGCTACTACGAGCGCCGCATGACTGAGGAAGAAGAGGCCAGTCCCACTTGTGCCCGTCATGAGGATGAGGCTGCTGGTATGGACCCTCAGTTTGCCAAGGACTTGGCCAAGAAGTTCTGCGAGGATAGCGATGTCAACTTTGACGAGGACGCTGAGCTTCAGCTTGGAGGAGGTGACTTGGATCCTACTAAGGACCTTGCTGCCGACATCAAGTTTAACTTTGAGAAGAAGGACGGGCAGTGCTCCAAGCCTTGCACTGAGATCTATGAGCAGATGGTTTCTAGCTGTGAGTAATTGTATTGGATATGGCCGCGATCATTAAACTGACACTCTCAACAGGCCAGTACAACAGCCATCTCTACACCGGTAAGGCCGAGTTCGATCTGGGCTGTGGCAAGTATACCATGGACACGATCCCGGTCGAGAAAGAAGAGCCCGAGCCTGAACCCGAGCCCGTCCCCGAAGAAACCAACAACTGCGCCGATCCTACCGTCTACACCAAATTCTCCCTCGACCAGGCAGAGGAAGCCATCAAAGATTTCTGTGGCCACAACATCGAGCTCCCTCCAGTCGCTCAGCCCGTCTTTAAGACTTACAAGATGGACGGCGTGACCCTTCAGCTCATCACTCAGTACTCCCAGCAAGGTCAGGATGGCTGCAACAAGCCCTCGGACGGTCAACGACACCCCGAACTGTCGCAGTCAGACTGTGAGGCCAAGTTTAGTAGTGCTGTGAACAACTGCAACACGGACACCACGTCAGAGAAGTTTGGACAGAAGCCATTTGTCTGGAACAGCCCTAATGGATGCATCGACTTTTACATCTATGGTGATGGAGAGGATTGGGACTGTGAGGGTCTGGGGACGATTCCTGTGCAGTGTCGGACTGGACCTGGACCTATCAAGCTAGACTAAGTGCTTGAGTGCAGCTTAGTAGGGTTTAAGCTTCTTGTATATCAATAATAGTTGTGTTTTAGACCACCATGAATCGGCCGTAAAAAGACATTCAGCCCCTTTCTATTCTTCACTGTGATCCTATGTGCTACGGGCGATGCCCTATAGGTTTGGTATGATGTGTAAAAGCTATTGGTCTTTCTTCGCAACGCAGGCCCAAGCAATCATATCAATAGCCCCCGTCTCCTTCTGTTGCGGAGTGAGTTGTTGTCTGAGAGCATTTTGCCATTTGGAGGTAGCCTCCGGAGTGCCATCATGCAACGGGTTCCAGAACGACGAGCTGAGCGCTTCCACCACCCCATCACCACTCCCCTTTTCCCAGGCCGTCTTCTCCACTGTGACTTGGATATCACCAATCTCGAAACCCCCAGCTTGCACTGTTGAGACAAGTTTCTCTTTCGCGTCCCATCCATTGTCTGTAGGCGAGAAGAAGCGGGGAGCCCCAACGGCCGTAGTTGCATCTGCCACAAGCTTCGGAACACCAGCATGGTTCCATGTCGTGAAGACAGCACAGCCCCCTGGCTTGAGCACTTGGTAGACCTCTTTCGTACAGCGTACACCATCGGTCACGTACATGAGGCCAAAGTTCATAAAGACCAAGTCAAACTGACTGTCGGTAATACCACTGAGATCTTGCGCGTCCTGGACTCTGGAGAATACTGTGCTCCACGAGTTGGAATCTGCTTTGGCCTGGTAGAGCTTCACCATGCCAGCAGCAATGTCCAAACCGAGCACGGTCGGTGGGGGATCATGGCGCCGCGAAATGGCATCTTCAACAATGAGGCTCGTAACTTCACCGCTTCCACAGGCCAAGTCAAGTACGCGACTTTGAGAGTTGAGAGGGGGGATCTCATTGAGTGCAGCTGATGCTATGTTGCGGGTGACAGTGTGGGCGAGCTTGGCATATTCGGAAGCGCCATTGTCGAAATCGCCTTGAGACATGATGTGATGGGGTTTTTTTTATCTTTTTTTTTTTTTTAGTTATAATTCGGTAAACACTACGTCCTGGATGTTTCCTCTGTTATGTACATGAGAATAGGCCTTGTAATCTCATGAGATCAAGTCTCGCTTCACAGCTTGCATGAAGACTTGGCCCAACATGGATACAAAACCCGACCACGGGCCAGCCCCATCTACGCGCAGAAGACAAGAGCGCGCCAATGATGAACACTTTGGTAGTGAGTGAGTCGATAGGAGTCGGGCATATTTATAATCGTTCCGAGGAGATGCTACACAAGCAGCAATGTTGCTGAAAGTCTTCGACTTCAGTGGTAGTGAGTGTTGTTGCACTAACAAGGAAGATGTTTCTCACACCGAGGCCTCCATATCAGACTCTAGCCATAAAGCTAATAGAAAATGGCGAAAGAGTCTAGGGAGTGATTTACAATGCGATCTTTGTCAATCTTTGGCCTATATATACGGGGTATATCTATTATGTCTAGGCCATGGCTACTAGGCTAGCCTGCTCAAAGGGAATTCTACCTCTGTGCCAATCGCCGATATTAAATCATCACCACAGAACTGCTGGAGAGGAATAAACTCTTCCCCCTCCATGTCCGTAAAAACTCCCCCAAACTCATCATAAAGACCTCTGTCCGTCGGATATTCTCGTGCGGGCATCCATACCCTCCCGTCAATAGGTCGAGGACCGATGGGTCTCTTTTCGCGAATCGCCCTGGCGGCTGATCGTAGAAGAGGTCGGATGAGGGGGAAGAACCATGAATCGTGATACTTGTTGACAAAGCCAGCCTTGTCGCATGTGTTGTGGTAGAAGGCATAGATCTTTTGTGTTCCGATGTTTGTGCCGAGTTTGAGACTTTGAACCCAATTGCGAGCTGGCATTTGTGGTCGATCATCGGGGGGTAGGGATTCGTAGACTCTATATAGAGCCTGGTACAAAGTAGCAGGCATCTGGATCTTGTATGGCCGAAAGGTATCACCCTCTTCCAGAACATCCTGTCCGATGTGGGCCGTGAGATCGTAGTTGTCAAACTGAAGCTTGTGGATGAAACGGTTGTTGTGACATTGAGTCTGGGTGAATGACGAGTCAAAGTCCACGACGACGTGATACTCAGTCACATCGTCTTCCCCTTCTTTGTTCTTCGGTAGACTGCGGTCCCCAACCTCCTCTGGGAACCGTCCGCCGTTGAGATCGACAAGTCTCTGGTATTCTTGACGAGCGTACAAGGAAGAGATGTAGTACTGATCCGAGTCGCGAAAGAAGTAGTCTTGGTCCCAGTTGTCCTCGATTGCCGACAAGGCAGCTTCAATGAAGATGGCCAAATCACCCAATGGGCCAATAACCGTTCCAGAATTAAGGAAGCGAGAGTCGCTGTAAATGAGTTGGCCGTTGTTTGTCATTGGGCCCCATTTATAGCGAGGGAGTGTCGAATATGGAACGAGCCAACACCGAGGATCGTTGTCGCCCTCAGGAAAACAGCCTTTGTCGGTTCCCCAAAGAAGTGTCTGCCTGATGCCGCTTGCATGAAGCTCCTCAACCGAGATGCCGCGTTGATCAGCCAGCTGTTGATCCTCCTTAGCCATGACGGAAAAATAGCGTTCAATCATGGCTTCAGCAGGCAACTGAGCCATGACATCAAAGCCGTCGACGATGATGACCAAATCGTCCTTGTCTCCTCTGCAGGTTTGCAGGTAATGTCGGATGGCGCGTAGCTTGGCGATGTGTGCCCTCTGGGCATCCATGAACCCCTCTCCCTTGTAGCCTAGGATCGTAGGAATCGAGTATCGGTTCGCGAGGGCCGAGCCCACGACGGCGCAGACGTGGGGGTTGACGACATTGGCGGGGACGAGGTAGTGAAGTCGAGATACCTTGTTCGAGGTGCTAAGAAGCTGAGGGGGGTAATGGGTGTGTGTGATGTCCTGCGAATAGGTCAATATCGCACCCTTGGGAGAAAAAGAGAGGATATACGTACGCGATACCCAAAATTAAAAAACAGAAAAGCAAGCACTACAGCAATGATGAAAATGCGACCGCGATTCCTTTGGCCCTGATGGCGTTGATAAGATCCCCCCTGCACAGCCATCCTCACCGGCACCGACTTTTGGTCCGCAAGAAAAGGAGAGCAGGAGGACGACTTGGAACCAGGAAGCTTCATAGAAACAAAACTTACCAACGAGCAAAAAAGTGGACTACCGAAACAGCGAAAAGAGCGCGTGCTGCCATGTTTGACCTTATAATGGGACCTCAAGGGGTCAGGCAAGTGCTTGCCCTGGAGAGACATTGCTATGTGAGATTCGTGTGTAAGGCGACGTGAGAAATGCTTCCCTTGCATTGACACGGTAACTCGGTATAGGGATGGGATATGAGACATTTCAAGCCTCTTTTCGGGCAAAGGCTGCCTGAGTCTGGCCAACATCTCCCTAGAAGCGCATCATTTGTCTTTAGTCCAAGAAATAGGCTTCTTGACTAACGATTTGAATGGTCCGCTTGCACCGAATAGTCGATCTAGCCAGCCCAAGGGAAGACATGGTTGGCGATTACCGCCAAGATTAAGCTGAAGCCATCCGCACGCTAAAAATGCTGCTCCCTTGAGCTGACCACACCCAACGAATGGAAACTGCATCATCCAAGACATTGAGAACCCATTTTCTTTCAAGGCCCTTCTCCCTGGAACGCGCTGCATTCTACTGCCCATACAACGTCCCGACAACGGCGTTCCCCTGCGCAGAGGCACCATGTGGCGTGTCAGCTTGCATGTTACTCGGCGATTCTCAATGGTTGAGAGTCTCCCTTCAGACTCAAGAATTTGAGACAGCGAAAGTCGGTAAGCAGTCATTTCTCGGTGCTCCGCTGTCGCATTTTACGTCGGTCGATGCCGAGGATGAGTGAAATGCAATGAAATAAGGTTCCCGTCCGCCTGCCTTCGAGTGATCGTTCCGTGCCTTCTTCCCTTGCTCCAGGGTCCACAACCCCCCCGGATTCTTTATATACGGATGCGATCTCGTGACAGCTATCGCATTACTTTACATTCTCCCAAGCCTGATCCTGAAACCTCATGATCTTGCCTTCGTGCATCATCACAGGGCAGCTTCCATATAGTGCAGGTAAAAATCCTCTTGGCTCCAGACGGAACGTGGCTTTGCCCTTCCCTAGCTCAAAGCCTGAAAGTACGGATGGTTCAGAGCCTCCTCGGTCGTGATCCTGTCCTAAAACGACGAGGTTAGCTACGAAATGAATCCAAACGCCCAGGTGAACTTACGTCAGGATCAACCTTCAACAGTTTGTCCACAAGATCGAGTGCCTCGTCGCTCACAAAGTGTTGATTGTCCTCATTGACCAGGGTAGGCCAGGCTCGCGGAGGACAATAGCCCAGCTCTTCAACAACCGGCCTCCAGTAATCCGAACCAAACTTTTCAATGTAGTTATTGAGGCTTTCTGTCCCAAGAATGTGGGAAATCTTTCTCAACTGATCCTGCATGCTGGCGCCGTGGAAGAAGGGCTCTTTTCTAAAGATCATTGACGCCAGCATGGTTCCTAAACCCCACATGTCGAACCTGTAATGCCAGTATCCAAATTCGAAGAGAGCTTCTGGGGCCTTGAAAGGACCCGTGCAAATCTCTTCGTCTTCATCTTCAGGCACATAGAACCGGTGCGAGCTCCAGCCGATGAGGCGTAACTGTGCACTGTCAGCAATATGACTTGGTCTTTGGTTCAACCTGGGCGTACCTTTCGGTTTGGGTGATCAATAACCACGTTGTGAGGTCGGACGTCGCAATGTATCACTCCATGGCTGTGCGTAAACTGCAACGCTTTCAAGAGTTCGTGGATGTAGTATCGGATATCCATGGCATTGAATCGTGGGTACAAGCTTCGAAAGTCTATGTTGTCCACGAACTCAAGCACCACACCAACGTTAACGTCCTACTCGGCGTGTTAGTGGTCATTGTCTGCAATACCGCACGCTGAGGGGGTTCAACCCTATCGCCCTGCACGGCGTCGATGAATTCGATGATGTTTGTTCCCCCACGCAGATGTTTAAGGGCCTCGATTTCTTTCTCAACTTTCTTGATGCTGTCCTCTTTAAACAGCTTCATGGCGAATTTGCGCTTGTTGGAATCGAAGCACTCAAATACAATGGCATGCCTTCCTTTCCCTTTGTTTACATGCGGTGAGCTTTCTTCCGTGCGAGGGGGATTAGCCTATTCATGGTACCTATACGGCGTGGCGGACTCAGCTCATAGTACTGCGCTCGTTCTGGAGGATAATATTAGCATATGGTTTCTTCTGAAGTTGGGGCCCTTACCAGACACGGTCTCTGAGTTGATTGGTGCCATTTTAGTATTGTTGAAGTGCGCTTCATGCAATCCATGTAATGGAGAGGTAATGGAGGTTCCCTATCACAACACCAAGAACCGTCGTTGGTGGATATGCATGAGAGGTGGGAAGGAAGAGTGCGAAAAGTGAGGGGGGAAAATCCCTCAATCACCGGCTGTGTGGCTGTACTTGGGGCGTCAGCGTCATTGTCAAAGAAGGTAATCAAACAAAATCAGCATTGGAAAAAGCCAGAACATCAAACTATTTACTTCGTCTATTCACATTGGATAGGGGAACTTGCGCAAACTCGCCACTGCGAGGCTCTCTATGAGTTGTCAGTGTCCCTCAATCCACCCGAGAGAGCCTCTCATGAGCATTAATAGGCTAATATACCAACGATTCTTTTTTAACCAAATCCATCACCGGACTTTATTTCTATGAACGGTTGCCGAATAGTTCTGGTACTTCATACAATCAGGTCACAGGGCGTGGCAGCTGAGTGTAGGCTGTCGCATCTTCTGTGGTCCAACATCTTAGAACTGTTTTCCATTCCATGGCCGCATACACTGTCTTGCATCCCCCCATACAGTATTGACATGCACGCCCATGAGCATAAAGCAGCCCTCAATAGTAACCAACCATATCCGTAGCTTTCCGCTCAGTTTATATCCCAAAACTCATGATTTAGCCCGATATTCTCAGAGCCGATATGCCGGAGGTCGGAGATAACGGGATTTACAACTCTGATTGGACCGGTCGTGCATAAGCGTCGGCGCTAATGCAGGAGCCACGGACATAATCGAGCATCTCGCGACTTTGGCCCGGGATAGCTTCATTTCTATTTGATAGGCGGAGTTAGACTTTGCTGTGTAACACCTTGAACATGTCTGACCTATTTGCTGACGTATTTCTGTGGCGTGCAAATGACGAAATTTGGTCATCTTGAAAATATATAAGGAGATAGCGACCTTCTTTCGAGGCAAAACTCTACACACCAAGCATCAGTCAACTACAGCCTCCTGTATCAGACCATCGGCTTTTCCTTTTCACTTTTCCAACAAAATCAACTACAATGTCAAAAATTTGGCTTATCACTGGTGCTGCTCGAGGACTTGGTCGTGACCTCACCGAACAACTCCTTGCCTCTGGTGACATCGTTGTCGCAACCGCCAGACAGCCAAACCGCCTCAATGACCTTGTCACCAAATACGGCCCCGAAAAGATTATCGCTGTCAGCCTCGACGTCTCAGATGTCTCTCAAGTTGAGGCTGTTGTCAAGAAAGCCGAGGAATCCTTTGGCCGGATCGACTATGTCATCAACAACGCTGGATACGCTTCCATGGCATCAATCGAGGACATAGACCACAAGAGCTTCCGCGATCAGATTGACGCCAACCTGTTCGGAGTAGTCAATGTCACTAAGGCTGTCCTCCCGATTATGCGACGCCAAAATTCGGGACACATCATCCAAGTCTCTTCAGTCGGCGGCAGGGTCGGATCGCCTGGACTCGCCGCATACCAGAGCGCCAAATGGGCAGTAGGAGGCTTCTCGACTGTACTCGCCCAAGAGGTAGCTCCCTTCAACATCAAGGTCACAGTCGCCGAGCCTGGCGGTATCAAGACCGACTGGGCCACCAGCGCCACCGAAGGTGTCATCATCAGCGAGCCCTATCAGCAAACAGTTGGCGAGATGATGAAGATGAGAGAGCTTTACTCTTCAAACTGGTCTGAGCCGTCAGACATCGCCAAAGCTATCATCCATCTTGGCCGGGTCGACGATCCGCCTTTGCGTATAGTCTTGGGGCCTAGTGCTGTTCCTCACGCTCAAGCGGCGGCCAAGGCCTTGGCTGAATCAGATGAGAAGTGGTCGAAAGTTTCTAATCTGGATTTTTGAGAGGAGGTTTAAAGGGGGCATCCCTCTAGAGATGAAGCTTGGTTGATGTAGTATCATATCCATATTAAAAGCTGCTCTTATGATTCTTTCAAAACCCGAGCCACGCCGTGTCTGCCGCCTCGAAGGGCGTCGATCTGAATTAGGTGCGCATAGGTAGAATATGTCTAAGAAATATCATCGGCGTAGAAGAGCTATGTCTCTCCTACGCCGGATAACACATCCCAGAATGCCTCCTGCCACTCCATCAAGGCAATATGCAAACGTCGTCACAATCGATGGGCGCCAAATCACCATCTTCACCACGATGCCGTAACTTGAGCGTGTCATCGTCAATGCTGCCGTTAGTTAAACGCCTGAGCTTGGTATTGGGGTGGTCGATGATGGACAGCAGGTGGTATTGAAAGCCACGATGAGGGTGATGTCCTAATCTAACTCGGCGGCGACTCAAACCCTGAGTTATGCTGGCCGAAAAGGATTCTCGAACGCGACCAGCACTATGCTAATTAAGTCCAATCAACTTCGGGAATGTTGGCCTATCTGCTATCGAGGACTTCTCGGCATCCTTGATGGAAGTGACCATGGAGTAATAAACCGATGGATTCTTGGGCGTGGGATCCCCAACGGCGGCCAAGGCCGAGGGATTCGTGTGGGTCGAACTGTCCGCTCTTGCGGAGTTCTCGGGACCTTGACGTTGGTTTCTCCATGCCCTCCTTCAACATGAGTTGTGCTACCCATGCGACATTTGGTTAGAAAGAAGGCGAGTGAAATGAATGTTGCTCTTCTGCCGGAGATGATGCTCCAGCCGCGACCGCAATCATCTCGTATCCATCTGTAGCCAGTCGGCATGGAGTCTCTGTCGAGAAGACCGACAACATGATTAGAGCCCATCTCCTGACCTTGATTCAACCGTGGAAGTGAGAAAAGAGCAACCTGTTGAAGATGGTGGCCTAGGTGCCGGCGAAACTCGTCCAGGTCAACAACGAGGACTTCTTCTGCCGATGTAGCATTCAGTTCAGCTGAGGCCCATTCGTCGTCACAAAATGGGCATTCGCTCGGCTGAATGAAATCCATGGGTCTCCTCGACTGCTCGATTACCATCGTCATTTGACTACTTGATATCTCAAGACTGTGACGTTCGTCAAGGTGTTGTCCTAAGGCCTCGGAGGATTCAAAAACTCCGGAGCATTTCGGACATATCCAGCTGTTGCGATGCATCAAGAGCTCATGCTCAAACCAAGCATTCTGTGACACATAGCTATCGAGACCACATCCAGGAAAGGTACAGATATATGGCTCGAGGTCTTCGATGACATGCTTCCTTGAAATAGTTAGCAATCTTGCCTAGAGTTATGGCGCATTTCTCGAACCTCCATTGACTGTCCTTGTCTTTGGGCTTCAGTGGAACAATCGTCAGACAGTATGGACACAAGAACGAAGAGTTGTTGTGGGCTTCTCCAGGCAAAGGGGGAAAGGAAAGATTATCCTCAGGCGACTCAACAATCGATGTGGCGAACGACACTACGGACATGGCAGGCGGCGGGTCGAGAAATGCTGATAGCTGAGCCTCTGCCAGAGGATGATCACCCACAAACTCGGTCGCTTCTGTATGAGCCAATAGACTTGGCTTTGTTTGCTCTGACAAGACCGACTTTGTTGGTTTGGAGCTTTGATCGACGGGTAGAGGATGTGGGCGAGGCTTAGGTTTTGGTATGGAAGCGTTCTTTTCCGTATCCGGTCTGGATAACCGGTCATTGTGATCTCGGCGATACTTGAAGTACTGTCGGCGTCTGGCATTAGCCTCCCCTAGGCGAGCCACCAGGGCCTCGTTCTTGTTGGCCACCAAAGGATACCGGTCATTGATATACATGGCATCAGCGCGGTTGTCAAACGGTTTTGTATTCGATGCCCTTTGGCGTTTGTCTTTGGGGGCGAACTTTCGGATGAATATGGAAGCTTTAAACAGGTAATCCAGGCCGATCTTGATGGCCAACATTAACTCCTGGATCTCTGATGTTGAGGTTGTGGCCTGCGGGACATTGCCGAAACTCGATGCGGATGATATCGCTGAGTCGGAGTCACTGGATGAGATATCATATTCGGCGAGGTCTGTGTCGGAGTCGATTATCGGACCGGCAGTTCTATTACTGCGTCTCCCCATGGCTATGTCCGTTGCTAATGACTCACTGTAAGCTAAGAGCCATCAGTTGCAGAGTTATGTATTCATACCAGCTTGAATCGAGTCATGGAGGTCCGCAAGCGTTCTTAGAATGACATTTTTGACCATGGGACTGTTTCGAAGCCGATGCTCAAGAGATAGAGGCGATTTGGAAGCCTGCAAAGCACCGAGGTTGCCAACCCACTGGTCAAACCTCTCTTGCATCTCTTCGACATCTCTCTCGTTCACCAAGTCCTTCACATGGGAATCACCGTCTTTGGTTGTATCAAGAAGAGTGGCGATGGTGGTTTGGCAGTTCTTGGCGATGTTTCGTATTTCTTGGTCGCCCATCGCTATCCTCTCGTTGTTGCTTCCGGGGGACATGGTGCTCAGTAAGTAGAAGGAGAAAGCTCAATATGAGCATGGCTTCTTGGGAGATGTGGATGTCAAGTAAGCCTTCATCAGCCTTGAGGGGTTGGCCACAGGTTAGGAAGAAATCGCCAGGCTGCACACCCCGCCGCATTTGAGCCTCCTGTGGCTGCTTGGCGGAACAGAAATGCCTCTACCACATGACATGTTCCAACCCCAGAGTCTGTTGGGGCAATACTAGACAAGTAAGATACTTAGTTAAATCAAAACTGTTTCAAAGACTGTCTAGAGTCCTATCTATCCTATCATTAACCACGCCAGGGTTCAAATTGCTGGCCCAAGTGATACTTTCATGGCCCAATTCAGCTGTCGGCTGTACACTCCTGCATGATTACTGCCCAACACTTATTGCTGCCTAATATTCACGTCCAGTCAGAAAGCTGCTGTCCAATAAGACGGCATGCAAACCCCGCTCCATGTCCAGCTGAGGCTGGGTTGTCTTAGACGGTGCATTAACCACCAGATGGACTTTTGTGCTACTCGCATTGACCTGCGGGAAACACTCTCCACTAAAAGGTTCTCTCTTCAACTCCCTCGTACCACGCCATTGGCGCGAACGCTTATTCGATGTCTGGTATCGAGGTTGCTGGCCTCGTCCTGGGAGGCTTTCCAATCCTCCTCAACTGCCTCGATTACTACAGGAAGGGATTTGAGCCTCTGGAAGAATGGTTCAGCTTCCGGACTCATTTTATCGCGTTTATCGATAACATTAGGCATCAAATGATGAGATACAACGAGAATATGATTCGACTACTGGACCCAATTATCGGGGATAACGAGAGCCTCGCCAAGTTGGTTAGAGATCCAACTGACTCACGCTGGAATGATCACAGTCTTGATACCCTCTTGGAGCAACGTCTATCTAGTGAGTTTGATAGATTTCTCAGGATTGTCGACAGGATGCATGAGGTTATGCTTGACTTGAACAAGCTCCTGCAAATCGAAGATGGGCAGGTATGTTCTCTACCATTGAAACTGCTTCTTCCTCCATGGATGTTTCACTCCATGTAACATCTCAATACCCACTCTCTGACACTCGGTTAGGTCTCCTGGGTTGGGCCATCACAACATAAGCCCTGGCAGTGGCACTTCAAACGAGTCCAGATCAGTTTTTCCAAGGGAAAGCATAAGAAGGTCAAGAAGTTGGCATCTCATAACCAAGAACTTCAAGAGATTCTGGGTTATAGTGAACGTCTCATTCCTATTTCCGACAGGCGAAAGGCTTCGGAGCCAGTTGGCCGCCTCGAAAAGCTCCGGCAACACGCCTGTTCCGTGCACAGCGCTCTTAAGTCACAGTGGAAGTGCAACAAATCGTGTCGCAGCCACGAAGCTCATCTCAGCTTGCGTGCGGAAGCCGTTTCAGTCAGCATGAACTTCATGTTCATTGTACATGGCGGACAAGGGACATCTTCCAAACCCATAACGCAAGAGGTTGTGACACAGCCAAAGGAAGCATTGCCGCCAACACTATCGGACATCAGCCGTGTGCCGCAGTCGGCCCTTCTCACGACAGTTCAGCAGACTATTATCGAGCAGGATACTCTCGCGAAGAGAAGACCAAACGTGATCCACCGCCTGTCACAGAGATTGCATGCGAAGGAATTGTCTCTGAAGGGATCATCAGGCAAAGCAGGAGACCCCAATTCTACTTCTACAAAAAAGACCGTGAGATTTGGATCACCTGTGCCTGTAATTGCGATAAGTCCTCCGGGCAATAGTAGCCAGGCTAGGGCTAGAACGGCCCGTTCTTTGAATGCTGCTCCCGTGGCTAGCCCTACTATTGGCGACTCTTCAGCTCCTCTTCCCATCGCAGACCTCTGTTTCAACAAAAAGCAAAGCTCGGTGGTTATCCAAGACAATTCTGATCGGCTCCTTGAACTTTGCAAACCCTCCAAAGGTCTTCGAATGGTCATCTCAGAGAGAGTGAGGCTATATCCACTTCCTGAACTCCTTGACGCCTATCACCAAGCTACCATCGACCTATCAAGACAACACCGGTTTGAAATGGCCACGCATATTGCGTCTGCACTGCTCCAGGCTCACCGATCGCCATGGCTTTCTGCAAAGTGGTCCAAACGCGATTTCTACTTTCTGGCGGACATGGATTCGCAATCACTTCGCAGCAGCCACCCTTTCGTCTCTCGCAATTTTCTCTCCGGTTCGGACGACGAAGAGGAAGCTACTACATCTGAAATCCCCAACTTCTCCGGCAATCGGCAGGCCTCGGAAGAAGACACTCGCGCATGCCTCTTCACCGTCGGCGTGATAATCCTCGAGTTGATATTCGGGCACAATATCGAGGATTGCAGTTTCCGCAAAGATTACTACGGCAAGGATAACAAGCCCAATGATCAGACAGACATCAGCACTGCGAGGAAGTGGGCCATGAAGGTGCTGGGTGATAGCGGTGCAGACGTTGCGGATGTAGTGAGGAGGTGTTTAGATTGTTCCTTCGGCCCAAAACCGAGTTTTTCAGATGTGAGATTTAGGAACTCTGTCTATGAAGGGGTTATCAAGCCCTTGGCGGGCTATTCAAAGGTTTGGTCGGAGGTTATGCCATAGTCGTGGTTGTCCTAGTGGCGGACTTGATCCCCATGTTCCAACTTGGGCTCGGGCAGTATCAGGTGGAATGCCAAGAAGCCGAGCTTTAAACATGAGGTTGGGATTATCTCAATGACGAAGAGCACTGTAACTTACCTATGTCGGATACAAGCCTGACGGCTTGACGATGAATGTTCAATATGTTCCCGTGGGGGCGGAAAAGTGCAGTGAAAGCCTATCGAGAGCGGGTTAAAATGCAGTGAAAACGCCATGTTTTCTTATATAAAGCCAAAAGCGACTCCCATTTGTTAATCCAAAACTTGGATTTTGGGCCAAACCCAATAAATAGCAATCCGGCTTGACAGCCAGAAGCAGCGGGATGTGACCCTGACAGCCTTCACTGCAGAGTTCCTTGCAATCGCTCACAGTTTCCCGCCCATGTACTATATTTCTTTCTGTTCAATTGCTCAAGTGTATTTCAAGGCTCTCGGAGTAAACTAAACCACGCTTGAAGCTCAAAGTTTCCCTCTCGCCTTCTCCTTGGAATGTGGTATCATTGCACACAACTGGACGCATGACGCTACAAGATTGCTCTGTTCGTCGTACACCTGAATCTTCATATCGAATCTTCCGGCATACAGTCTCTCCATTGTTGTTCGGGTCAGTAGCCATTCATCGTTATTCAACGGTGCGTGAAACGTGATTTGCAAGCATGTAGTTGGAACTCGGTACCGAGCGGCCATGAAGATGCCGTCCTCTGCGTAGTTGAGAGGCATAATGGGAACCTTCGAAGTGAAATCACATTAGCCAAACGGCTTGATCAGTAATGAAACCAACGGGGCCTTACTAAGTCTGCCAGGACCGGGATATGCTCTAGTCGGAACGTGTCTTCATCGTCCATCTTGTTCCATTGGTATCTCACGTTCTGGCCGCCGTACTTTTCACTCCAGAGCGGAGTGCCGCTATCTCTTGGCGTGTAAGCTCGAACTGCCGCAGTTGGCGGGTTGAATTGGTAGGTAAGGGCATCAGTCCATCTGGCGCACTCCTTCTCCCGATCCGGCACCGGGCTGATTGGGGGCTGAATGTTGTGTACGTAGCCCTCATCCTTGAGTATGCCGAATCTTATTATAGCAATGCTGCATATCTGCTGTTCTTGGCCTTTATCTGCCAAAAGCTTTGCTTGAATGGCCGAGCCTCGGTTTCCAGCTTGGAGAGTTTCGAGGGCAATTTCGAATGGCCCTGCTGGCAAGGGATGCAGGAACTCGATATACAAGTTGAGTGGTTCAGTATGTGCTAGCTTTTGGTGTTTCTCCCGGTTGTACTGACGCGCTGTCGTCATCAATACTGTAGCACAATATCCTCCATGGGCGGACAATGTTCTTCCAGCTGGCAACAGTCAGTAACCAGCCTAGACGCTATCCGGGTAACTCACCGTTGGCACACCAGACCAGAGGGACATTTCCACTGTATCTATCGCCATTTGAACCTTCTACGGGGCTGGTCTTGATCGCTTCAGGGAGTCCGGTTCTGGGGTATTCGTAGTCCTCCCATCCCGGGGTGACGTCGGGATGCGAGTTAGGAAGATGGGCGTCCGACATGATGCAGAGTTGAGAGCCAAACAAACAAAACAAGAAAAGAAATGAAACGGCCGGGGCGGGTCGTTTACTTGTAGATATAGCAAGGTCAGTTCTCCCGAGATAGCCGTGCAGCTCTATCTAGGCCGTGGCTCAGCGTCAGCACTAGAAACAAAACCATTGCATCCCCCGCGTTTTATCGACCCAGTTACTGCAATAATGAAACATGTGCCTCGAGCAGCATGGCTCCACCAACTGGCGGCGCAGCGCAAAGATGCAGGGTCAAGCTTACATGTTTGCCGCAGCTGTCGCAATTTACCCGATTCTCATTCGCGTAGTTATTTTGCGACATGTGTCCGAGCTCGCAAATGTAACCATTTTCAGCGAGCATGAATATGTTGGCTCGACACCCTTGGATGCTGCATTTGGTACAATCATGCGCCCGGCGGCCGCTAAGAGTCGTCAACGTCACCTTGATCGAACCAATTGTATACTACGTAGTATGCAATGAGTTGTCTAAGCTGGTTTCAAGGATGCAGGGAATTGCCTGTCACGGCTGTTGATTGTGTTTCAAGAGTATCCGCTGTGTTTTGCACTCCTTGCACTCCTACATTTCTTGTACGCAGGGCCATAAGAAAAACACGCGATCCATAAGATTTATAGGTTATCGCTTTTATTCTATACTCCCGTTGGGCCGAATTCTCTGAGGGAGGCAATTGGTCAAGGCCATCGACGATCATGAGTGAGTGAGGCACCCATCCACAACGTATTTCACCAGGCAAACAAGAACTTGGGAATTACTATCCATAGTCTTACACTCTTTTGGCTTTCTACCTCGTAGATGAGTTCAAAGATAGGCAAACAGAGAATAAACAGCGAGCACCTATTGACTTTTCGCTCTGCCTGATTCAGTAGGCCTAGCTCACAACCAACTGAGTATCATCAAAAAATTAGCACATCAAAGGAACACCGCTTATGGTATTTTCCGATTCGGTTTCTATTACTGACAGGTGTCAATAATCGTGTTCATTGTTGTTGTAGCTGATAGCTTCTTTTGGAAGCGTCACCAAGTTCACGAAAGGGGAACATCGCAGCTCCCTTCAAGACAGGGTATCTTCAATTAGCAGAAGGTTCTATGTAGAAAACCTTTTCTTAGAACTATGGAGTCAGACCAAAACTTATGCAAGCCCCCAAGCCTCGGAACGTCCTGTTTTCGCCCATTGGCTCCAAAACTCCATCTCTATGGCCGGTATACCCATGACACCCTCCTTTCTTTTCACTATACTTATACATATGCGATTAGTATCTTTCTTCGTCTAATTCCAGGAGCCTATCTCGTCTCCGATATCCCCAAAACACCAGATGTATGAGTGCAAGCTGGGATTTTGTCGTGCGATAGGGTAGGCAACACCAAAGACGGCGTGACAACCCCCGCATTGTGGTGTGACTTTACCCCTTTACTCATGCGGGCTGCGTCTGCGAAGGTGAAATTTGACTTTCTAGCTTTCTAACGGTTTTCATCTTGAACAAAATGGAGTACAAGCCTAGACACCGAGTGAATAGCCGGGCTAGTATGCCTAAAGCTGCATCAATCATCAAGCAAAAGTTCTCCAGGGAAAAAGAAGTCTAGTGGAAACGACAAAAGCACCCGTTCCTTCTCACCGACTCTCGGGCATGGATGTCCTTGGGATAAACTTCTAACTTATATGCAAAAGCAGAAATCGGCTGCGTTGAGGCGTCTGGGGAATGCTTAACGTGATTCTATGTTGTTATTGTCTTAGTGATGGCAAGAAGCTATTAGCCATAATACTAAAGGACGCAGTTATTAATACATAACGGCTTCAAAACCCAATGCCGTAAAACACAGTAACTGGTTCTACACATCCGAATATGTCTGTTAATGACGCGTTCTCGTCGCGTTCCAAACCAGTTACATGCATATTCTCGGTATTTGTTCAGGGTGTTTACGCGTCACAGCCATTCACAAGCAAGCCCTCAAGCCACCAGTTTCAGCTCGCAACCCTCCCTTGATGCTCGGGTCTTGGACACTGTTGGTAATTGTCAAGTGCCTTCAAAATGAGCGAGTAACAGCCCGATCTAGTAATACTCCTATTATCGGAATAACACCCTCTTGAAAATTTTCTCAGTCAGGATCATGCCATTGAAGCTGATCACGTACAATTGCAGCGTCCCTCGATTCACAAACCTTGTCCCGTGTCATCGAGAAAGGCATCGCTCGGAAGCCCCGTCTTCTAGCCCTCCCTTGAGAAGCTCCCATTCGCCGACTGGGACGCTAATGCCCCTGCCACCCCCACCGGAAACTCCGTAATAACTGCCCAGCTCGGTATTCCAAACTGTCGGGCCGACAGCTCGAGATCTTCCACTCAAACCCCCTGAAGAATCGACGGAAAGTCTCGACCGAGCACTTCTCGGTCCGACAGCTAGTACCAGTTCGCCCCCAGCCCCAGAAACTTGTCCTTCTCCTGAACCAAAACCCCAGATTTCCTTGGCCTGTACCGATACTTGATCCTCCAGAGGGCCAATGAAGACGTTCTAGAGCCCTGCCGACGCCCGACCGCCTCCACAGGAAACAGCCCTCGTGATCCCCAGAGAGACCCCGTTTCTGGTCGAGAAAACCTGGAGAGATGACGCTTGCTCCCGACGCCTTACCCCGTGGCATGAGCTGACCCTGTTCACCCTTCCGGAGCTAAGCCTGTTGTTTATGCCCTCACAGTTGACAGCCGGCTACTCGTGTAGACCACGAGACATTCGGCAACGCTTGGACCTTTTTCACCAAGAATCTTGAACCGAAAAAACATCTACTTAAGCTTACCCAGATCCCCAGGTTTCGCCTCCTCGGAGCGATTGCCCTCAGGGTATGAACCAGGACAACAACACCTTTACCTCATTCATATCACGCTACTCCATTACTTGTTCAATCTTTACCATGGCGTCCAAGCTGTCTTCAGCTGACGTTGAAGTCGTCCACGACGATGAGTTCAAGGGCCACGCCCACCATGCTGAGGCCAGTGCTGCCACGGAGAGGGAGCATCGGCTGAGCTTCAGAGACTCTCTCCGGCTATATCCCAAGGCCATTGGCTTCTCTTTGCTGTTTTCTACGGCTATTATTATGGAGGGTTACGATCTTGCCCTCATTGGATCCTTCTACGGTTATCAACCGTGAGTCACCTCCTATGTCTCCATCACAGCACGACACTAACATGCGTCCAGGTTCCGAAACAAGTACGGCAACGAGTCTGATGGCGAAGGCGGCAAAGTCGTCTCAGCCGAATGGCAGACATACATCCAAGTCGGAGGCATGTGTGGCCAGATCATCGGTCTCTACCTCAACGGCTGGGTGTCTGATGCCATTGGCTACAAGAGATCCATGATTCTCTCCCAGATGCTCATGATTGCCCTCATCTTCATCGTCTTCTTTGCAACGAACATCCAGATGATCCTCGCGGGCCAGATTCTGCTCGGCATCCCGTGGGGTGTATTCCAGACTCTCACTCTGGCTTACGCTTCTGATGTCGCCCCCGTCGTTCTTCGACCTTACCTTACGGCCTATGTCAATCTCTGCTGGGTTATTGGCCAGCTGATCTCCGCCGGTGTCCTCCGTGGATTCCTCAACATGGACAGCGAATGGTCCTACCGTATCCCCTTCGCCATCCAGTGGGTCTGGCCTCCATTCATCATTCTTGGAACTCTCTTCGCTCCAGAGTCTCCGTGGTGGTTGGTCCGTCAGGGCCGCCATGCGGATGCCAAGCAGGCCATTCTCAAGCTTGTTAGCCCCAAGCCTGATCTCGAGTTTGATGCCGATGCCCAAGTCGCCATGATCCACGCCACCAACGAGCTCGAGAAGGCTACCTCTGCGGGTACCAACTACTGGCACTGCTTCATGCGCACCGATCTTCGACGAACTGAGATCGCTTCCATCACTTATATCGCTCAAGCTACTTGTGGTAGTGTGCTTATGGGTTACTCTGTCCAGTTCTACGAGCGTGCCGGTCTCGACCCAAACAGCTCGTTCACCCTTAACATTGTGCAGTACGCTGTTGGAGCCGTCGGTGTTGTCCTCTCTTGGTTCCTCATGGCCAAGCTTGGACGCCGTACCCTCTACATTGGAGGAACTTGCGTGCTCTTCATCATTCTCATCGTCGTTGGTGGTCTTGGCTTTGCAGATGCAAGCAAACCCGGTCCTTCTTGGGCAGTCGGCAGTCTCCTCATCTTCTACACATTCATCTACGATATGGCGGTTGGCCCCGTCTGTTACACAATCGTGGCTGAAATCCCATCCACTCGACTCAAGGCCAAGACCATCGTCCTGGCCCGAAACTTCAACAACATGGCTGGTCTGGTGAACAACACCCTGATGCCCCGCATGCTCGGTGTCAACTCGTGGAACTGGGGTGCCAAGACTGGTCTCTTCTGGGCCGCGTTCTGCCTTCTCATCATGATCTGGGCCTACTTCCGCCTGCCTGAGCCCAAGGACCGCACTTTCGGAGAGTTGGACGTTCTGTTTGAGCACAAGGTTAGCGCGCGGAAGTTTGCTACCACTCGTGTGGATCAGTTTGGAGACGACAAGGGTGCCGTGGAGGTTGACGCGCATGCTAAGTAGGACTTGGCCCGAAGCTACTGCAGCTTGGCTACGGGGGGCTTGTGGGACTTGTGACTCGGTAGTGACTGGGGTTGTTGCTTCGTATTTAGAGAGGCGCAGTTGTAGATAATCATAGATCAAAAGATCTTTCGTTACATCATGTTTGTGCCTTTGAGTGAATCAGCGGGTGCCATGTCTCACCGCTGCCCTACCCCCTCAAGCCGATTTCCAGATAAAGGGAGAACGTAACATCCCCTCCTTCGATAAGCTGCATGTCCAGCTACTGCACGTCGGATTAAACAACGGTAATTACCTAGAAAGGAAACTAGAACCCTTCTGCCGGACCATAGACTCCATCCTCTCACCCCCTGACCCCAGCATCCCCAAACCACGTCAAGATTTAGTTACCCCATTCTCGACTGGTATCGGTACTGCCAAGGGTCCCACCGAAAATCCATCAGGCTCGTCAGATGATTGGAATGAGGCGATCCGAATCTGTCGGACCGACAGGACTAGTGAGCGCCGGTAACGAGTGACGGCTGGGGGAACAAGTCTGGGGCCGGAAGCCCGGCTGAATTGTACTTATAGGCAGAAAAGAGCTTAAAAGGAAATGAGCTGTCAGTTGGTGGAATACCTGCTTTCTACAAAACCGCCACCCGGACTTGGCCGACCTCACTTCTCTTCCCCGCGTTCCATCTCTTCTACATCTGTCATCATCTCAGAAGCTGTATTTGAGTATTTGACTTCTTTTTTCAGATATATCGACTTGTTCAATACGATATGACGGTGAAAAGCTGTGTCCCCCGCCCGCGGTGGCACCCATCTCCGACTTATCATCTCAAAGCTCCCCAAGGCTGGATCAACGACCCTTGCGCTCCGGGTTTTGATACCTCGACAGGCACATATCATTTGTCATACCAATGTAAGTCTCAGCCAGTCTCGGGTCATCATTTCAGTACTAATATTATCACAGGGAACCCGAACTCGTGTGACTGGGGCGATATCGCCTGGGGACACTTTACAAGCTCGGACGGTCTGCACTGGAAGCATAATGGGGACCGGCCGATCCTGGAACCTTCAGAGTCTTACGACGACAAGGGAATCTTCACAGGATGCTTCTATCCCACGGGTCTGCGGGGAGAGAAGGGACAGTTGACAGTGGTGTACTCATCCATCACCAACCTTCCCATCCACTGGACCCTGCCATATGCTCGCAACTGCGCTGGTCTGGCAGTAGCAACGTCAGATGATGGAGGTAAGACATGGAAGAAGAGCGAGAAAAATCCCATTCTCCATGGTGAGCCCGAGGGTCTCGACGTTATAGGCTTCCGGGACCCTTTTCTTACAGAATGTCCTGCCCTGGACGAGCTTCGGGGAGAAAAGAGCTTATACGGCTTTATGTCCGGAGGTCTTGTCAAGGGCGGACCTACAGTATTTCTATACGCTGTCGCACCAGATGACTTGACCAAGTGGACCTATCTCGGTCCCTTTGTTGATGTTCCAACTGGCTTCCGCCCATCTGGGCGCTGGAGTGGTGACTTCGGCGTCAACTGGGAATGTGTCAACTACATGACACTTCATAATGAGTCTGAAGAGGCTCAGTTCCTACTTATGGGAACCGAGGGTGGAGAGAAGCCTGGTGTCAAGGATAGAAGTGGTGTTTGGTCCTTGTGGATGGCCGGCGCACTCGAGAACACCTCAGAAGGTCCCAAGATGAAGCATGACTATAGTGGCATTCTGGACCACGGTTGTCTTTATGCACCAAACTCATACGAACACCCTGTTACAAAAAGCAGAATCGTTTGGGGGTGGCTCAAGGAAGATGAGTTGACCTTGCCTCGTCGAGAGTCAAAGGGCTGGACTGGTTACTTCTCCCTGCCACGGGAGCTCTTCTTGTATACTGCCGAGAATGTCACCAGAGGGCTCAAGTCGTCCTTGGAAGACATTCAGTGCGTCAAGATAATGGACGACGGCAGTCAAGGAAAGGCAAAGAGGGTTCAAACACTTGGAATACGGCCCCTCCCCAACATTGAATCACTCAGGCTGGGTGAACCCGCCTTTTGGTCTCACTTGGCTACCAAGAACAAGAGCGGAAAGCTGTTGGAAACGCAGTCTGTCAGCTGGGAGTTGGAGGCCACCATCAACATCTCGGCAGCTCAACAACGTCTTGGCTTCTGGATCCGTCACGACAAGGACGCGACTCAGAAGACTGCCATCTACTTCTCGCCTGAAAAGGAGGAGATTGTAGTCGACAGGGTTGAGTCTAACCAAGAGGCAGACATCAAGAAGGATGAAGTCTCGGGGCCCTTTACTCTGTTTTACTTGGATAGGAACGGATCCGAAGAGCTTGAGAAGTTGCGACTTCGCATCTTCTGCGATGGCGATATTGTTGAGGTCTTTGCCAACGATCGCTTTGCCTTGTCGACCATGGTGTACGCCGACTCGAAGGAGTGCACGGGTATCAGTTGGTTTGTCGAAGGCGAGGGCTCAGAGGAAACGGTCTTTGAGTCTATTAAGTTGTGGGAAAATATGTCTGAAGTGATTGTATCGTAAATATTAGGTTCACACTGAGGAGGGAACTAATAATGATCATTGGGCACGAAGGATGGGCAAGTCAATCCATATAGAATGTGTTAGAGGAGACAACGAACTAGACTTTGCTTCTTGATCCCAGCTTACCACGAACTAGTTTATTGCAGCTCGTATTCTCGTATGTTTGAGGTCGTGGCGTCATTATTTATTTACTTCGCCGTACGGGCCTCTCGTGCCGAGCAACCCCAGTCACCAAGGGAGGGACTCGTTGTAGTACCTGTTTGGGAAGTAAGAGAAGGAATAGAATGATGTCATGTCGCTTTTCATTCGAGGTCAGCGAGCAAGGCCCATTTTATCTGCGAGTTGACATGTTTACCGTAAAGGGTTAAACAGAGCACTTCTCCACCATCTCCAACTCGATGATTCGTGCCCTCATTGACGTTTCCATGTGTCATTCTTGCGCTGCTTACACCATGTGATTGTTAGTAATGTTGATGAAGAGCTCGTATGTTTGCATCGTGCAGTTCAAGATGAAGTCTTTCCCCTCAAAGACCATATTTGCACTGCAAATGCGCGATTTACTCGATATCAGTGAAGAACACAGACGATAGACATCCAAGATGAAGACAATTGCTATTGCAGGTGGAGCTGGAAACGTGGGAAGCACCATTGTCGACGGCCTCGTTGAATATGGAAAACACAAAATCTATGTCCTCTCTCGAAAGGTAAATCTCTATTAACGCTGGCTTGAGTTCGGTGGTCTAACAAGAGCCCCAGGATCGACCCTCACAAGGGGCTGTCAACTATCTTCGAGTTGACTATAACGACCCCGACGCTATCGCCAAGGCATTTGAGGACGCCGGGGTCAATATCGTAATCTGTGCTATTGCCGTCGTCAACCCAGAGGCCAATCAGTCTCAGAAGAATCTCATTCGGGCAGCCGAGAAATCAGCTACCACGGACCGATTCGTGATCAGCAGCTTTGACATGCTGCACGTAAAAGAGTGATTACTACATCATGTAAGGGCAACGTCTTAACTAACTCTATATCAGGGACATTGAACTATCTCCTTTGGCGAGGTACACCTTTGAAGCAATCGATGAACTCGAAAAGACCCAACTCACCTACACCCGCATCGCCAACGGTTGGTTCCTCGACTACTATGGCCTGCCACACTGGAAGACTCACCTAGAACCATGGATCAATGTCATGAACGTGGAGAAGAAGTGGGCAGTCATCCCAGGAGATGAAAGCGTCAAGGCTAGTTTCATTACGTCTCAGGACATGTCCAGATTCGTCGCCAGGTTGATGGATCTGGAGAAGTGGAACAAGGTCAGCCCGATTTTTGCAAACACGTTGTCCTTCAATGAGTTAGTAGAAATGGCAGAGAAGGCTCGAGGTAAGTCACCAAATCACACTCCTAGATCTTGGTGCTCACGGTATATAGGATGCAAGTTCAGGGTGGCAAACGATAGCCTAGAGAAGCTCCAGTCAGGGAAAATCTCGTTCCACGAGGAATTCCCGCCCATTGGGTACGGCGAAGGCGATCAGGCTTTCTTCGCCATGCTTCACTACCAAGCTGCCATTGGACGATATCTTGTTCCAAGGGACTACCCTCCTCTAGACGCAGAGTTTCCCGATCTCAAAATTACCACGCCTCTCGAAGTCATGGAAACTGCTTGGAAGGACAAATAGCCCTGAGCCGTCTTGAGAGACAAGATTACTATGTACCAATTACTATTATTTACCCTGCCTTCCGTGGGTTCTTCTCCCAAAGGAAAAACGATGTGATCAGTCCAAGTGCAGACATGACCGTCATAAAGATGTTCTGAAGGTTATATCCTTCAGCAAATGCCTGCCTGACAGCCGCCTTTTGTGTCGCATTAAGGTCGTTGACGGCTGATATAGAATCGTAGATGGCTGCCGCCTGTTCTGGGGTGACAACTTTGTCCAGCTTGGGTGATAGCTGGTTGTTGAGAATAGTTGCGCTTCAAGATCGTTAGTCTCTGCTATCATCCTTCGATATTCGTGGGTATTACCAGATTGCAAGTGAAACTGTTCCTCCCAAGACACGGATCTGCGTTAGGGCACCCATCATGACCGCTAGGGCTCGAGTTAGCTATCGGACTGTTGCCGAGCTGGATAACTCACAAAGGTTTTGCTGGGAGACAACAACTCGGGCGAATGTCAATAGCGTAGTAAGGCCAAGGCCAAACCCGATGCCCATCAGTACCTCGTAGCCATACTGCTCTTTAGGTACGCTTTTAGCATCCGTCGGCAGTGAGCATGTCAAGCCAATGCCAATGACCTGCAGGACCGAGGCGACCAGAACGAGGTAAAATGGAGGCACTTTTGCATTGCCCGTCATGAATCCTGAGAAAGCAGTTGCCAGTGGCGACGTCAAGAGTAGAGGAAGCAGAGTCAAGCCGCCCTGGACTGGGGATACACCATAAACTGCTTGTGCTCTCTGGGGGATGTTGACGATCATTGACACGAAAGGGAACCCAACGAAGCAAGCAGTGCTAAATGTCGTCAGTAATCTATAACGGCAAAGAAAAGCATCGTTACTCACAGAAGCATAGCTGCAGACAGTCGGTCCTTGCAGATACTAGGGGGAAACACTGGCTCTTGTCTCCAGTTTGACTTTTCGAGAAACACTTCCCAAAAGCCAAACGCTATGCTGAGCACAATTGCCAGAACAAGGGTCGAGATAACGACAGCGCTTTTCCATGGGTATCGAGTGCCTCCTTCTTCCAACGCAAAGACAAGAAGAACTGATGCGGCCAGCAAGAATACCATGCCGACAATGTCAACCCGTACCCAGTTGGAACGTTGGACCTTGGAGCGTAGGACCTGCAAGAGAGGGAGTTGTGCAGAAGCTTCGGAGGGTGGTAGGAAGATGGCGACGAGGACGAAAGCCACTGCACCTCCAGGAATGCTAAAGATGTCACATTAGCAACTCTCCGACCGTATAAGAGGCATTGAGCACCAACTTGAGTAAAAAAACCCAGCGCCAGTCAGAGTGCTGGCTGATGACGCCGCCAAGTACCGGGCCCAAGACGTTGGCGACAATAAACAAGGTCGAGAAGATGGCCATGTACTTTCCGTATTGATTCAGCGATATCAGGGTTGGTGCCAGGGTCATGATGATGGAGAAGATTCCGGATGCGCCGACGCCTTGGAAGGCTCGGAGTATAATGCTACAGTCGCCAGTTAGCACAATCAATAACTTGACAAGGAAACGGGGGTCAGGTACAGTTCTACCATGCCATTCGCCGCTCCGCAAAGACCAGAGAAGACAGTAAAGATGGCAATTGCCAGCAGCAACATGGTCTTCTTCCCAAATATGTCGCTCAGCTTGGCGTATATTGTAAGGAAGCCTGGTCGCCATCAGCATCAGATGCAGCCAAGGCCCGTTCCATAGGTACCTACCAGTGTAGGTCAGGAGATATGACGTGACGATCCAATCGCGCAGGATAAAGCCATTGAGGGCATCGGTGATGGACACTAGCGACGTGCTAACAATGGTCGTCTCGAGCGTTGACAGGAACAAGCTGATCCATAGGCTTTCGAGTGTCAGCAATTGGTACTACATGGAGGGTGGTACATACGCAATAGTCAATGCCCATAGTCGCCAGCCTTGTAAATACTTGTCCTTGTCTTCGGTGGTAGAGCTGGAAGTAGGCTCTGGTTCAGGTTGTGGGACAGTTTCTTTGTTGCCGCTCTGCTGGTTCCCTTCAGGCGGGTCGGCTAAGCCCGAAGCGCCCATGGGTGATAGTTGCACGTCACGCTCTATGGGTTGATGATCACCACTTGCACGAGGGTTCATGGTAAAAGAAATGGATCAATCTTGTATCACTGATTAAAGACACATGTTTACAAAAAGAGGGTAGAGTTATAGCAGCCGCGCGGGAAATGATGGAGGAAGTGAACAAATTGCCTGATCGCAGCCGCGCAAGCAAGCGAATCCTTCGAGCGCATCCTCCCCAAGCGAGGTACGGGAAAGCAGAGAGACAATGAGTGTGGATCGGGAATAAACGCATTTATGAAATGGCCAGGGGGTCCCCGGTCGCGTCCAAACATTGACAATCTCCAGTGGGACACGGTGGGACATCCCTGCGTGAATCCATCTCGTCAAACGTTTCCCAGCATAATTGACATTGACATTGACAAAGGAAATAAAAGACATAAATCATGAAACAATTCCTTGTACGGGGATGCTGAAACTGTCCACACCGTACACGTACATGCGAACTACTCTGTACTGTTGTGTCTCAGTGGGCTACCTTCACCCACAAGACTCAGAAGGCCAATTAGCGACGGCTGTGACCAGTGCGCTTGGCAGCCTCGGACAGGACAACCGAGAGTCTGGTCAGGGTGGCAGGGTCCATGTCGTTGAAGACCTCCCAGAGGTTGTTGGTGTCCTCTTCATCTTGGTCCTCGCTCTCCGACTCGGGAGCGGGTCTGCGCTTGGCACGGCGCCTCGCTGCGACCGGTTAGTTGATTGCACAGTGAAGTACCGAGTAAACACTCACCACTGGCGGCGCCGCCCAGGGAGCATTGCCCTCCCGAGCGGTTCCAATCACAGTTGGCGCAGTTGGCGGCAATGTCGGGGCAGACAACGCAGCCGATCAGGGCTCCCTTGGAGTCCTTGCACTTGGCGCACTGGTCTTCCTCCTCCAGCTCTTCGCCATACAAGTGCCTGATCATGGCATCACAGTTCTGGCTGTTTCTCAGATTGATGTTGTAAGGAACAGGCTTGAGCGACCGGCTGTCGATCTTGGTGCGCAGCTCCAGCTGGCGGACAGGCTTCAGAACGTGTTAGTGAGAGGTCCACCATCGACGATATGCAGTGAGAACTTACGCGACGCTCGCTGAGAATCTTAATGACCTTGCTCGAGCAGCCATTGATGGCATGCATGAGCACCCAAACCGTCAGGTCCGGGTTCTCAGCCGGCTGAGGCGCATTGTAGTCAAAAGAGCTCGTCTCGACACCAAAAATAGTGGCAGGAACATAGCGAGCCCTAGCAGAAGGGTAGCCAGGGATCTCCTCAGCGCCACCACGAGGGAAGGGCTTGGGGTGCTCAGGCAGGGAAGACATGCTTGTGGCCAGGATTAGCGTAATGCGCACTACGGGACCGTAGTGGTGTGTACCTTTTCTTGGATCGGCCCGTAATGGGTCGTAGTGCTCCGTAGTGTTTCGTAATTGGATGCGGCAGATCCACAACGACGAGATCTAGGCCAAAAAAGGCAACAAGGGTATGAAAACGACCGCAAAGGTCGAGATAAAGGCAGAGAAGATGAGTATGAATGCCAAAACAATTGTTTTGGTCTGTTTAATTGTGTTTGAATTCTTTGTCGCGAGCGGGGTAAAGGTCCAAGTGAGGGAGAAAAAATGGCCACGTAGTGGCCTGGTTAGCCCTACGCCAACGAACACCGGCAGCGCACGTGACAGTAATCATGTGTTATGTACCAAAACGGAGCTCAACTAACCAATAAGGTTCGATAAGGTCACTAACGGGGTCGTGAGTCTTGGCTGGATGGTTGTTGGTGACGGCTTCAACTTGTGATACGTGAGATGCATGTTATATAGGTTGATGAGGTTAATTGACGTTGCAGGAAGGGTGGAACGTGAATTTCTCTAGTTGTTGACTATAACTTAGCGCAATTGTCCGTCGTTCTACATGTTGCTCCCTTCATCCACAGGTTTGGTGACCATTGTACACCGGTTAGCTGCTGGTTGTTGCTGAGCACCTCTGATGAAGACCTTGGTAAGTAAAAACATGTTTGAAACGGTCCAGAGCTGCTTTATAGTCTTTTATCGTTCTCTGCGTCCATATTGCGGCAAACAATGCCCTTAACAGATGGAATCTGGAGCATCAAATGCATGTTCAGGGTAGGGGTCCCTCGCATTCCCCGCTCCCTGGTGCTGACTAACCTTGCTTCTTGGACTGCACACGCACGCGTCGGGCATTGTCTTAAGACACGATCAGCCAAAACACCATAACCATTATCGTGTCGTATTTGTCGATGCACTCTTTCCGCTGAGGCTTTAATCAAGCTAAATTCCAATAGTCTCATGTAGACTCACAAGAACCGCGCCATCCGTCGCTCACATGACCCGTCACATCTCACTAAAAATTGTTCCATCAGTCGGCAGTTCTCCTGAGACTCATCCCCCACGTCCCCTAAGATGAACCAAGACCTCTCCAACTACACTACCACCTTTCGCGCATCGCAGCCACGCCGCATCAAGCGCAATCGGCAAACAGTTTCGTGCTGTAGCTGCCGATTACGGAAGTTAAAATGCGATAGACAGCAGCCTTGCGGAGCCTGCCGGAAACGGGGTGAGGAGAACGCGTGTCGATTTGGGCCGGCGCCGAAACGTGCCTCTTCATCTGCCGGAAAAGATGAGATTCGGAAGGAATTGAGGCATATGAGGCTTGCCCTCGAGGCCTTGGCTGAAAAGTCTGGAACCGGAAGGGATGTCTCGCACAGCCAGCTGGCCGAGAGCATCAACCGCATGCAGAGGGCCCTCGATGCGGACGAAGCCACTGTATCTGCAGAACCTGCAAGCGCACAGAGTGAAGTCGACGTGGTATTTGGATCATTGTCGCCTACAACTCTTCTCGAGATCCACAGGGCGTTGCCGAGTCGACAAGCCATGGACAGCATGATCGCTGCGTATTTCAACGCGCGATATTTGACTGCTCCGTTTATCCATGCTCACCAGTTCAAGAGGCAGTATGAGCTGTTCTGGAACTCTCCAGAGTCTGTGCATTTCCTCTGGGTCAGCATACTGTTTTCCGTCTTGGCAATTGGAGCTGTTGTGACGAATGCAAAGGGGACCAGCCCCATACCGGTTGACCCTTTGACATATCTGAGCATGTCAGCGAGGTGTCTCTTAGCAGGTCAATACCTCGAGGCTGAAGAACTTTCAATCGAGGCCCTGGCCATGTATTCCCACTCGAGATTTACTATACGAGGGAGCCAGGATGTTGCCCTTCACTCTTTATGTGGCATGACTGTTCGGCTGGCTCAGCTACGAGGTTATCATCGCGTCCCGTCTGATCCCTCGCTTGCACTCACCCCGTTTCAAGCCGAGATGAGAAGACGTGTGTGGTTTACCATTCAGCTTTACGATGTCCTCTGTGCTTTTGGTCGAGGGTTGCCGTCTCTTATACACGAGGATAACTGTCACACTGGTCATCCAACAAATGTTACTGATGATGACTTTGATGAAGATAGCACCTTTTTGTCCCCTCGGCCGTTGACGGACCCTCAGAGTATGGCCGCATGTGTTTACCAATCCATGTTGCTCCCAATCTTGCGTCGCATCATCCGTCATGCTCTTGGGCTTAAAGCTTGCACTTACCCAGATGCCATACTCCTGGGCCATGAGCTGGAAACGTGGTACCTGTCGATACCACCATACCTACGTGCACGCTCGATTCGGAGCACTTCCTTTACTGACCAGAGTCATACGGTCATGGATAGGATCATGCTGGAGCTTCTGTACTCGATGGGTAACAGCATACTCTATCGCCCGTTTCTCGATCTCACCAAACCCCGAGACCAGCTGTCTCAGGTGTCCCTGGGTATCTGCCGAAGAATGGCAATGAGGGGAGTGAGGGCATATATCGAAGTAGATCGAGAGCTGCAAAGAGGAGGACGCTTGCACGAGGATCGCTACATCGCAATCAATTTGTCCAGCAGTGACTTTATGGTCTGGAAGATTCTGGCTCCCCTTGAATTCGCCGACTGCCCAGATATGCCGTGAGTTGGACTCCCGCCCTTCAAGACAAGAGTTTTAATTGTTGGCCAGTATCCAAGAAAGCAGCAATGTCAAAGACTTGCTGGAGACAGCTTGTCAGATGTGGTCTGCTAGAGCAGCGACTTCCATGCATGCATCCGAGGCCTCGAGGGTTCTTCGAGTGATATCGGGCCAGATTCAAATCGCCCAACACTTGGTGATTGAGATTCCCTACGACACCTCGAATTTTTATCGTGCAGAGGATATGGGGAATCAGGAGGAACAAACCCAGCCGTTATCACACTATGAGCAAAATGAGGGGGAGCCATCGGAGGCCCTGGCTCTCAGCGTTCCGGAGGCTCCATCATTCGACGCGTTATTAACCGACATCGATTGGGTCTGTCACAGTCTTGCATCATTTGCGCCTATACTGACAATGAGTAGAGTTCTATCAATAATTATTTCCGCTATGGCATGCCAAATGAAACGACATCAGATCATTATTTCTCAATTGACTGATGCGTGCCACCGTACATGCGGCCGAGAGGATCCCTGACCTCCGGACATGTCGGATGTAAGCCTTGCCTTTTTAGGAAACCAGAAGCTCCGATCCTCCGACGGACGGATCACCAACTTCCGACTTTTGATCAAGCACGTATTGATGGAGAAAAATGTGCCATCACTGGATGTTTTGTAGGAAACTGGAGAGATGTTTGCAAGTATATAAAGCGCTGGGGATCCAGTGGACATATGACCTTGGCACACCAACAAGCACACCAACAAGCACACCAACAGGCACAACAACATCTACCCTGCACTTCAAAGCATCAACCCTTTCATCCTTACGAACATGGCTGCTCAGGAGGCCTTCCCGGAAATCACGAGGTCCCTCATCGTCCCTGCGTTCAACGAGCCTCTCGTCTTGGAGAAATCTTCGACCCCAACTGTGACAGCCCCAGGAACCGCCTTGGTGCGTATTCTGAGCACCTCTGTACGACCTCACAACCGCAATGGCTTTGCAGGAAAGGGATTTCTTTCCTTCACTCTCCCCTTTGCCCCCGGAGACACTGCCGTTGCCCGAGTTCTCTCTGTCGGAGATGGCGCTGTTGCTGTGAAGCCGGGTCAGCTCGTCTTCATCAATGGCTTCGTCGCCGCCAGAGATGATCCTGATGGAACTAGAGTCTTGATTGGTCTTCATGATGGCGGTGGCAAGGCGCGAGATGTCGAAATTTTTGAATTGTACAAAGGTCTCTGGAGGGATACTGCGACCATGCCGATTGAGAATTGCTTGGTCCTTAATGAGGCGATTCTGAGGGACCAGATGGGCTACTCTTACGCTGACTTGAACTACATCCAACGTCTGGCCGTTGCATATGGCGGCATCAGTGCTGCTGGTCTCCGCACTGGAGAGACCGTTATTGTTGCACCTGCGACTGGTCACTTCTCCGGTGCGGTCGCTGAGATCGCCGCACAGATTGGCTGTCGAGTGATTGCACTCTCACGCTCAGCTTCTAAGCTGGAGCCTCTTACAAGCCGCTACCCTAGAATCACCGCCCTTGAACTCACCGGCGAAACCGAAAAAGACATCGCAGCAATCCGAAAACTCTGCCCAGAAGGCGCAGACACGTTCATCGACGTCTCGCCCCCACAAGCAACCGCGTCCCCGCACCATCTCTCCGTCTCCCTTGATTCACTCCGACCCTTCGGCAGGGCTGTCTTTCTTGGTGCCATGCTGGGTGTCAGTGTCAACTACATGGGCATTATGACTCGTAACATCACTATCAAAGGCCAGTTCATGTACACGCGAAGGGAGCTAGTCTCACTCATCAAGTTGATCGAGGCTGGGGTCTTGAAACTCGGCAAGGATGCTGGGCATGAGACCGTGGGCGGCGGGTTCGCGCTTGAGGATTGGGAAGAGGCGCTGGTAGTTGCGGAGGGGGCTACGGCATGGGGTCAACAGGTCGTGTTTACGCCCTGAAGGAAGGGCAATGAATGTAGTATCGCGATTAGTGGTGAGTCTTTGGATCGGGTGACATCGATGCTGAGTCCAGACCCAAGATAGTATATCACCAAATCAACATGTTTCCCAACCTTAGCCTCAATCTGGCGGTCTCGATGCCAAGGTGGAATGCTCTGTGTAGCGGTTTTAAGGCTATGTAGTGTTAAGTGAACTCTCTCAGCCTTGCAAGCTCCCTTGTCAAGTTTCACGTTTGGCATGGCATGTCAGCCGCGGCCTATTCGGCATGTGAGATATCTTGCCTTGATGGATGTAACATGACCTTTGGCGTAATCATAAAAGGAATGAGGGACAACTACTGGTATCAAATAGGAAGTCTTCCGAGGGATTATCAATACGGACCTACCGGCCTTTACATGTGGTTGGTGAGACTAGCTAAGCCTTTTGGGTGTTTCAAGAGCTCGAATGAAGGAGGCGTCACGTTCCTTGAAGGATTCGCTCAGTTAGGGACGACATACTCCTGGCCGTTGATTGGATGCGTGCACTATTTCAAAGACACTGAAACATCACTAAGGCCGAGAAAATGTCCTGACTTAACCAGAATAACACGGACTGTTTTGAACCATCGAAAGGAACGAGTCATGTTAGCGGGAGAAGCCGAATGATTCAGTGCCTCTTTTTGGTATTTTGTTATTGAACTAGCAGGTAACGGTTCATGGCATTTGGAATGCCATTAGTCGTGGACCGTAAAGTGATGAACCGGGCCCTTGGAAACTGGGGAGCGGCGCCCTCTCCCTCGCTGGGTGAGACATTCGAGTTCCGTTCCAGACGCGCCCCCTCCACCATTCGCCAGCCAAAGATGTCATGCATGGAATGGCTGGTGACATTCAGCCCTTTTAGACGATTGGCGATAGTATCAAACTAGACGCGACGGATTTCGTTTCTATCCCTCTGGTCTGAGTAGAAAACGGTCGAGCCTCGCAGGTGATTTTCGAAAAATGAATCAAGTAGACCGGGCAACTATCCTATCCACCTTGGAACCGAATCAGCCTGAACTTTCATCATGAAGTCCATCGTTACTCTGACCCTGTGGGCAACTCTTGTCCACCGGGCCTTCGGTTTTGGCGTCACAGCGAACAATGATGCCAATGCGTTGGCCGCTGCCCTTTTCTCGGGCCCAGGCATCACCATCGTCTCGGCCTCGTTCACTGGAGCTGCAGCAAGCTCTGGAACTTTTGTTGACGGGCCTTTCGGAATCGGCAGTGGTGCGATATTGACGTCGGGAACGGCAGTGGGTGCCCTCCCGAACGGAGACCACTACGTCAATAACGGACAACCCGGTTCGAGCACATACTGCGGCCCCAGCACGTTCAACGCGGCCATCTTGTCCGTGGATGTCATTGTTGATGTTGGGTATGATGGAATCGACTTCGAATACATCATGGCCTCGGAAGAAGAGGGAGGGTACGTGAACCCAACGCAGGGTACTGGCAGTTTGCTAACTAATCATTTGATAGATCTTCTGACCCAGTCGGTATCTTTGTTGGTGGTACGCAGTACGCCAGAGATCCGGACGGCAACCCGCTCACAGCAACATCTCCATGGCTGGCTAACCCCCTCGTCATTAAGCCCCCAAACAGTGTCACCTCGTACCCTGGCTCGACGCCGCCATTCTTACGGTCGGTTCTAGTGACGGGGGCACAGACAGTCGTCGTCGCTATCTGTGACAAGGGCGATTCAGAATGGGATTCTGGCCTCTTGATTAAAGCTAGAGGCTGCACCACTGACTGCGACTCTGACGTCCGGCTCGCCTATGTCACAACCACCATCACAACCACAACGACAGGTACATCGACCCAGACGGCGTCTGGAACTGTGTCAGGAACCATCTTTGTTTCTGTCACGGCGGAAACGACAACGACTACTGCTGAAGAGACCACCACCACAGTAGCTGAGACCACTACTACTGCTGAAGAGACAACCACCACCACAGAGGCTGAGACTACTACTACGACAGCTGAGACAACAACTGAGGAAACGACAGCTACCACGGCTGAAACCACGACCGAGACCACTACTGAAGAGACAACGACTACTGCCGAAACCACGACGGAAACCACCACAGCGGAGACGACAACTGCCGAGACAACTACCACTGAAGAAACGACGACTACGGCAGAGACTACCACTGAGACCACAACGTCGGAGGAGCCAACAACCACCACGACTGAGGAAACGACTACGACTGAAGAGTCTACCACCACGACCGAAGAAGGCACAACAACCCTCGAGACGACTACCGAGACGACTACTTCAGTGGACACTACAACGGAGACCTCCATCGAGCCGACCACAACAGAGACGACTACGAGTGATGAGACTACAAGCACAGAAGAGACGACTACTGAGACTACCTCGGACCAGTCGACAGAAACCACAACAAGTTTGACTACCGAAACAACCACAACCAATGAGTCACCCACCACTACCGAATCAGTCACAAGCAGTGAAGCATCTACATCCCTTGAGTCGTCTGAAACCTTGAGTACCGAGTCATCAGATACTACCTCTCAAGTTCCCACCACATCTGTTGAATCAAGCTCCATTACCCTCGACTCGACCTCGATTTGGAGCAGCGAGTCATCCGACACAACCACTCAAGAATCAACCCTTGAGTCCATCAGCACAGAGACATCTACAACTCTTCAATTGTCGTCAGACGAGTCAGCCTCGACGGAAATCCTCTCATCCACCAACACCGAGCTCCCAACCGTCATGAGTGTAGAATCATCCACAACTGAGAGCAGGCAGCCTCCGCCGACCACGAGCACCCAGCTTCTACCTGTGATGAGTTCTGAAGCCTCATCCACCGCGGGTACTGAAGAGTCGACCAGCGAAATGATCCCGCCCGAATCTTCATCACTGGAGCCTTCGATTCCAATCTTGGAACCCACTACCTCAGACTCCATGTTCACTGTGCTACCAACCCTTGCTCCGCCGTCCGAGAGCACCACCTCGGCAGAGCCAATAGACGCATCATCCGCCGAGACCCCAAGTCCGGAGCCCTCAGTCTCGGAGACTGTCATCACAGTTATTCCTCTGCCCCCTTCAGCCTCTACAGCAGTGGAAACCTCTACAGAAGCTGCCGCAGCTTCCAACTTGCCATTGATCGAGGCTTACGAATTCGTCGGCTGTCTCGGCTCTCGACAAAGTTATCCTACCTTTTCAGAGCTGCTGACAGACCCGGAGATGACGACTGCGCGATGCATTGAGCTGGCGGCTGGCAGAAAATACGTGGGCCTCTACTTCCGGTATGTTTGAACCAGTCCACTTGAGAGATGACTCTAACAATCTGCAGGTCATGCTACGTCGCGGATGAATTGACCGACACGGGCTTTGTGCAGAATGGACAGTGCGATCTTCCTTGTCCCGGTGACCCTGGTCTCTTCTGTGGTGGAAATGTCGTCGACCGACGTCGTGCTGTCGCCGCAGACAGGCTGTTGACACTCTATGCCCTCACCCAAGCCGTGGATAGTTCGTCCATCGAAGTGATACCCTCGACTTCAGAACCACTCATTCCAAGTTCCATTGCCCCGAGTCTATCTCCCACTTCTACAGACGACGTCGCCCCTATCCTCAATCCTTCTTCTATCGACATTCCTTCCAGCATCCCTCCTTCAGATGAAACTTCAGCAAACAACTTGCCCACCCCTTTCCCCACTCAAGGCCCCTCCCCTCCCAAGGGTTACGCTTTCAACGGCACTCAGACGGTCGATGCCATTTACGCATCCACTGTGACAACAGTTGTTTACCAAACCATCAATCCACTGGACCCCGAGTACTTGACCGTTACCGAGGTTGTCATCACTTTGGGATACTACCCATGCGGTCGCTGTGCAGTCCAACCCATCCCACCGGTGGAGATGACGACGATTGTTGAGCCGTGTAAGGCTTGTGGATGGCAGGGCGCGAACAGTGTCACCCTCACCATCCCCAAGGCTGCTTGCACTCAGGCCGCGGGTGAAGGAGACTCATCTCAACCTGGTGCATGGCGCCGTCCGGTACCTCACAATGCTGCGAATGGCGTGCATTGGGGTGCCGAAGCCAAGGCCACAGAACCAGCAAGTCCGGACCATAGAAACCAGTACTCCCCGCCTGCAGGAAACGATGGTGAGCATGTCCAGCAACAGCCTGCCGCGACACACCAAGCTCAGCCCGCCATGCCAAAGGAGCCAGCTCCAGATGCCTCCTTGCTACCTCCGACACCAGCCGAAACAGAGCCGACTCAGCCAGAGAACTACCAGTGGGACGACCAGGACGAATTTGCCTCCCGACAACCCTCTGCAATCAGCACTCAAGCAGCTCCAAAGTCTGTTGGTGGATCGGAGGATTCTAATCTTCCTACCGGAAACAGCCCTTGGGGACCGACTGAGTCCATTGTTGTGGTTGCGAAGGGTGTGGTGAATGGAGTCAACGGGTTCATGATGGCTCTGTTGGTGTTGCTCGTTACCTTCTATTAGTACATGTTTCATAGTTCTTTTTATGAGTGAATCGGATAATGGCAGCGTGTTATAACTAGTCAGTTAGGACTATTCCATCAACCTTCCTCGGCAATCCCTTTTCTGTCCTGTTTTTGACCACCTTGTTCCTGGAACAACACTCGGAGCCATGTTGTGAAGAGTTCGCCAGTCTAAATAGAGTACACTATGAGGACACTGATAAGCATTGCGTTCAGATTCATGACGGGTGATAGTGCTATTATCGGTACTTTTCACGGAGTTTGGGGCAAAGGAGGAGCCGTTCATGCATTCTATGAGCCCAGAGCCTAAGTTCTAAACAATGTGACCCTGTGAAACCCGTGTTACTTCTCCCCTTTTGTCTATCGCATTGTACTTCCTGAATCATTTTACCGTCTCCTCCATGTCTACAATGCCAGTAGAAATCATCGATCATGCTTGTCCACCTGTGCCATAACCGCCATTCGCATCAGATAGAAGTCGTTCTCTTTCGTGATCTGCCTCCATCTCTGCCTTTTGATCAACAAACACTCTCCCCTTAACAGCAACAAAGATGGTCAGAGCCAGGCCAATAACCGCTCCAAGACCTCCAAGCGTAGCGTTGATAGGGACAGGGTTCCCATCTAGGGGCCCATGTGTGAGGGCATCAAGCCCAGACTGGGCGAAGTTGACGAGTCCAGAAAGACAGGTTATGGTTCCGTAGATGCGCCCAAACGTGGCGAACCCGAAAACTTTTGTAGCGTAGTCCCTAGATAGTAGGTTAGCAAGTGTAGGTGGGTTTATAATGGAGGATTTACTTACGAGATTGCAGAGTAATAAAGAGGCCGGAAAATGACGAATGCAACGACCGTAACATACCCAGCCCAAAGGAACGACAAACAGTTGAGTACACCAATAACAATGATAAAGACGGTCAACACCCCGAAGGTGGAGGGCACGCTCAGATTGTTGAGCAGCAAACCAATGAATGGGGTGGAGGCAACACCTCCCAAAGGCAAAGCCACGTCAAAGAAGTCGTTGATCCGCTCTGCTTTGATGTCTGATCCCAACATGTACCTGTATTGGGCCCTGATGCTGGCAATGAAGTAGTTCATTCTGAGCATCTGGAGTACAGTCAGCAACAGGATGAGAATGAACCAAGGCGATAGCATCTGGCGATGAGCTGGGACACCGTGAAGGACTCCCCAAACACCACTTGTTTCGTTCCTCCCTTCTTCAATCTTGATGCGCTCCTCCCGTTCTTCGCTATCTCCCGCAAGCTCCTCAATCTTTTCAAGCTTGGCCACCCGTCTGTCGGCACGGGCACTTCGCACCCGAGTCAGTTCGGCAGTGTCGGAAATTTCTTCATCCGAAGCATGAACATCGCGAGTACGGTCTTGCACTTGCTCAAGCTTCTTCTCCAGCTCTGGTAATGTGTGGTATGCATGGGAGGGCATCCAAAGCAGCTCGGCCACCAAGATTAATACGGGAATGGCAATGTATCCAAAGAAGAACTTTTCAAGCGAGAAACTTCCACCGGAGGCCTCATAAGCCATGCGGTAGAAGAGAAAGACAGCTGCTGAAGCATCAAAGGCTCCAGTGACGAGGGCAACAATCAGGCCCGAGTTCTTAGGGAAAGCATTGGCGAGTTGGAAGCTGGAAACGAAGAGAAATGTTCCCCCGACTGCAAGAAAAACGTTTCCAAGAAGGTAACCGTCGAACTTTGGGATGGCAAAAGAGGACCCCATCAATAGGGCGCCCGCGATCAGGAAGAGACTGGAGGCTATCCAGCATGTACGACGCCCATAACGGTCAAGGACAGAGCCGGCAAAGAGGGACGAGACATTTGCAGAGATGGATGCAGATATAAAGAATAGGTTTAGGCGCATGTCCTGCTCGGCGCAGGGAACATCTAGGCCTGGCTTTTTGTCTGAGCTTGATGTGTTGACCTGGCAGAGCTCTTGGTAGACGCCTTCAGCGATCAAGATCGGCTTGAGAGCGGCAAAGCCAAATACGATACCGGAGGCTAGCCAGCATGCTATCACAGCGGTTGAAACTTGGACTAGAGAATTATTAGCAATATTTCAGCCAGATCTTGTGCTTGTGTGTACTCACCGAATCGCTTAAAATCCGACACCTTGTAGGCCGCGATGTGAGGTTCATCTTGGGTGATGTCGACCGGAGCAAAGCTCAGGCGTCGCCATTCAGATCTGTTTGTATCGTCTCCGAGCCCGGGACTCAGAATATCGGGTGCGCCAAAAGGACCTTGGAAACTTGGCGGTGCGGGACACTCATAATTGGGATTGGCAGGGCCTTCGTAGTCGAACCCTTCAACTTGAGTGACGTGCTGGGCAAGAGACATTGGCTGCGGACAAGGAAAAGGACGATACGAGACAGTACGACAACGAGCTGCAACGATATCAAGGCAGGAAAGAAAGATGGAGGGCAGTTTTTCTTGATCTAATATGTTATCACGCGGGCTTTCGTTCCCTGACTCGCAACAAAGGTGACGTCAACGAAGCTTCATCGTCACACGGTCAAACAGGCCATAAATACCCTAGGGTTGAAGATCGCACGCCGTCAGATGATTTCGTGAATCCGGTCACAGCCGAGGGTATTCGCTACCGTTAAAATGGGGCCTCAGGCATTTCTCCAGCGATCGAATGCATGTTGGGTGAGATGGAAAGTTCCTGAAACTTCGCCACTTGGCCAAGCGAGCGGGGGATGCTACCCTTGACTCGAAAAGACAACAACAAGAAACGCAACGAATTCATATCATGAAATATGATAGAGTTGGAAGATTCTAGTCATTGTATACAGAGTTCCTCATTTTCGGAGTTTAGGGCCCGGAGGAAACTCCGGAACAAGTTCCGGTCGCATTGTTATGATACCCATGTTCACCGCCAAGAGCCGTTTCGAGGTGCAATCTGGCGGTGTATCACTAATTCAACGTGTTTCGCTCATTTTTAGGTCACAGAATAGTCGCACTCAGGCACGTTGGTTCGACTCTAGGGTACACAAGGACCTGGATCGTGAGTTGGCAAGGTGTTTGAGTGCACATGGGGAATGAATGTGGTCATTGAACACGGATGAGCCAAACAAATCTTAATTTAAGAGTACAACTATCACACAGCAGTTGCAAGCGCTCTGCATACTCAAATCTGTCGAGAAAGCTGGTTTGTTTTTGTCGTCATTTGCAAGTACCATCAATAATGACAGTAACACAGAATGGAGAGCATGTACTGCTAAAAAGAAGACTGCACTGCACCGCACCGCACCATAAGCGTGAGCACATGATCCTTTACTAAGATCCATATATTCGTCTTTAAATAGAATGGAAAAAGTCAACGAGTTATTCATTAGATACCCAGAAGCCGAATGAAGCAGCTCACTCATCTGCTCACAAACCTCTTATCGCAACCTCATAATCGGGAAGCACTGATTGGCTCGGAAATGGCTTCCAATGTGAGGCGAACGAGATGATAACACGTGGGGTCAAGGGTTTTTTGACTGGACGGTTCATCTCATCTTGCATCTTGATCTCCACTTGGCATGCAGGGAGGCAACTTTGCCGGCAATGGCTTCATGAGTTCGAAGGATGGTTGAAGTTGCGAAGAGTATGTCTGGCGGATTGTATCAAGTCTCGGGCATACATTCTGATTCTAAGATACATGGCAGTTGCAAGGCTCCCTGTCAAAGAATAAATGGCGGCTGTTTTGTGGCTTGAAGCCGCACTAACGGACATTCTAACCGCAAAGAAATCTGACGTCAAGAACCACAGTTAAGCGAAGATCTCGAGATAACAGAACAGCCACAGAAAGCCATCGTCTTTTTCTGCCCAGAAGAGAGCATCGAAATCAACATGAGCATCCTTAAAGAGAGCGAGATACTAAAATCTAAGCGTCCAAGTCCCATAAACAAACTGAAGCTCAAAACTTGATATCCTGACCAGGCATGACTTGCTTTGTTGAAGGACCTTATCACAGCAACGCCCTAAACGAGCCACAGATTCTCAGCCTCTGAATCACCGTGTCTTCTTTCTCCCGCAGTGATAGGCTTAAGCCACAATGGGTTACGGCGACACAGGTTTGCCTTCACCCAACTAACCGAATCGGACCCAGCCCCCGGCGGTCCAGACCTTCGTTTCTGAGGCTAACAAGCGTTGAGCAAGACCCTCGAATTTCTTCCCTCTTTTCCCCGTCTTTTTCATTTTCTCATTTTGTGCTCCCATATCGAAAATCCGCGCCAATGAAGGTCCAACAGATCCTAGTCCCCAAGACAGCTCCGAGGAGCAAGCTCAGGCCCTCGAATACCTTTGACTCGGCCTTTTACATCCACCCTCACCTTGCCCCGGATCAGGATCCCTGCAAGGGCCGACTGCTCCGTGCTTCAGCCGCCGTCCGGGAGGGCACGGTTCTCCTCATTGACACACCCTATGCTATCGTGCCTTCAGTGAATTCCGACAAGGAAGACCTCATTTGCAGCAATCTCTCGTGCTCGCGACGTGTGCCTAGGGACGGACATGGTGTCCAGTGTCACCGGAATTGCTTCCAGGATGTTGTGTGGTGCAATACTGCCTGTCGAGCTGCCGATCACGTTCGACATGGCTTCGAGTGCTTGTGGCTCAAGGAGAAGGGAGAGCTCATCCGTGACCGAGAGGGTCAGTACAATTTCGTCACCATCTGGCATGTTGTGCGTCTACTTGCTACGTGGAACGTGGAACTGAAGAGTGGTGCTTCAATATCTCGCCATCGATATCCCAGGGATGACGAGTTTAGTCGTGGTTGGAAAGCTGTTGAGATGTGTTGTTCATACCTCGACTCGTGGCCAGAGTCGCAAATCAACCACTGGAAGAGACTGGCCGAGGAGTATCTAAGTGATGCATCAGTGCTACCGTGTGTCCTGAGTCCCGATGAGATGCTGTCGCTCATTTGCAAGGAGGAAACCAACACCTTTGGTCTCTACCCAAAGGTGACGGGCCCTCTGTGCATGATTGATCGTCCTACTGCGAGAGGAGATTCGTA